ATGGTTTGTAGGTCGCCTCGCCGAATGTCCCAAGTACATCATACAGCGCTTTGACACATACAGAGGCGTACTTATCCGCTTGAGCACGCAACTGCACTTCCCGCCAAGGTTCACCATGCTCGTTCGCTTCGTCTATTTTATCTACAAAGTAGCTGCAGGATCGAGCACACGCTCCAGCATAGCGCTGGAAAGTAGAGTTCTTTGACAACAAAGGACCAACACCAAGCAACACGACATCAGATCCGAGTACACGATCAATATGATCACGAACAACGATCGCAGTCCTTCCGGGGCTCATAATCTCGATGCTTTCAGGATTACCTTCCGGCGTTTGATCACCCGTGTCTTGGTGTGACAACCGTTCCTTGATATTCTTCGAGTCTTTGATCTTCGTTTTAAGCACTTCGATCTGCTTCTCAAGATCTCCCAACTCCTTGTCGTAAATTTTTGATTTCACAAGTGCGGCAGCAAATGTTGTCGAAAGCCTCGGAGCAACCCCAGAAACACGAGGCTTGATCACAGAAAAATGCCCGCTCCGATCACTTCCTGCAAGATCACTGAGCTGCTGTACATACTTTGCGACCAAACCAGACGAAGAAGTCAAATCACTCTCATCGATAAGTGTCAAGGTTGTCGACAAGATCTCTAAATCGGCGCCTTCCATGACTTCTGTAGTCGAACCAATGACATCCTGGATCGTCCGGCCACAACTCAACGTGATTCGTAGCGGTCTCAGAACCTGCTCAGCCCTCATTTCATTCTTGCGAGAAATCAAAATATCAGTAACTACACAGGACGCACGCTTCGCAACCGCTTTTCTGAGTACATCTGGACCGACATCTTTATCAGTCCCTACGACTTCAACTCGTTGAATATTTTTGTATAACTGAGAGCCGAGTCGAGCAGACAACCCCAACTTGTCAATGTCATTTTTCTTGTCACTATAGCAACTGTCATCAGTTGGAAAACTAGTAACATCTGACGTTGAAAACAAAGGTCCTTTCTGTAGAATATTCAGATCTGTATACAGCTCAACACTCTCGGGATCCAGCGTGGTATCGGTTTCCTTCTTCCAAATCCTTGTCTCCCCCCCAGCCATCGAATCTACCAGCTCAATGTACTTCATAAAACCCGACCCGGTCGCCTTCACATAGCTAATTTTCACCGGCAGATCACGCTCAAGAGTCTCATTAGGATCAATCAGAAATGGACGCACTATTTCCGCAGCTTGACCTATTGCTTCTTCACGCCATTTCAATAACTCGATCAGATTTCGATCGTGTGGATTAAACCCAACTATAATCGGGATGTGTGCAACAAAGACCGCACGCACGAACTCCCATAGACCAGGCTCTTCTTTCTCTAAAGAAAACATTTCTCTTGTCGTAATTCGAGGTTTAACTTGCCACCCCGACCACTCTCTCTTCAAGTCACCGTTGAGTTTGATTAGCACTGTTCGCGATCGACCGATCACATTCCTAAGTTCTTGTGTATTACATACAGTCTGAAACTTACGGCGTTGAGTACTGCTCGGCTTACGATATGCATCCTCAATTAAGTGATCCCAGTTGGTCGTAATGATGAACCGGAATGGATCTAGCTTTGCCAGCAACTCATGATGATCACATGGCTCATTATGCAGAAACTCTCGACAATGATCTAAAACCGTAGAATGAAGCTCGTCAGTTCCGAAGGTTTTCTCGAACCGCTGAGAAATACGACTCAAACTCAAATCAGATGAGCGAAGGCCCGCTGGATCAACGGAACTAGATTTTCCAGAACCCCCACACGTCTCCTCCGACTCTTTACTAGATTCCTCAGACTCGCGATCATTGATACGCCCGAGCAACCGCATAGCGATATCAGCACCCAAACCACCCGGGACTGATTTTTCCTTACGTGAAAAGCCTGCACCCACAAGCAATACTGCTCGATGCTGTGTAATCACTTGACGCAATCGAGTTTCGCGAAACAACCGCTTTATATCATCTGCTTCAGACATGGAACTCACCCCCATGCCAGGCCCAATCTACTCTTACCATATATCCATAAAGCACCATCATCACTACTCCATACATGAAGTGGATGAATGTACCAGATCTGGACTAGCTCTACAAGCCTTGTATCAATAGATATTAGATCAACCGATCCTCACTCGAAATACCATGCGCCGGAGCCGTGTTGAGCTGGACCAGGACCTCCCCTTGCCGCTCGATCGCTTCGTCCGCATCGACATAATCCGAGTGACACGACGCCTTCTCGCCATCTCCCGCGCCCACGGCTTTCTTCGTCTTACTCGCAAGCTTGTGGATCTCCTCCGGAGGCAAATACCCACGCTGCTCGAGGATCTGCTGCTGCTCCGCAGTCAGCGCCGCGGACTTGACGGGCTTGCCGCGCTCGAACCCCTCCGCTTTCCCTGACGCGAACTCCTGGATCTCCTTGCTGATCCGCACGCTGCACCAGTCGTGCCCGCACATGGCACAGAAGTCGGTATCGACATCCATGTCCTCGTCGTGATACGCGCGAGCCGTGTCCTCGTCGAACGCGAGCTCGAAGTGCTTGTTCCAGTTGAGCGCCGCGCGTGCTTTGGTCAGCTCATCATCCCAGTCACGCGTCCCCGGAATCCCCAGCGCCACATCCGCGGCATGAGCCGCGATCTTGTACGCGATACACCCTTCTTTGACATCACCCTTCTTCGGAAGACCGAGGTGTTCCTTCGGAGTCACATAGCACAGCATCGAAGCGCCGTGGTACGCGATGCTCGTCGCGCCAATACAGCTGGTAATGTGGTCGTATCCAGGGAACACATCCGTCACCAGCGGACCAAGCACATAGAACGGCGCGCCGTGACAGAGACGACGCTGCAGCTTCGCGTTGTACTCGATCTGATCGAACGGCACATGCCCCGGCCCCTCGACCATCACCTGCACACCGCGTCTCCACGCGCGCTCGGTCAGTTCACCAATAACAGCAAGCTCACCAAGCTGCGCCAGATCCGTCGCGTCCGCGAGCCCGCCGGGACGCAAGCCGTCACCGATCGAGAAGCTCACATCGTGCTCACGCATGAGATCACAGATCTGATCCCACATCGTGTACATGATGTTCTCTTTGTTATGCACAAGCATCCACTTCGCGAGCAGCGAACCACCACGCGACACGATCCCGATAGCACGCTTCTTGACAAACTTCAGGTGCTCGCGTTTCACACCCGCATGGATCGTGAAGTAGTCCACGCCTTGCTTCGCTTGATGATGCAGCGTCTCCATGATGAGCGTTTCATCGAGGTCCTCGATCTTCTTCCCGATGATCATCGAGTAGATCGGCACCGTCCCGATCGGAACCGTCGAGTGCTCAATAATCGCCGCTCTGCACGCATCGAGATCACCGCCCGTAGACAAGTCCATCACCGTGTCCGCACCCCACTTCTCGGCCCACTGCAGCTTCTCGACTTCTTCCTCAGTTCCCGACGAGATCGGACTCGCGCCCATGTTCGCGTTGACCTTCGTCTTGCTCGCGCGGCCGATCGCCATCGGATCGAGGTTCTTCGCGAGGTGCGCGCGGTTCGCCGGGATGATCAACCGCCCCGCCGCGATCTCGTCGCGCACCTGCATCGCCGACAGATGAGGCTCGCGCTCCGCGACCCGCTCCATCTCAGGAGTGATGATCCCCAGCCGCGCCGACTCAAGCTGCGTGATCGGCGTAAACGCCTCCGGAGTCACCACACGCCGAGTCACCCCCAGCGCATCGGTAAACGTGTGCACATGATCGGGAGTCTCGTCGTTGGCATCGCACGCACTATCAACAGTCTCAACCGACCACCCATCGGGAAGGAAGTCCCACGCGGTCTTCTTCGACGGCGCCGGCATCCCCGGAGTATCAGGAGACGAGAACGAGTACGCCCCGCCGATATCCGCCTTGTGCGCAAAGCTACCAGGAGTCGGCACCTCCGCATCGCTCCCCGGATTGAACGCGCCATGAACCGGAAGCATGAACTCCGACCCATCAATCGCCGGCGACCCCTGCACTGTGCGGAACGCGCTGCGCATATCCGCCGCGGACTTGTACTTGCTCGTCAGCGCCGCCGCCTTCCCGGCTGGGGAAGTAATCGAAAGATGCTCAGGGTTCGTCTTGGGGTACGTGGTCATGGACAACTCCACAGTTCAGTGCACCGGGAGCATGCGCGACAGTCCATACACAAACGACCATCTGCATTCCCTCCGCCGGTGCGAGCCGGATCAGGTTCAACGGGTCCATCTCAGCGAGCCACCAAGCCCGCGCCCCGTGCAGTGGTCCATTGTAGCAGATCAGCGGCTCGTGAATTCAACCCCTAAACGAACCACCCCCGTATTTCTCGCGCGACAACTCCGGTTTTAATCCGTCCCAGCATCAATTCCGGCCCCTTTGAGAAGTCCCATGCAACCAACATCACAATCAAGACGAAACTGATAACCGACGGCTTACAAACGCACACTTGTAGCGTCATCATTTCATATATCGCATAGGAGATTTGTATGTTTTATTCAATCCGCGCACGCCATATCGCCGCGCTTGTCGCCGGCCTCACAGTATCAACCGCCCACGCCGACCTCTACATCATCCAAGGCAACGGCAAGCTCCGCACACTCAACCCAGCCGACGGCTCCACTACGCTCATCGGGAACACCTCAATCAACAACCCATGCTCGCTCGACTTCGGTCCCGACGGCATGCTCTACACGCACACACAACCCGAAGAAGCCGTCTCCCTCCCCGCCCTCTACCGAATCGACCCCACCGACGCCAGCGCCGAAATGATCGGGACCCTCAACTCCGACTTCATCTACGAAGGCGGTATGTACATACGCGACGACGGCACCGCGATCGCGATCGGCGGACAAAGCTCCAACACAAGCTCACTCCTCTTCGAAATCGATCTCAACCAAGCCCACACCGTGGACCTAGGAACGATCGACATCTCCGATGCTAATGGTCTCGTTCAGAGAAGCGACGGCGTCCTCGTCTCATGGAGTCAGTTTGTCAATGGAATTTTTTCCATCAACCTCGACACCATGGAAACCAATCTCATCGGTGAAAATCAAGGGGCAATCTTCTCTACCCGCACCATCGGAGGCATGACCACACACGACGGACTCACCGGCTTCATCCTTGCTGGAAGAGTGATCACCCAAGGCACCCAGCCGCCAGCCTTGCTCATCCATGTCGATCTTTACACCGGAGAGTTCCTGTCAGCACAGCAAGTAGATGGCCACCTCAACATCAGGGGGATCGCGGTATCTCAAGAGTCCTGCATCGCCGACTTCGAAACCGACGGGCAGCTCAACTTCCTCGATGTCTCTGCGTACCTCCAAGCATTCGGACAACAGAGCCCCGCCGCGGACCTCACCGCCGACGGCGACTGGAACTTCCTCGACGTCTCCGCTTTCCTCAAAGCCTTCAGCGCGGGTTGCCCGTAAATAACAGCAGCCCTACTGACCCAGCGACTGAATCCAACTACGGATCACATCAATCTCCGCCTGCGTCAACGGCTCCCCAGCCCCCCCCGGAGGCATGATGTCCGGATCATCATGAGGCAGCTCGATCCGATACACCAGCTCGCTGTCGTCAGGACTCCCGCGGCGAACCGTCTGCACGCGATCGTCGAGCACATACGCGAGTGTGTCCAATCGGATATCGTCCTCCGCCTCGTCCGGACCATGACACTCCACGCACGACCGCTCCATGATCGGAAGCACCGAAAGCTCGAACATCTCCACAGACGCTCTACTGATCCCCATCGCTTCCGCTTCAAGCACCCGTGGATCTTCCTTAATCCCCACCAGTTCTTTGAGGGGCTTGGTGAGGAACCCCTCGCCGTGCGTCAGGTCACCACCAAAGTGCCCCGTCGCGCCAATCAACGCCGCGGACACACACAGCATCACCAGATACCCAACCCCGCTCTTGTGCTCATTCTTCATCACCGACACGAGCATGAACCAAGTGATGAACATCAACGCGCCGCTAACGATCCCCAAGATCCGATGCAGATCTACGCGTTCCCCGCCGTCAAATCCCAGGATCAATCCCGTAATCACCGAGACGATCGTCCCGAGCATCGCGAGCACGAACATCAGCGTCCCGCCACTGCTCGGACGATACTTCGTGCCTTTCCCATTCATCACCCACGCACGCCACAACTCAACCGCCGCCGCTGATAAAGCGAGCGCGATCGGGAAGTGTAAAAGCACCAGGTGCGTTCGTCCGAAGAACTCGATCAGGTGTTGCATCCGAACCCTCGATTGCTGATTCGATTAATCGTCTTCCTTGAACGCATCGTGCCCATCCTTGCGTTCTTTCCGAAGCTTGCCGTAGTAAGTGACCGCGCGTTCGTCCTTCCCCGCAAGCAGTGCCGAGAGCAATGCGTTGGACGCATCGACGCTGTCAGCAAGACCCATCCGTAGCTTGCTCGTGAACTTGTCTTTCTCACCCTCATACTTATCCGCAGATCGCTCAGGAACCTCAACCTGCTCAGCAACCACAATACACTGCGCCATAAGGATCGTGACCTGATTCGCAAGGAACGCGGCTTCGTCCCGCGCTCCCGGAGCGGTCAGGTCTTCCATATGCGAACGCATCGATTTCAGATGCGTTCCCGCTTGTTTCATCAGATCGTGAAACTCCATCCCCTCGTTCGATCCCCAACGACCAGTCGCCCCGCTCGCCAACGCGATCGAAGGAATCGAGATCGCTCCCGCGGCTAAAAACGCTCTACGCTGCATGCTTGGGTTCATCACTATCCATTCTGCATCATGCCGATGCTCTGTTACAGGTCCAATGGATATACACACCATACCCCTGATTCTGACGCGTGCTAGACGAATCAGCTTGACTGATATTGCATTGCACCACTCCCAACAATGTACACGAAAAAAGCCGTCGGGAACACACGACGGCTCTTGAGAGCTCAAACAATAAGTTGAATCAGCAGTTTACGAACGGCGACGACGCGAAGCGACCAGACCACCCACACCGATGAGTGCGAATGCACCCGGAGTTGGGATTGTGCCGTATACGATGTTTCCGAACGGAGCGATGTCAGTCACCCAGACATTGACACCCTTGACCTGCATCCCCCACTGCACATGGCGGGTCGGGTCAGCAATGGTGTCCATGCTGATGCTGAACATACCAGACGCATCCACTTCAACGATGGTCTCAACAACAGAGCTGAAGTCCGCTGCAAAGTCGCGGATGAAGACACTCGCGGTGTGTGCATCTGTGAGTGTGGTGGAGTTCACCATGCCTTCGAAGGTCACTGTGGTTCCCGAGAGCGAACCGTCATCGACCTGCTGGAAGAGGTTTGCTTCCATGATCTTGTTTCCTGGAGCACCAGGTCCACCAGGATTCATGTCTCCGCCACCAGTTGGATCTTGGTACCAGAACTCGTTTGGATCGCCAATGGTGTTTGGACCCATAGTGAGGGTGCCAGCACCATCGTCGAAGCTCGCGGTCAGGTCCGCAACGCCCCAGCCACTGCCGAAGACGAATCCGCCGCCGTTTTCTGGAAGCTCGAAGACATTCATGAAGCCGAGCCATGCCGCGGACGAATCATCGATCCCAACAGTGACACCGGCATTCGCCGCTGTACCGAACAGCGCTGTCGCACAAAGTGCTGCCATTGCCTTTTTCATTTGTTCTCTCCTTGCGTGTAGTAGAACGAAACCGGAATACGACTCTCTCGATCGAATCCCGTTCCTTGATATGTAACTGTTACTATGGCCGATTCTCCCCACGGAATCAACCCCCATTTTCCCAGAAACCGGATATTTTTCACCAATTCAAGACCTGCATACACCCCATAAAGATGTCAATTTGGGCAACTTGATGCCCCCTATTTGATCCGAATCACACCTGATCGCTCATCAGCATCCATTCCATCACGCTCGACATCGGCAGCTCCTCCACCCCGAGCTGGCGCAGCATGTTCAGACACTGCGCCCGATGGTGCATCGAGTGCGTCATCACATGCGCCAGAATCCCGCCTCTCGTAAAGCGGTACACCTGCCCGTTCCGCTCTGGAGTCAGCACATCATCGAACGACCCCTGCAGCGCCGCCGCCTCGAAATCCCCCGTCACCTCATCCTGCAGCCCGATCACGCCGTCCACATCAAGATCCAGCCCCTCCAGCCTCGGACGTTGCTCCGCTGCGTTGAGCACGTCCGTCCACCCCCGCATCGCGCCCAGGTTGTGCACGAGATTGTCATGGAGCGACCCGCACCCCATCTCAAACTTCTGATGGAACTGCTCGTTGCTCAGCGCTTTGCACGCATCGTACATCTTCGCGTTCGCCCAACGATCGTGTGCAATCATCACCGCATGTGGATCAGTCACCGTCATCAATACACCAAACCTTTCCAAACTCAACTACGAAGTAAGTCAACACCAATGTTAAACTAGAGAAACCTACGCAAGAACATCATACCCGATCACCCAGAACATACTTGACGCTCGCTCACTCCTCACTCAACAATACATCCAGAGGAGAACACCACATGAAAGCACACACCATCGCACTCACGCTTGCTGTTGCGAGCGCCCAAGCCACCATCACCTTCTCGGGACCACTCGCATCGACCCGTCAAGAGTTCAACGATGCGGTCGGCGCCGATGCACTGCTCGAAAACTTCGAGAGCTTCGGAGGCGGCGCTCCTGTAGGCGACATGCCCAACAACGCCGCACGCTTCGCCGAGGAATACGCCGACGGCTCACCCGCGCCACTACCGATCATCCAAGCGTTCGGAGGCGCGCCCTCCGGATCACGCTGGCTCGCGAACTTCGGCAACGGCCGCCCCGCAGCGTCCGCGTGGGTCATCCGTCCAGACAACCCCGATGACCTCATCTATGCGTTCGGACAAGTCAACGCGCAAGGCGACTGGGTCCGCGTGCAAGGATTCGATACAAACAACCAGCTCATCGTCAGCGTCGATGCACAACCCATCGTCTCGGGATGCTTCGCCGGATTCATCACCACCGAAGGATGCGCCAAGGTCGTCGTCATCCCACTCGGGAACGGCGACTTCCTCAACGGCATGGACGATGTCCAGGTCTCCGTCACCCCGATCGAACCGTGCGATCCCGACATCAACTGCGACGGACGACTCAACTTCCTCGACATCTCCGAGTTCCTCGACGCGTACAGCAACCAGGACCCCATCGCCGACTTCGCGCCAGATGGCAACTTCAACTTCCTCGACATCTCCGCATACCTCGCGCAGTACGGCGAGGGCTGCCCGTAAAGAAACCGCGTGCGTGTTCAAACAAGAACACCGCCGAGCGGGACCATTCCCGCTCGGCGATGCTCACGAACAACCCTGATCCGGAATATCAGAGTCAACCAGTCACAAACCCCGCCTTCGCCCCGCCACCGATCGGCAGCGAGTGGCCCGTGATATAACTCGCCTGCTCAGATGCGAGGAACACCACCGCCGGCGCGATCTCATCGACCGTGCCGGGACGCCCCTGCGCGACAATGCCGTTGAACACCTCCGTGTTCCCGCCCGACGCGTGCTCGAGCATCGGTGTGCGGATCGGTCCCGGCGCCACAGCGTTCACGCGGATGCTCTCCTTCGCGACCTCGAGCGCGACCGACTTGGTCAGCCCCTCGACCGCGAACTTCGACGCCGAGTAGGTCGCAAAGTTCGCGACCCCGCGTGATCCCAGGATCGAAGAGGTGTTGATGATCGATCCACCACCACGCGCCCGAAGCGCCGGGATCTGCGCCCGCATCGCCGACCACACGCCCTTGACATTCGTCCCGATGACGCGATCAAAGTTCCCCTCGTCCTCATCGCTGATCGGTCCGGGCTCTCCGTCCGTTCCCGCGTTGTTGAACGCAATGTCCAGCCCACCAAACTCTGAAACCGCGAGATCAACCAGCGCCTGGTTCTGAGCCGGGACCGATACATCGGTCTTGAGAAACACCGCCTTGCCACCAAGCTCACGGATCCGCTGCGCGACCGCTTCACCCTTGTCCTCTCGGCGAGCCCCGAGCACCACCGACGCTCCAGCTTCCGCGAGCGCCAGCGCCGCCGCCTCACCGATCCCAGAGTTCGCGCCGCTGACCAGCGCCACCTTTCCTTCAAGTACATGACTCATATCGAGCTCCCTTCTTCGTTGATTCAATGAATTCGATCACGCACCAACCGCTGCACGCTTTGGTTCCCACGCAAGTCCCTGGAACTTCTCATCCAGATCTGTCCCCGCGATGTGATTGCCGTAGTTGGTGAGTGTCTTGACAGTTAAGAGATACACGACATCGAGCGCCGCTCGTTTGCTCCAGCCGGACTCGATAAACGACTCGAACTGCCCATCTTCGAGGTGACCGCGCTGCTCAACCATCTGCGTAGTAAACACGCGGAGCGCCTCGAGCTTCGGATCGTTCAGCACCTCCGCATTCCGAAGCGATTCATCAACTGAGACTTCGACCCCCTTGCTCCGCGCAATCGTTGAATGCGCCGGCACGCAGTACACACACTCATTGAGCACATTAATCGTCTGCAGCACGACATGGGATTCAGTCTCACTGAAACCAGTCTGCCCCATCTTGGAGTACAAACCAAGCATCGCGTCCGCAAGCGCCGGCGACTCCGAAAACGCGTTGACGATGTTTGGGACAAACCCAAACCCCTGCTCAGCCTTCTTAAAGACTTCAAGCCGCTCGCCGCTCGCTGTGGATGGATCGGTCAGTGTAAATCCGTTGATCATGTTCAAATCCCTTTCACTTAAGTCGTCCCAGAATCAGGACGCTGATTCAGAGCGAACACCCATTTCCAACCGATTGTTCCGAAATAATCAAAAAGAAAAAAGAACCCTCATTCTCCTCGATTCCCGCTCAAACCCAGCAGTCGTTCACGCCTTGAACTGCTCAATCATGAAGCGCACAGCACCCTTTGCTTGCTCCTCCGGAACCGGCGTGCCGTTGTAGCTCGCGAGCCCGGATTTCGCGATAATGAGTTGCCACGCTGCCTGATTCAGATCAAGGTCTTGCTTGAGTTCTCCGGCGCGCTTGATCCGCTCCAGAGCATCATGAAACGCACCATGGAATCGTTCCCGCGCCTGCTCTACACGCTTGCGAGCTTCCTCATCAACCGCCGCAAGAGAGATCGCCGCACGATGCATCATGCAGCAAGGCGAGCACTCTCCAGAATGCTGAAACTCGATGATCGCACAAAACAACGCCTCTAGATCATCGATCGTCTGAATCCCATTCACCCGCTCGACCATCGCACCGACCACATTCTGCGAATACGCATCGAGTGCCTTGAGATACAGCTCATGCTTATCTCCAAATGTGTCATACAGCGAGAATCGATTGATCCCCATCGCCGCCGTCAGATCAGAAATACTCGCCGCATCGTACCCCTTCTCCCAAAAGACACCCATCGCCTTCGCGAGCACGGCATCAGGATCAAAGGACTTCGGACGAGGCATCAGAACATTCTCCATCGCCGGGCATCGGCGACTTGATTCTAGAGCACAACCCAGCAGAGGTCACTTTTATTCTGTATTTGTCGCCTGAAACGCGATTCGAATATCGGCTTAAGGTAGGGTGATGGCCTTATTGACCCGCACCTCATATCCAGGCACTCGCACACTAATCACCGCTTGATCACCGCTCGTCAGTTCTCGGAACACGAACGAACGCCGACCCTCTTCTTTAGTCTCGATCGCGCTGATCGTTGACTCTTGACGAGCGTTCTTCGGCGCCACCGCGAATAGATCCGCAGAGATCCGCTCGCCCGTCTGGTTGGTGACAATCGCATCGACCTCAACCAACCCATCCCGCGCCCCCTTCCGGAACTTCAGATCCAGATCAATTACATCGGTACCCAGCTCGATCTCTCGCTCGACACGCATCAAGCCGTAGTCTTTGTCCGCCATCAACTCGACATCGAAGACCAAATCCTTCATCCCCGCGAGTTGCGCGGAGGAATACGACACATCGAGATCGATCCGTTCTTCAAGCCCCGCCGTCACGACAAAGTTCACCACGCGTGGAACGATCTCCCATGACCGATCCACATTCGTCCCTCCTGGCTCCGAGTACCCGCCTGGTTCAACAATGTACACTCGCCCGCGAATCGAAAAGTCCCAAGGATTCGTCACCACAAGCTGATGCTTGTGCACACCAGTCGTCGCATCCAATCGATCCGGAGTCAATCGCAGATTCCCCAAAAACTGCACCAACTCTGGATTCACCCCAGTCACAATCACAGGCGTGCGCGTCACCTCGATCCGATGCATCGGGAGACTCAGTTCAGTTTCATGCGAGAGTCCGATGATCTCCTCGTTCCCGAACAGATCCACAAGTCGGACCGCACCCGTGCTCAACGGCAGCTCAACCACAGCACGCTCCATCGTCGGCTCATCAAGCCACAGCACGATCGCGCCATCCGAGATCCCATCAGTCAACGAATCATCACGCGCATCAAGATCGCCGCGTGATGAGCACAACAGCATCCGCACGCCGTGCTCCAGATCAATCTCCTCGATCGCTTCTCGACCCCCAAGCTGATCAACCAGCGTCCTCCACACCAACAACTCCGGCGCCGGCATCACACGACCACGCTGACCAGGTTCCACAATCCATGGATCACTGAGCACGATCTGCGTGTTGCGTGCATCGGCGCCAGCAAGTTTGCTTGCCCACCATGACGAGATCGCTCGGCGTCCCAACCACCCCACACGCGACCATACGGATTCCTGCGTACCAGCCGATGCATACGCACGATGAACCACACTCAGTTCACCGCCATCCGATTCACTCCGCACAGGCGCCCACTGTCCGATCAGATCCGACATCGCGTCATCGGGATATGTTGGATCATCCTGAACCAAGAGCCGGATCGATTCGCTCATCACACCCGCTTCAAAGGGACGATCCATCGCCCAAGGCACACCAATCACAGCACCCGGCACATAGGGATCCATCAACCCACGCACCTCACCCGCTTCATCCGCGAGCACATCGCTCTTGTCTTCATTGGGCGCGATCCCCAATCGCCACTGCGAAACCTGCTGACCATACCGATCCAATAAAGATCCGATCATCGGCATCGCGATCGATTCATGCTCCGTCAACAGCTTAAACACCGCGTCGTGATCGATTGCCGCTTGATCCGCGAGTTCGAACGGTACCTCCGCCATCGTCAAACTCACGTCCACCCCCATCTCGACGACACGATCCACTGAACTCAACAGCACAGAGTTCTTCTGGAGATCTTCCCCAACCGTGTCAGCATCCATCGCACGCATCTCGAGATGCTTGACCCCACTCATCTGCACAATGTGGGGCAATGTCTGAAGCAGACGATCATCAAGCGTCGTTGATCGAAGCGCAAAGATCGAATCCTCTGGAACCAAACGCTTCGCACCAAATCCACCCACAAGCTTCCCACCAACCCTTTCAGGCTGCCAAAGAAAATCAAGCTCATTGCGTCCTACAAGGGATGTTCCAGAGAATACGTCAAAGATCGCATGATACCAGCCGTACCTTGAGACATTGGGAGCCCACTCCTCGTTGAGCCCATTGCCTCGTCCGCTCTTATGCTCATCAATGAGCTTACCTGAAGCATCAAACACACGAACAAGCGAACGCAGATCGTCACCCGTGAGATCGCGCACCGTCATCTGGAGTTTCGGAGGCTGCTCACCTGAAACAATGTTCCCTGGAGTCCCAGTGCTGAGCCCGATCATCGGGACCTGGGCGATAACGACATCATCGAACCACGCCCCACCATCATAATCCTGCGCCCATACTGTGAACGGCTTGACTCTGCGTGACCTTGGTTGCTGCTCTGGTTGCAACAGCTGCAACTCCACACGCACGAATGCGGCATCCGGCTTCGTCCCCTCAATAAACACCGAAAGCAATCGCCATTCACCACGCGTCCGCACCAGCTGCGAGGAAACTTCTGAGCTCTCAATTTCATTGCCTTCACGATCAATCAAAACCGCAACCAACCGCGCTCGAGCATGCAAGAGCCCATCCGTCCGAACGCGCGCACTGATCAGATAATCCGCGTTCGGGAAGACCGTCAACTCGCCGTGTCGCAAGATCAGACTCGTTGATCCACCATCAGTCGGCAGATGCACAGACCCCTCACCAGAGAAAGCCGGGGATGAGTAGTCCAGCGCCGCTCGGTTCCAGATCGGGAAACCAGGACGATCCCGAGGCACCTCTGGATCATGCTGAGCACGGATCCATCCCAGCGGAACAGGGAGCGGATTGGTGTACTGCTCCTCGAAATCAAACGCGCGGATAATCCGCCCCGCATTCGCAGGTCGCGTGATCGTCCCGCCGTCTTTGATGTCTCTGGTCTGGAAAGCTTGCGCCGTGCTCAATCCGCACACAACCACCGCGCCCGCGATCCATCGCGAAAGCGCGGCCATGTGCCCGCCACTCATTTGGACGCCCTTGATTCCAGCCATCTTCCCAAATCATCGGCTCTTTCATCCATTCCTATCCATTTCCACGACCTGCTCCCCCCCCATCCCCCTCACGCTACGATGAATCCATGACCAAACAGTCCACAAATGACCATTCCGAAAGCAACTGGATCCCACTCGACCACCACACTCCGGATGGATCCTCCCTGGAAGGTGCTTCCGAGTTCTACCAGACCATCCAAAAACGCCGGACTGTCCGTCATTTTTCAGACAAGCCTGTCCCGCGTGAGATCATTCAGCAGGTCCTCCTCGCCGCCGGGACCTCACCCTCCGGCGCTCACAAGCAGCCGTGGCGCTTCATCGCTGTCTCCAATAAGGACATCAAGCACAAGATCCGCCTCGCCGTAGAAGAAGTCGAACGCGAGTTCTACGAGGATCGCGCCTCGGAGCGTTGGCTCGAGGACCTCGAACCCTTCGAGACCAATCCAGACAAGTCCTACATCGACACCGTCCCCTGGCTCATCATCGTCATGGCGCTCCGCACCACTGACGACGGCGGGCAGGTTTACTACCTCAACGAATCCGTCGGCATCGCGACCGGACTCCTCCTCACCGCCGCACACCACGCCGGACTCGCGACACTGACGCACACCCCATCCCCAATGAAGTTCCTCCGCGAGGTGCTCGATCGTCCGGAGCACGAACGCCCCTACATGATGATCCCGATGGGATACCCCACAGAGGATTGCAAAGTCCCAGACATCAAGCGCAAGGACCTCGACGAACTCGCGGTGTTCATCGAATAAAAAACCCCGACTGTTTGAGCCGGGGCATGTGGATTCTGTAAAGTGAACTGCTCACTCGAGAGCCGCGGCACCCGAGATGATTTCGGTAAGCTCAGTCGTGATCTGAGTCTGACGCACGCGGTTGAACTCACGCTTGAGCAGATGACCCATCTTGCCCGCATTGTCTGTCGCGGCTTTCATCGCGACCATACGAGCGATGTGCTCGGAAACGACCGCATCATTGAAGCACTGGAACAGCACCGCCTTGACCGCTGCAGGGAGCAACGAATCGAGCAGCGATTCCGCGTCTGGAGAGAACTCGTACACATCTTGCATCGAGCTTTCGCTGCCGTCGTTCTCAACCTCTGGGGTCGAGAATGGGAGCAGTTGCATCACCTCTGGACGCTGACGACCAGCGCTGATGTATTTCATGTAAACCACGCGTACCGCCGAGACCTCGCCGTTGACGAACATCTCTATAAAGCGTGCCGCGAGTCGCTCAACATCCTCAAACGCCGGCTTATCACCGATATGCGTGTGATGCGTGAAGTCAGTGAAACCATTGAACTTCAGAGCACTCGCGCCCTTCTTCCCAACGATCTCGATCTGCCCATTCCCAGCCGCGGATGACTCACGCAAGTGCTTGAGCGCTGTACGAACGATGGTGCCGTTGTATGGACCACACAGACCACGATCCGCGCTGAGCACGAGCGTCAGCTCGTTTGCTTCCGCAGATGGCTCGGTCAGCAATGGATGCCCTTCACCCACACCCGCTTCCGCGAGCTGAGCGACCAGATCAAACAGCGTATCGGTATACGGCCGAGTCGCGAGCGAGGACTGCTGCGCCTTGGCAAACTTACTCGTCGCGATCATCTGCATCGTGCGCGTAATACGCTTGATGTTCCCGACCGCCTTCATCCGCTTCTTGATATCGCGTGCATTACCCATAGGAGTCGATGATAGCCCCGCACACCCTGAGCTTCCGCTCAGAGACACTCACCAAACCCCTGAATTGCTCAAAATTGACCGATTCAACCCCACCCAAACGAGCTGTCGATCACTCCCCGGAAGCGTGCCGACGAGGACCGCGATCCTCACCCATCCGATACGGCTGGGTTTCTTCCGGATACGGAAACGCCGTGCTCAAGCCCGTGATCCTCGGCAAGCTCGCCTTCTCCGGCAATCCCGCCTGTGGATTCGACTGCTGGACCTTCTCAGCTCCTGATGAGTTACTGACATCTTTCCCATCACGCACGGCAGACCTCTCTTCCATTCTCATCCAATCCCAGCTCCACACAGAAACCAGTCCCGGACATGGAAGCATGACACGGAAACGACAAGCCGCAAGCCAATATGTTCAGAAACCGTGAACTACTCCACGATCAAGCCGTCATACGCCAGATCGATCCCCTCACGCAACGACCGAGTAGTCTCCGCGTGCGCCAGATCATGCGTCATGTGCACAAACAAGGTCCGAGAAGCCCCAATCCGCTCCGCCTCCTCCACCGCTTGAGCAACCGTGAAATGCGTCCGATGCGGACGATGACGCAACGCATCAAGCACTAGCGTCTCCACACCCTCCAGATATCCACGCGACGAATCCGGGATCTCAACCACATCCGTGCAGTACGCGATCGGGAGCACCTGAGATTTATCCTGGATCTCGTCGCTCTCAAAACGGAACCCCAGGATCTCCTGCACGCCGTGCATCAATGTCATCGGAGTGATCTTCATCCCAAACAGCTCGATCGTCTCCCCCGCCACCAGCTCCCTCGGCACCAGATCCGCGATAAACGACTTCTGAATATTCTTCTCTTTCTCGAAGATGTGCTGGTACACCCGCCGCAGCGACTGATGCGTATGCGCATCGGCCCATACCTCGATCGGCTGCTTCATGATCTCATTAAACCGACGGATCTCATCGAGCCCCCACACATGATCCACGTGATTATGCGTGATCAAAATCGCATCCACACGCGTGATCCCCTCCCGCAAAACCTGCTCACGCAGATCCGGAGACGCATCAATCAGAATCACCCGCTCCTGACCAGTCGAGTCCACAAACTCAACCGTCGCACTCGTCCGCGTCCGCGTATCCCGAGGATCCGTAGAAGTACACACCCGGCACCCACACGCAATAATCGGCACCCCCGCCGAAGTCCCAGTACCCAAGAAACGAATCCGCATCCCCAACGATAGACCGCCCCTTACAAGTACACCTTCCGATTGTAAATCCACCACTCAATCATCATCACCCCAAGCGCCCCAAGCAGCAGCCACACCCACCATTCCTTGAGCCGCTTGATCTCCCCCTGACCGCTCGCGCTCACGACCCGATTCGACAGCCCCACGCTCTCCGACGTCCCCGCGTCAGACTCCGGACCATCAAGCAAGTTCGCGGCATAAAACCGAACGATCTTCCCATCATCCTCGATATCACTCGTCCCCGCGCTCCCAGTCCACTGCACGCTGTACACCCCTGTCTCGCGGATCGGGCCGTACACGATCCGCCCGTCGGGAGCCGCGACGATCTCGCTGCTCATCGATCCATCGGGAAGCTTCACGCGGATGTTGCCCGCATCACTAGGCACACGATCCGCGAGCACAAATCCAGGACGCAGCTGCCGAGCGTTCACATCTATATCCGTCCCCACCTGCGTCCCAAGATAATCCACAGCGCTCGCCAAGAAAACAACAAAGCTCACATCAAACGGCCAGTTCGAAAACTTCGGATCAAACCCCACCATCACCGCGCGCACATCCCCCGTGCTCATCTCCACAATCGCAGGCCCCTCCGTCGTCTCCGCGAGCGACACCAGCTCCGATTCCTCAGGGATCTCAATCGTCCGAGACTTCCCGATCACCACCGCATCAAGTGTCAGATCGCGCAGCAGCGGATGCGTCCGCCTCCAGTTGATCACCTGCGTGCCTGGACCCTCCCCATGGTCCACGACCCCGCCGGGACCGGTGTACACATCTCCCACGACCAGGTAGCGTCCCGGATCAAAGACCACCCCGCCCTCGCCCGCTTCAGGAAGCGTGCCGTCGAAGACAAACAGATCGATCGCGCTCGTCTCCCCATCCTCGCGCATCTGCTCGTAATCGCTCGGAGTGATCACCAGCAGATCCGAGATCGACAACCCACGCAGCGCCTCGCGCAGGAACAGCGACCCCGTCGTTACCAGCGCCACCGACGCCTGCTTCGCCGGAGGGACAATCAGCGTCCCGCGATTGTCCGTGCTCAAAACATCCAGATTCCCCTCACCAAACCCCGTCGTCAATCGAACACCAACCACCACCCCATTGGGTTCATCAAGCTCAAACACCACCCCCCCAACGCTCGGCTCCCGCAGCCCCGACTGCACATTCACCCCCGCCCCCTCAAGCTTCACCGCACGCACCGAAACCACCGCTCCCCCGACAAGCAACTCCGCATCAATCAAGCGCGGATTCGGATCCGTGGACTGCACCCCCACAAACACACTCAGCTTGCGCGGATCTTCGTAATCCCGCTCGGCGCGCAGAGCCGTGAGCCCGACATTGACCGACCCCGCACTCCCGATCGCGTGGTACTCAAAGCTCGGCGCATCCCCGGCCTGCTCCTGCGAGTCAGCACGCACGACATCGAGATCCGAGATCCGTCCGTCGCTGAACAGATGGAAGAAGTACGCATCCCCGCCCTTGATGCCCTCGATCTCGACCGGATCCGTCCCCTCACCGCTGGGACCCGTATCAATAAACACACGATTCGGACGCTGCGACTGCGCCAGTCGATACGCCTCCTCAATAGAGCTCGGCCCATCCGTCTGCGCAATCCCATTGATCGCGTTAATCAGCGTCTGCTTATCCGATGTAAACTGCGAAACAATCTCCGCCGACCGATCAAACGCGATCACCATCGCCTCGTCCGCCTTGTCCGATTCCTCAAACAACGAAGGCGACGCGAGCCCCTCCACCAAACCGATCGCCCGCTCCTTCGCAACTTCCAAACGCGTCCGATCCCCACTCGCTTCCCCATCCACCGCGCGCATCGAAGCGCTGCGATCAATCAACAGCACCAGCTTGCGCCCCGCCGATGCACTCGCCGTCGAGCGAGGCTGCGCCAGCGCCAGCAGGATCAACCCCAGAATAATCAGCTGCAAGAACAGCAACAGATTCCGCCGCAGCCGCTGAAACGGCGCGTTCGCTTGCAGATCCTGGATCGCCTTCTTCCAAAGCAGCGTCGAAGACACCTCGCGAGGAACCCTCCTCAGCTTCAAAAAATACAAGATCACCAACGAAGGGATCGCGATCGCCCCCACCAAAGCAGCCAACATCGGTGTCGCCCAAGTCATCTGGTGCGCTCCTGATATGAATCAAGCCCAGCAGTCAATGCAACACCATTGTGCGGAGCGAGCACCGCAAGGCACCTGTAGTACACTCTGTAATCTGGGACCCTGTCTTCTGAAAAGCTACTCTCAATCCGCATTTTTCCCGATCTCTCAAAGAACTCAGGCTCATCAACAAACAGTGATCCTGCGAAGACACTCTTTTCGATGATCGGCTCGGTTTGATCGACCAGGACGTACTCTATTGGAGGATCCAGACTGATCTTGATGCTACCTTCGAGTTCATCCGGATCATTTGCGTAGGAGATGTAATCAACTTGAATGATTCTGTTTGCTTCGGGATAATCTGACTTGATGGACCAAGTTGCGGGATGACCATGCATGCTTTCGAGCTTCACCGATGGCCTACCCATTTGCGGCGATTCAACTTCCCATGGATCTACAAAACCCTCAGGAAACTCCATCAATTTGAGGTTGTAATCCCTAGTAAACTCCCTGAACTGTTTTGCTGATGAGATAACCTGTCCACTTTCATCAAAGACGACGGCTATCTCATCGTTGGAGAATCCAACACCAAGCCAGCAAGCAGTATGAACAGGCAGTAATAGTGTATTGCCATCTTCCTTCCATCGAAGCAACGGCACCTCGGCAATACGATTCGAACCGATTCGTGCCATGCGCCAATCAACCATCGAGGCTGCCTTCTCCAGCCGTTCTTTATCTGAATCAAGCCCGTTGAGTTGCTCACGAACAATCTGATCGATTCGATCCGATGAAGTGTCATATTTAATGAGCGATCTGTCTCGACAGCATCCCCCTAAAAAGATCATCCCCATGAACCCCAATAGTATTGGTGTTTTTGATCTCACCGCAGCAACCCCCGCTTCCGCAGGTAGTCCACCAGCAGCGTATCGATCGGCGTGTCCGACTGGATCGTCAGTCCCGTGATCTCTCGCCGAGCACAGAAATCACGCAAGCCCTGACAATACGCCGACAGGTTCTCCTTGTACTTCTTGAGCAGCGGCGCCGAGATCGTCACCTCTGCCATGTCCCCATCCTCCACATCGCGCAGCTGCAGATCCCCCGCGATGTCAGGCTCCACCTCCTGAGGCGACAACACCTGGATCGCAAACACATCGTACCCACGCCCCACCAGCAGCCGCAGACCAGTCTCGTACCCCTCCTTCATGAAGAAGTCGCTCAGCACGATCATCACGCCCTTGCCTCTACGAGACATCGCGATCCGCTTGCACGCCTGACCAAAGTCCGTCCCGCCCTCAGGAGTGATCGAGCACAAAAACCGCGCCAGATCATGCGTTCTTCTTCGACCACGCAGATCGCGGATATTCCCCGCGATCGATTGCTCCCCTCCAGCAATCACCAGCTCATCACGCATCCCCACCGCCGTGACCGCGACGCGATTCAGATTCAGCAGCCCGATATACCCCAGCGCCATCGCGACCTGCTGCATGTAGTAGAACTTATTGGGTTCGCCGCAATCGCTGCTCGCGCTCGCATCGATCACAATATGCAGCGACAGATCCTCTTCCTCCATGAACAGCTTCATGAAGAACCGATCGAGCCGCGCGTAAATATTCCAGTCGATGTGCCGCAGGTCATCCCCCGTCGCATAAGGCCGATGATCCGCAAACTCGACACTCTCGCCACGTTTTTTAGACCGCCGCTCGCCCTTGAGCTTGCCCGCAAAGATCTTCCGCGACGACACATCCAGATGCGAGATCTTCCCGATGAGCTCAGAAGACAGCAGCTCATCAATCGTCGCAGGCCGAGTTGGATTCTCCGATCGCAGCATCAGTCTTCAATCTCCCGGATCACATCGTCGATCGCTTTATCAATCTTCGTCTCACTCGACCGCGCCCGCCGCGTGTAGGTCTCGTCCGCACCGATCCCCTCGGCGCTGATGACCTCGCGATAGCAACCAGACATGCTCGACACCAATCCCACAAGCACACCCGCGATTAGACTCGCTCGGACACCCCCGCGAACACCCTGCTTGATAATGTTCTTCATCGATCACCCTCCGCATCCCATCGCACAAACACCGTCCCCTCGCCCCCAAGCTTCGGGACCGTCACAAACCCAGTCTCGAGCGGCTCATCAATCACCACGCGGAACACAAACCCATCATCCCAACCATCCCGCAGCGCATCCTTCCCCGCACCCTCCGCACTGAGCGAAAGCAGTCCGCTCAACTGTTGATCCTGACGGCGCTCTTTGGTCATCAGCGCGTACTGCACACTCATCCAGTCCTCATCACGCGTGCTATACACCACAGGCCCAATCACAAACTCCGACAAGCTCCCGTCCTGCTCCGAAACACACAGATGCGTGCTCCATCCATACCCCCGCTGCTCCGCGACCATCGACCGCGCGCGATCCATCGATTCCGAATCCCCCGCTATTCCCACAACCCAGGTCTCGCCGGGTCCGCGCGAGCGCTCCCCCCCACCGATCGCGCAGCCGCTCAAAAGCAGCCCACACGCAAGCAGACTGACCGCTCCTCGGATCATGAACCCACCATCGCCGTCGGCTGTGTTGGAGTCAGCTTGAGAATCTCGCGCACCACATCGTCCGAGCTCACGCGATCCGCCTCCGCTTCAAAGTTCATCAGCACACGATGCCGCAGACAAGGCATCGCGACCTCCTGGATGTCCTGATAGCTCACATGGAACCGACCATCCACCAGCGCGCGGACCTTGCCCGCAAGAATCAGCGCCTGCGCCCCGCGCGGACTCACCCCGCACCGCACATACCGATTCGTCGGCCCATTGGGACCACCCGCCGCCGTATCAGTCTCCGGATGCGTCGCCAAAACCAACCTCGCCGCGTACTGCTTCACATGCGGCGCGACGACCACCTGACGCACAAGCTCCTGATACTCAAGAATCGCTTTCCCATCGAGCACCTTGCCCGCGACCGGATTCTCCGCGCCCGTCGTCCGATCGATGATCTCCATCAGATCCTCAAGCCCCGCGTACCCCACATCGACCTTGAGCAAGAACCGGTCCATCTGCGCCTCGGGAAGCGGATAGGTCCCTTCTTGTTCAATTGGGTTCTGCGTCGCGAGCACCAAGAACGGCTCATTGAGCTCGTACGTCTCACCCGCCACCGTCACCGAATGCTCCTGCATCGCTTCAAGCAGCGCCGATTGTGTTTTCGGCGTCGCGCGATTGATCTCGTCCGCGAGCACCACCTGCGCAAAGATCGGCCCCTGCTGAAACTCAAAGCTCCGATGACCAGTCTCCGGATTCTCCGAAACAATGTTCGTCCCGATCACATCCGCAGGCATCAAGTCAGGAGTGAACTGAATACGACTGAACGGCAAGTGCAACGTCGTCGCAAGCGTCCGCACAAGCAGCGTCTTCCCAAGACCAGGCACACCCTCAAGCAGCACATTGCCCCCCGCAAAGAGCGCCACCAGCACCGCATCGACCACCGCTTGCTGACCCACCATCACCTTGCCGATCTCGCCGCGCAGCTGCGCGAAGCTCGCTCGGAACTGCTCGCACTGCGCCTTGACCTCAGCCGGTGTCTCCAGATGCTCATTCATTGCCATGTCTAACTCCTCGCCGAACCCTCGGCGTTGGTATCTTCACTCTATCAACTATTCCTGCCCGTCATACTCATCCCGCGCCCGCTTCTTCGCCGCCCGCAGCGCACTGAGCGCATCCATCGTCTCGTCTTCCTTCGATTCCACCTTCTTAGGTTTACCGATTGCAGGCCCACCAGTTTCTTCTTGTCCAGACAACGCCACCGGACCATCCTGGATCTGCACCGTCTGATCCGCCTCGAACTTACGAGCGGACTGCTTCCGATCATCCCCCGTTCGTGATTCCGTCCGCACACGCGCCGCGCGCATCGCCGCCGTCGCGTCCATCGAGCGATCGGTTTCCTTGTGCGCCCCGCGCCTTACGAACGCCGCGATCGCGCGCGGATCGATCCGTACTCTCCGCACCGCGACATCCATCAAGAAGATCGCGATTCCGATGATCGCCACCACCATCCAGATCGGGGTCAGCGCCACAGGCATCGTCAGCCCCTCGCGCGACCACAGATCCGACCCCGACGGATCACTCGCATCAAGCATCCGTCCGCCAGTAATCGACGCCACCTGTCTCAGCAAAGGCAGATTCGTTTTCAGCGACTTGTACTCATCCGCAAACGGCCGGATCACCGCCGCCTGCGCACTGCCCTCAAGCACACGCCCCTCCTCACCCTCTGCCTGAGATGCCGCTCGGTACTGCATATTCACGACATACGAGCCGGGCTTCGAAGAATCAAAGTCCCCCTCGTACCGACCAGGCCCAACCTGGCGCAGCTCCACAATCTCCCCCACCCCGTCCGGAGTCGAAGCACGCGCCCTGAAGTTCGCAAAGTCCATCCGCTCCCCGCTTGGATCAAACGCCTCGACCACCACGCGCGTCCGCTCCCCTGTGTTCTCCGTCGTCACGCGCAGCGTCGACTCCCCGCCGGGACGCATCGCCCAGCGCACATGCTGCTCCCAGAACTGGTTGAACCCACTCCACCCCACCCAAGCGGGAGACCAGCGCGACGACACATCACTCGTAAACGTCACAACCTTCCCGAGCCCATACTGCCACTGCGCCGCGATCGGGTCCTCTTCCTTCCCGCGAAGCGTCACCAGCGACAACCCCTCACGCTCCGCCGCGACCACATACCCCTGAATCGCAGGGACCGCGTTGATCCCACGCATCGTTTCCGTCGGAACCCCCGTCCGCGATGGACTGAACGCCTGCCCCTCCCAGATCAGCGCTCTACGAATAGTCTGCGCCTCCTTTATAAAGATCTGAGGCAGCGTCGCGAGCGCATTATTACTCACGTTGTAATACGTCCCACCAGTCATCTGCGCCATCGTGCGAAGCGTGTTCGTATCCCCCGCCGAGTGCGGATTCACACCAACCGCGGAGATCGTGATCCCCGACTGCTTGAACTGACGCAATAAACTCCGCGACAACGACGGATCTCCATCGCTGATCACGATGCAGTGCTTCTGTCCCGCCTGCGCCTGCTGCAACCCCGCAAGCGCCAGCTGCAACGACGGATCAAAGCTCGGCATATCCCCGAACTGCAGATTGTTAATCGCCTGACGAACCGCCGAGCGATCCCCGACAGGTGAAATCGGATACACCCAGTCCGTCCCGCCCAATCCCTGATACTCCACGATCCCGATCAGATCCAAGCGCGACAACGCATCCGCAGCCGCATTACAGATCTGCTTGCCGTAGAACACCCCCTTGGGAATCTCAACCGAGTGCACCACCAGCGCCAGCGCCCCGCGAGGCATCTGTCGTTTCTGAGGAGGATCAAGCCGAATCGGAAGCGCATCTGCCAGAGGCGATCCGATCCACCCCCCCGCGCCAAACGACTCGGGACCACCGATCATCACGATCCCGCCCCCCGTGTCATGCACATACTGGCGCATCATCTCCTGCTGCGTCTCCGCGAACGAGTACGCCGACTGATTGATCATCACCACCGCTTCATACGACGCCAGCTCGGGAAGACTCCCCGGAAACTCCGCCGCCGTGATCCGCTTGGTCTCCAGCTCCGCCGCGTGCAGCGCATCCTCGATCCGCACCGCCTCGCGTGGATCCTCCGCGACCACAAGCACCAACCCCTCGCTGCCCACAAAGGTAATCACCGATCCGTTGTTGTTCTGTCGGAGCGAGTCCCCGATCGTCGTCCCCACAGTCCCATCATCATTCAATGAAGCGATCGGCTCAAACACCGCGTCGTACAGCTGAGGTCCCGGCTGATTCACCGCGATCGGAACACGAATCACATTCCGACCCTTCTTGAGCTCCGCGTAGTACCCAAGCTCATCCGGCGCCGGATCCAGATCAATCGGAGTCCCGCCGCGCGACACCATCAACCGACCCACCGCCGGAGTCGTGCTCGTCAAAACAACCTTGAGCGCGATCGTTTCACCAACGCGCGTGTTCGCCGGCGCTTGCACCCCCTCGACCATGATCTCTTCCGCGTACTCAAACTCCACCGGGAGCACATCAATCGGGATCCCCGCCGCCTTCGCCTGCTGCGCCGCTTGGAAGAGCGACCCCTCCGTCTCGTTCGCGTCCGTCACCAGCACGATCCGCGCCGCCGCGTCCGTCGCGGAGTTCGCGATCGCCTGATTGACCGCTGACGCAAGGTTCGTCGCTTCCGTGTCCCCAATAAACTGCCGCTCGATCCCGCGCACAAACTTGCTCGGAGACGCCTGCACGATCGAGTCCCGCGCGGCTGTGATCACCCCAAGCTTGTCATCCGGCTGCCGCGACCCCTCCTGCGCCAGCTCCACAAACGTGTCCACCCGCGGCTGCACACTCGAAGGAATCGAACGCGACACATCATTAATCACCGTCACCCCAACCGCCGTCGCTTCATCTCTATACGACGGACGCGCCAGCGCCGAGATCACCAGCACCAGCGCAATCACGCGGATCACCAGCGCCGCGATCCGCGACGACTTCCCGAGCCCCGCCAAACTCTTGCGCGCTAGGAAAACCGTCAAAGGCACACACACCGCCAGCAGCACCAGCATCATCGGCTGATCAAACTGAATCGGTCCGAGTTGCAATGAAGCAAGCATCACAATTACCCGCCTCCACTCGTGCAAAAAGCCATAAACATATATGGGATCATCTGAATCCGATTGTTCCCCGAATCCAAGATCACCAGCCGGTTATCCCAGATCCCACTCGCCCAAGGTGTCGCCAGCTCCCCATCCCCACGACCCGCAACGCCAAACAGCTCAAGCGTCTTCCCTGTTTTCAAATCGATCATCCGCACAACATTGCCACCAAACTCGCTGATCAACCCGATCGAGCCAAAGACCTTGACCCCGTACGGAAACTTCATCGGCGCAAAGTCCGGATCATGATCCGACGCATACCACGCGATCAACTCCCCATCCAATCCCACGCGCCCGACGCGATGGTGCGCCGCATCCACCACCACCAGCTCCTCCACCCCATCGTTCATCCACAGCCCGATCGACTGCGGACGCGACAACGCCACCTCCCCATCCGACCCATCCACCGTCTCCGACGCCGTCCCGATCTGACCATTCCAGACGAGCTGCACCCCATCCCCATCACTGCCCCGCTCAACCAGATACCGCGAGACCCGATCGTTCCCGCCGTACTCGCTGATCATCAGCTCATACACCCCATCCTCGTCCGCGCGCACGATCACATCCGTCGGATAAATAAACTCCCCCTCCCCCTCGCCGTACACCCCAAACTCAAAGTCCGGCCCGCTCCCATCCAAAGGCAATCCATACATCAGCACGCGATGCTCATGCGTGTCCGCGACATACGCCGCGAGCTGATCCTTCTCAAACAGGTGCACCCCCACCGACACCCCCGTCGGCATCCCGCGATCAAAGATCGGCATCAACACCTCACCGATCTGCTCCCCAGTCTCAAGATCAATCGTCTGCATGCGCGCCGTCTTATCAATCACCACCGCGATCGCCGGCTGTCGCTCCAAATACACATCCATCGCGCGCGGATACACAAACTGTCCCGGATGCGTCCCTGTTTCACCAAGCACGATCGGATCAACCAAGCGTCCCGACTCATCCGTCACCGCTCCCTCGCCGCAACCACCCAAGACCACCGCGCCAGCAAGCAGCGCGACTCCCCCAACGAGTTGTCCAGAACGAATCAACATCATGCGATACCCATCATAGTGGGTTCTAGTGCTCAGCGTTCTCGTGGTTGCTCCTGGACAACAACCATCCGCCGATGATCGAAATCACCAGCGCGACCATCATGATATTGAGCAGCGCCGCCGACAACCGTTCCAGCCGCGCATAATGCAGATCCGCGAGCAGTCCCTGTGACAATGTTGATACCCCCGCTCGTGTGATCATCACGCTCGCTTCGATCTCATGGACCGCGAGCAAGCCGCACAGCACCCCTGCTCCCGCACTCGCGACCATACATCCTCGCCCGTGCGTGTTCCACCACGCGCCCACCCCCCCACCAAGCGACCATCGCTGCGACAACAACTCCCCGCGCTCGCGCCCCGCGAGCACCGCGCCCATCACCGCGCTGACCACAAGCACACGCGCAAGCAACCCGACCACCTCACCCAATCCACCATGTAACCACTCAACCCCCGCCACCGATGCACCCACCAGCACCCCAGGAACCAGCGCCGTCGCCGACGCGCCGAATACGCAGAGCACACCAACACCGCGCACAAACTTGCTCGCGTCCCCAAGCAAACACGCAACCCCCATCGCGTACCCCACACAGATCGCACCAACCACACACCCAATCCATACCGAATGCGCGATCGCATCGCCACGCTCGTTCCAGAACAACCCCATCGAACGCCAATCATCAATCGACACCCCAAGCACCACCATCGGAACAACCACGGCACACACCCAAACCACCACCGCAAACACCCAACCTCCGCTCCGTCTCGACACCCGCTCCACACCAGTCCCCACCATCGCGCGCCCTGTCGCGCCGCGCACCACCACCCGCGTCACCCACCACGCGCCCAGCACACCGATCAACACCATCGGAGATCCCAGCACCCACACCACCCCCCACTCATCAGAGCCGCGCTGCGCCAGCTCGCGCCAGACCACAATCGACCAGGTCTCCAGCTGCGCCAGATGCATCGGGACCCCGCTCCCGAGCATCACCAATCCCGTCAATCCCCAAGCACGCACCAGCGCCCCGCGATGCAACCCGACCCACACCTTCGCGCGTGCCATCAATCCCGCAGGCTCCAGATCCATCATGTCCTGATGAATCAACACGCGTGTGCTGCTTCCCGCGATCACCACCGCCGCGATCACCGATCCCCACAGCGCCATCCCGAGCACACCGATCGCGTACCCCGCCCAGATCGTTATCCATCGATTCCCCTCTCCACTCGTCGACCATTCGATCAACCACCCCCCCACCAAAGTATCCGGCGCACGCGCCAGATTCATCGCCCCATAGATCGCATAGCTCGGCATCCACATCGGAACCAGCACCAGCGCCCACACCCACCGCTTCCGACACCCCATCAACACCCGCGCCATCGGAACCCCAAACACCAGCGACAACAACGCGATCCCGCCCGCGATCAAAGTCGTTCGCGTGATGAGCCCCAGCCCACTCCGGCGCATCAATCCGATGCCTTCCGAGACCGCTTCCGCGTCAACAGCCCCCAACGCGCCGAGCAACACCGCGCCGCAAACGAACGCCCATACCACAACCATCCCCCCAACAACCACCCACATCCCCAATCGCATGTCACCCTTCCCATTTCCCATCCGATCAGTCTACCCCAACACGATCACGCCAAATCAAACCAAGTTCACGAAAGTTCACACCAAACTCAACTTTGCGGGTAGAATCCAAACACCGCACAGGACTCGTGGGTTACCAGCCCATCCGCGGCAAACAAGTCGGAACACAAATTACAACATACGGATCAACACAACATGATCGACATCCGCAAACTCAAAGAACTCGTCAAACTCATGGTCGAAAACGAACTCTCCGAACTCGACCTCCGCGACCAATCCGAAACCGTCACCATCAAGCGAGGCAACGAGAACGAGCCCGTCATCTACCACGCCCCAGCCGCCGCACCCGCAGCAGCGCCCGCCGCTGCAGCCGCTCCAGCTGCAGAAGCAAGCGATGCCGGATCCGCAGACACCGATGCCGGACTCATCCCGATCGAATCCCCGATGGTCGGAACCTTCTATACCAAACCCAATCCAGAGTCCCCAGTCTTCGTGAATGTGGGTGACCAGGTCGGACCAGACTCCGTCGTCTGTCTCGTCGAAGCCATGAAAGTCTTCAACGAAATCAAAGCGGAGAAGTCAGGAACCATCGCCAAAATGTGCGTCAACGACGGCGACGCCGTCGAGTTCGGACAACCACTCTTCCTCATCAAACCAAACTAATCCCTCTTCAACAACCGCTCAGAACCTGATCTGAAGACCACCCCGAGATCCACCCCATGTTCCAACGCGTGCTCATCGCAAACCGAGGCGAGATCGCCCTCCGCATCATGCGGGCCTGCAAAGAACTCGATATCGAAACCGTCTGCGTCTACTCCACCGCCGACAAAGACGCGCCGTACCTCAAGCACGCCGACGAAACCATCTGCATCGGACCTGGTCCCTCGAAAGATTCCTACCTCAACATCTCTCGCATCATCTCCGCCGCAGAACTCGCTGATGTCGACGCGATCCATCCGGGATATGGATTCCTCTCCGAGCGCGCCGACTTCTCCGAGATCTGCCGTGAATGCAAGATCGAGTTCATCGGACCATCCCCAGAAGCGATGGGCAAGCTCGGAGACAAGGTCGAAGCCAAACGCTACGCCCGCGCCGCCAAGGTCCCCGTCTTCCCAGGTTCCGAAGGCGCGATCGAAGAAGTCGAAGAAGCGGTCGAAGTCGCCGCTGAGATCGGATACCCCGTCATCATCAAAGCCGCCGCAGGTGGTGGTGGCCGAGGAATGCGCATCTGCCGCAACGAAGCGACCCTCCGCACCAACATCTCCAAAGCACAGCAAGAAGCGCAAGCCGCATTCGGAAACGGCGCTGTGTTCATCGAAAAATTCCTCGAACACGCACGCCATGTCGAGGTCCAATGCATCGGTGACAAACACGGCAACGCGATCCACCTCTGGGAACGCGACTGCTCCATGCAGCGCCGTCACCAGAAGGTCATCGAAGAAGCGCCCGGCCCACTCATCGAACGCAAGAAAATCGAGAAAGTCTGCGAAGCCGCCGCCAAACTCATCAAGTCCGCCGACTACGCCGGCGCCGCGACCGTTGAGTTCCTCATGGATGGAGATCAGAACTTCTACATGCTCGAGGTCAACACCCGCGTGCAGGTCGAGCACCCCATCACCGAGATGATCACCGGCGTCGACATCGTCAAAGCCTCCATCCAAGTCGCTGCGGGAGAGAAACTCCCCTACAAGCAAAAAGACATCCAGGTCAACGGCCACGCGATCGAGTGCCGCATCAACGCCGAAGACCACACCAAAAACTTCATGCCCTCCGCAGGACTCATCGAGACCTACCAAGCACCCGGAGGACTCGGAGTCCGCATGGACACCCATGTCTGCGCCGGATACCGCGTCCCACCAAACTACGATTCCATGATCGGCAAACTCATCGTCCACGCCGAGAACAGAGAAGCCGCGATCACCAGAGCACTCCGCGCCCTCAACGAGTTCGAGGTCGGACCAATCAAAACAACCATCCCACTCCACGCCGAGCTCATGCAGAACTCCGACTTCCGCAGAGGTGGAGTAGACATCCACTACCTCGAGCGATTGCTCAAAGACTAATCCAGAATCAAAAAATAACAAAGCCGCCCCGAACAACCATACAAGGACGGCTTTGAAACACGCAATATCGAAAGCCTCATCGTCGACGACGCGCCATACCGAGCAACCCAAGCGACAACACACCCATCGCGCTCGGAGCCGGAACCGCGTTCACCGACAGATTGTCGATGAAGAACTGACCACCAAAGCCGTTGTCGTTGATCGCTTGGAAGAACAAGCCGCCGAGTGTGTTCTCAAAGACCTGTCCACCACCCCAAGCAAGATCGACCGACTCGCTGCCATCAATCGAGAGCGCGCTCATCCGATTCAGCAAATCAACCTCGATCGAAATCCTCGACCAGGCGCCGTAATCCAGTCGAACCGTCTGCCCCGATGAACCGATCCCAGTCTGCCCCGTGAACCGAATCATCCCCACCGTATCAAGCGGATCATCCCCCCCAGCAACCTGACTCCCAGATACATTCAAGAACAACGCGCCCTCAAGATCTGTTGAAGGTCCCTCAAGCATCAAAATATCAAACTCGATCAATGCAACTGGATTGTCCATAAACCCAGCATTGTTGATCCCATACTCAGTCCGCACCTCAGCTACCGCGTCCCCAACCCCTTGAGCAAAGTGCAAAGATTGCAAACCCGTGTGCGCCATGTACTGCGTAACCACAGGCGTGATCGCTCCAGTGGATGTCCACCCGAACTGCCCATCCACAGAACCGACTGTAAACACCGGACTCTCAAACCCATACCCGCCGTAGATCGATGCTCCTCCAGCAAACGCCGTCGCGCTCAAGGAACCAACCAATCCAACCGCCATGATCTTCTGAACTGTTCTCATTGCTTTCTCCTAGTTTGATGAACTCGAATCTGAGACAGCCCCACGATTCAGCCAACCTAGAAGAACAAATGTCCAATTGCAATGGATTTCAATACTGATTTCAAATCTTTTTAGGGTGAAATCACCCATCCCCAACCCGGAACCACTGATTACTCAGCCGCTGTCAGAGGAAGCACCCCAACCCGATCACCCGCTGAATCCTCGATAACGAACATCAGATCGCCATCCGACGCCTCAAAGCCACCAATTCGGAGCGATTCACCCATAGCAGACACCTGAACCTCCGAAGCCCCCGCCTCACGTGGTCCTGAATGTGTCAACAGCGCCACAACCAACCCCGCCGACAGCACCATCGTGCAAAACCGCCAGAACTTCAGTTGCTCGCCCTGCTCATCATGCGCTGCTACTTCGTGCATCCAATCCTCCAGTCCGCCGACAAATCTCAGCGACCCCTTCAAATCGGCGCAAAGCAACAACCGATCCACCCGTTCCCACCAACACCCCCACCTCAAACCCCGCTCCCAAGCATCCCCCTCCCAACCACTATAAACAGACCAAAAAAACAAGTGCCCCTCCGTCGAGGGGCACTTGTTTTTGCTTTTTACGGCAAGAGAGAGAAAGAGAGAAATCAACCCAAACAGGCCTTCCAGCCCATCCTGTCGCGTGTTTTTCGTCAGTCGCTTGCCTGACATTGAGAAAGTACATCAGGACCGAGAAGATGCCAGCCGATTGCCAAAAGTTTTTATCGAACCAATCCAAAATCCCTCGAATCGCCCTTAAAACAGCGTTTTTTCATCTTCAGGAACTTCAAACTTTTATCACACCTCCCAAAGCGGACGCGTATAATTTCCGAGCCACGAAACGCCCCCACTCCACAAACCGGCGCACTGCCAACGGAGATCCAAAGAATGTCCACCGCAACCGCATCCGACCTCGCCATCAACGGCGGCACCCCAGTCCTTGAGTCTCCAGTCCCATTCATGGCCGTAGGACTTACCAAAAAAGACATCGCCGCCGCAAACGAAGTCCTCGAATCCGGGATGCTCAGAGCCGCCTCCAAATGCGCCGCACTCGAAGAACAGTTCGCCGCCAAATCAGACGCCAAAATCGGACTCACCTGCTCCAACGGCACCACAGCTCTCCAACTCGCCTACGGCGCACTCCTCGAACGTGGTGACGAAGTCATCGCCCCCGCATGGACCTACATCGCGACCGTCTCCATGCTCGTCGCCGCTGGCGCAAAGGTCGTCTTCTGCGACTGCATCGAAGACTCCTACCAAGCCGACCCAGCCGACATCGAAAAGAAGATCACCCCAAACACCAAAGCGATCGCCGTCACCCACCTCTACGGCATCCCAGTCGACATCGACGCGATCCAAGCAATCGCCGACAAGCACAACCTCAAAGTCATCTACGACTGCGCCCAGGCCCACCTCGCCGAGTACAACAACAAAGGCATCGGCGCATTCGGAGACGCATGCACCTACTCCTTCTACGCAACCAAGAACCTGGGAACAGGTGAAGGTGGCATGGTAACCGTCAACAACGAAGACCTCGCAACCACAATCGGCGCCCTCCGCTCCCACGGCGAAACCGACAAGTACCTCCACACCTCAATCGGTTTCAACTACCGCATGAACGACATCACCGGCGCGATCGGACTCAGCAAGCTCGAAACCCTCGGCGCCGAAACCGACCGCCGCCGCGCCGTCGCCAACCTCTACCACTCCCGCATCGACAACATCCAAGGCGTCGATCGCCCAGTCCCAACCCCAGGATCAAACCCAGCGTGGCACCTCTACACCTGCCGCGTAGATCTCGATGCACTGACCTGCACGAGAGACGAGTTCTGCGCCGCCCTCAACAAAGAAGGCGTCCCAACCGCCGTCCACTACCCCAAGCCGCTGACCCAACAACCCGCCTTCAGCGACCTTGCGAACCAAGAGTCCGGCGTACCAGTCTCCGTCAAACTCGCAAGCACCGTCTTCTGCATCCCCATCCACCAGAACCTCACCGACGAACAAGCCAACGGCGTCTGCGACGCCATCGCCAAAGTCGCCGACGCGTTCGCCAAGTAAATCGTCCTCACCTTCGACGACGAGCAGCAACCAACCCACCAACCGCAAACACCCCAATCACACCGGGAGCAGGCACCGTCGCTCCAACCCAGTCCAGCACCACGTCCTCATACAGCTTCGCCGAGATCGCCATATTGCCGTACATCCCGAAGTTCGTCCCGAACCCGTTCGTCGTACCCCACGACTGAACACTCGCGAGTCTCCACACGCCATCGGTATCCTCCACCCAGTACGCACCCCCGCTGTCGCCCTGCCCCGGGAAAAACTCCTGCGCCAGAGGCACCGCAGACCCGATCCGATTCAACCCCGGAGTCGTCGGCCCATCAAAGTCAATCACCAACCCATTGCTCGAAAGCTCAAAGCCAGGCAGGAACGATGACAACTGATCCGCCGTCGTATCAATCGTGTTGAGTCCCGCATGCAGCGTCCCCAGCGTTCCGGGAACCTGCCCACCAAACCCGTTCCCAGTCAGCCCCGCGCCCACAAGCATCGCCTGCCGACCAACAACACTCCCGCCGCGATAGATCTCCGCCGGCTCCACACCCTCAACCATCTCCTCAAGCCGCACCAGCGCCAGGTCATACCCCTCCATGATTCGGCTCGTCCCCATCCAAAGCGGATGCTCAAACGACTCCGCCCCCTGATACGTCCGTCCACCAATCGTGAACTGAATCTGATCCCCCGTCGTGATCTCCGTCCCGTGCGCCGCCGTGAGCACCCACCCCGGCGCAATCAACGTCCCCGATCCAAACGCCGAGCCCCCAAAGTTCACCGACCCCGCCGCCTGGAACCTCGACTCCATCGCCAGCTCCGCGTGATACGACAAAGGCACATCATGCCGAGAGATCCCCGCCGCCGCCGACATCCCCATACCAAAGACCAACCCCACCAGAACCATCCGACCACACCCAGCGTCTTGCACTTTCCGATCCATCCCATCCTCCAACTCAGTCCACAGCCACACCGATACCCCGCGAAAACTCCTCCCCAGAGCATCGTGCGACCTATTTAATTTGCATTTCAATCAATATACAAATTAATCAGCCGCAGGGTTTCACCCGCAATCAAAAAATCTTGCCGATCCCTTCACATACATTTCCATTGCACGCCCCAAATCCCTCCAGTACATTATGTTCGGAGGAAACATATATGAACACCATCCGTCCCATCATCCCCACCCTCACCATCGTGTCCGCACTGCTTACCTCACCCGCGCTCGCCGACATCTACCTCGAGGTCGACTTCGCAAACTCAAGCCCCAACGGCCTCAACGAAGGCAACCTCGCCATCTTCGACGAAACACCCCTCAGCGTCTGGATGTGGTCCGATGAACCCAACACCGGATTGCTCGGGATGACCATGGAAATCAACGGCCTTTCCTTCCTGGGAAACCCAAACTCTGGAGGCGATCTCCAGTTTAATGGCATCGGAACCGTCGATCCCGACAACCACTTCAACGCGCTCACAACCCCAGGCATACTCAGCAACGCAAATCAAATCACCGACATCGTCTTCTCAAACCTGTTCGTCACCCCAGAGCTCCTCCCCACGAGCCGAGAAAGCGCCTGGCTCATCTACACCGACTTCACAGGCACCGCACTCGATTCCGGATCAGGAGTCACCGCGATCCTCAGCGACTTCCAACTCACCCCCGGCTCAGTCACCGATCAGGAAATCATCTCCTACGGCCTCTACCAAACCCCAACCCCAAACACCACCACCCTCTTCGCCCTCGCCGCACTCACCGCCACCAAACGAAGACGCTGATCAGCCAACCACCCCCGCCACCACCGCAACCGTCCCAGGTCCGGCGCGCAGCACACAATCCCCCGCAATACCAGCCGGCACAAGCACAGTCTGCCCCGCCTCCAGCACCACCTCCTCAAACGCCCCGCTGCTGCTCGCGATCGATGCGCCCATCGTCTTGGGAACCATCACCACCGTCGCCCCCTCACCACCAAGCGCCACCTCACTACAGCTTGCGCTCACCACATCCATCGTATAAAAATCCGTCCCGCACACACGCGTCCGCACCGATCCCATCTTCGGAGGCCCTCCCATCCCCATCTTCGCGCTGCTGATACTCAGATCAGCCACGACTCCATCGCTCGGATCTTCAAACAACGCGCACTCCACCGCCTGCTCAATATGCAGCTCCCGCCCCTCGCGCCCGTACTCACTCGCCCAGTCATACACGCGATACGTCGTATCACTCGGAGTCTGCACCTCCGCGACCAGCACCCCCGCGCCCAGCGCATGCACCGTCCCCGAATCCAGCGTGTGACACGCCCCGACCACCGCAGGGATCGACCGCATCACCTCAGGGACCGTCCCTTCTTCAATCGCGCGCTGCAGATCCGCGCGCGTGACCCCCTCTTTGAGCCCCTTATAAATCACCGACCCCTCATCCGCATCAAGCACGAACCAGCTCTCGGTTTTCAGATGCGCTTCGTCATGTTCCGCCGCGTACGCCGGAGACGGATGCACCTGCACGCTCAGATGCTCCCGCGCATCAAGATACTTCACCAAGAGCGGAAACCCACCCTCCGCGCTCAGCTTCGCGCCCCCAAGCATCCCCTCGCCCCACGCGCTGATCGCATCGCGGATCGTCTTGCCCTGCATCGCACCGTTACTGATCACGCTGATCGCCGCGTCACCCCCACCGCCGCTCGCGCTCGTCGAGGACAGATCCGCAAGCTCCCACGACTCCCCGATGTTCACCCCCTCAGACACCCCATCTGCTTCTCTTCATGAGACATCCGCTCGAGATCCGATGCGCCCCCGCTGCTCGGACGCCCACGCACGCCACGCACCAGCGATCCAACACCAGGTGACCAAACATCCGCTCCCATCATCTCACAGTGAAAAGCAGATCGCTCATCTGCCCAGCACCACACCCTTAGCTTGTTGCCGCCCTTCGCCTTGTTGTAGTCCTCGCGGCAATCCTGGAGCAGTTGTTCCATCTTCTCGAGCAGATCCATATCAACCTCGTTTCCAATCAACGCCGAATAACCCCGGCGAGTATCTCATATCAACCACCACGATCCGTCGTGATGACTCATCATCTTACCCCAAAAACACCCGCGCCGCATTCAGCGATTGCCCTCTGTTCGTAAAAAATTCGGGCATGTCGCCGCCATCAGCACCCGCCGAACATCCGCAAGCTCCGCCGCATCATCCCCCACAGGCAGCCCGATCGCCTCTCGCAGCGCCCCAAAGTCTCCACCGGATCCACCCCGCACAGCTGCTCCTCGTGCCCCCAGTACAGCCGCTCCACCGCGTCCCGACCCAGTGTCCAGGACCAACCAGCGCCAGATCAATCAGCGAGCACCTGCTGCGGATTGTGCGAAACCCGCCGCATCGCGTTGTTTCATCATGATGACACCACGTACCAATGTCCCGATCCGCCCAGCGCCCCGCAAACACGTCCAGATCCCCCAGCACGCGCTCGATCGCGCGTTTCCACCGATCCCCATCCTCCATCACGTGCGCCTCGACCTCGCCGATCGCCTTCTCCAGATCCCCTTCCCAATCCGGCTCGCGCCCCCGCTTCTTCGGATCGACAATCTCCTCAAGAATCGCCGCCGCCTGAAACTCCGCCGCCGTCTCAAAGATCTCCCAAATGCTCGAGAATCCAGCTCATCGGCGGATTCTTGAACTTCTCGATCACCAGCCACGCAAAGTCATGCCCACCAAGCTCATACCCCGCCGCGAGCACGCGTGGCGTCGGAAGACTCAGACTAGCCGAACGCTCCCAGTCCTCATCATGCACCAACCCCAACCGCTTCGTCCAGTGATATTCCCCTCCCACAGGCAGCTTCACCACACACTCGATCTCTTCACCCGACTTTGTCTTCCAAGTCGAGAACCCCGTCCCCGCGCCCGAATGCTGCCAAGTCGTATTGAACCACGAGATCGGCCCAGATGCCCCCGGCACTCATCGATCACATCCGAAGCAAGCGCCGAAGCCAACCCATGAGCATCTTCACCAAGCATGCAGATCTCCAGCCCAACGATCACTTCAACACAAAAGCACGCACCCCCTACACCATACCAATCATCCCCCGTCACGCAAAGCCGACCCCAATCCACCTGCGCCCTTTCCATAGCTCGGCACACACTGTGGACCAGTTCTGGATCGAGCCCATCAACCCGGTCATCCCCGCTCACCCCGCGCGGCCACTCGATCTCCGCCCCAACCGCCTTCTTCCCACGCCCCCAAGCTTCTTCCTCCGCGACTGAAACAACACCTGCGCATGCTCGCTCATCGCGACCCACACGCCGGATCATCGCCGCCCACCAAACTCGTATCTCGCGTCCACCCCATCATCGCACTCTCCACCCCAGGAGCAGGCCAGAAACACCCCGCCCCCAGCTTCGCGATGCATCTCCACCCTCCCCGCGCCACTGCGCCACCACCGACACCATCCCGTACGCCTTGCTCCCCCCACTCGTACCAGCCCCCGCCGCGAACCGATCCACCACCTCCCGTTGGATCGTCACATACATCCCCTTGCACTCCGCGTGCCTCGTCATCAACGTCATCATCCAGGCGTCGCCGCGTGATAAGGCGATTCGCCACATGCGTGCAACCCCGCACCCCCGCCCCACTCATCCAGCGCCTCGACTTCAGGATTCAACATCTTCTTCCCGACAAACAATCCCCCTCGATCATCACCACAAAGCGTCTCGTCCCCACCACACCCCCGCTCAAGCAACCGCCCACACCTTATCCGTTGATCAGAGGACGGATCACCGACTCCTCTGCAGCCGTTCACACCGTCTCAACCGATCGCATCCGCGACCCCATCCCCGTCGTTGCTCGCCGTGACATCATATCTTTGAAGCATCGAACAGCGTCATCCCCGCGCATGGATCATCGTCAGGTCATTGATCAATCCCCCAACGTATCGATGTTTCCAAATACCAGCGCACCATCCACTTCGTCGTCTTGTCGAAGATTTCCAGAATTCCTCCCCCCGCATCACATCAGGTTTCACGCGTGAAAGTCATGCGCTCCACCAGATCCCCATTTCCGCTTAAAACAATCTCCCACCGGATTCGACCGCCAACCCATCACACCCCATGTGCTCGGATGCTCCTCAAACCTCCGCGAGCTCCGCCACGCAATCCATGATCCCTCCAATGATTCCAGCGGATTCATCAGGAAAATCCAGAGCCGTACGCCAATCTTCTCAACAAAACCACCCCCAACTCCACAAACACGCCACCGCACGATGCACCAGCTCATCGCGCATCTCCACGCGATGCAGCGTCCTCCCCGAAACCGGATCCGCAACAATCGATCCCCCCGCCACCATCACAGGGAGCTTCTGCCCAATCGCCTCAAGCGCCGTCCGCGATTCCACCAGCCCCCGACCAGTGCAGATCAGCACATGCACCCCCGCCTGCCGAGCCCGATCAATCGCCTCAATATTCGCGCGAGACACCTTCTTGTCACGCCCCAGCAGCGTGCCATCCAGATCAATCGCAAGCACATCAATCATCGCCATGCAAAGACAATACGCCGAGCGTTACCCGCGGTCCCGATCCACCGTGCACACACCCTCAGCCCCGCGCCCCATTGTGATCACATTCTTCCCCGACCGCTTCGACTGCAGCGCCAACTCATCCGCGAGCGCCAAGAGCGACTCCCCATCACTCCCATCCCACGGATACGAAGCCAATCCACCCGACACCGTCAATGTGCCGCACGCCTCATCGCCGAGCTTCGGGAAGTTGTGATTGCAGATCTGCTTCTGGAACCGCGTCGCGATGTCATAGATCGACTCCGGAGGCATCGACCCCGGATCCCGAGGTCCCTTGGGTTCATAAAAGATCACCACAAACTCGTCCCCACCAATCCGGCACACCTTATCCCCAGGACGGATCACCGACTCCAGCAGCCGCACCGTCTCAACCAAGATCTCATCCCCCGCCGCGTGCCCGTACCGATCGTTGTACCCCTTGAAATCGTCGATATCAAAGTACAACAGCGTCAGCGTCCGCCGCGCATTGCGCGCCTGATCGATCGCGGCATCAAGGAACCTCGTAAAGTACCGACGATTCCACGCACCAGTCAGCTCATCCGTAAACGCCGCGAGTCTCAGTTCGCGCTGCTGCGCTTCAAGCCGCAACCACGACCCCAGCCACGACGCGTGCTCGCCAATCGCGCGAGCCCCGTTCCCCTGCGCCCACGCGCGATCCTCGCACACGAGCGACCCAAACACCTTGCCCCCCGCAGAAACCGCAACCCCATTATCACTCTGCCCCGTCACAAACGACCACCCCTGCCGACCTGTCCGAGCCGCGATCAATGCCAGCGCATCATCAAGTACCGAACGTCCCTCACCCATCGCGCGGATTACACATTCATCAGTTAAATCACCAGCCGAATACGCATCCCGCTTCTCAACCACCCCACCCAATCCAACATCCGACATCACACGCTGATGCAGCTTCATCACCTCGCGCATGTTCGACGCGTCTACTTCGTCACTCGTTTCTTCACAAACACCCACAGCTTGCGTTTCACGAAGTACACGATCATCACTGTCAGCAGCCTTTTCATCGATACCAGCCTTCAACTCTTCAGCTTCTTGAACAGCGACCTCGACTTCAGTCGACTCATCATCCTCGTCCTTCGGAATGATCACCCGCGGCATCGCCACCGCATCCCGGATCACACCCATCACCCGATCACCACTCGCGTCACGATCCACACACCCGTCATACAGCGGATGCCGCTCACCAACGCGGATCACCTTCACCGAAGCATCCACCATCCGCAGCGCTTCTACAAACCCTCCGAGCTCATCGCCCTTGGGTTCCGCATCCGCCGCGACGAGCACCGCCGCTCTCGCCGGCGACGCATCATCAATCGGATCACTCAGCTCACCGATCGCATCAAACGAATCCCGCGTCCGGATCAGCTCCACCCCCGCAACGCGCCGCAGCACCTGATCCAATCCCGTCCGCCCCACCAGGATCACGCGCCAACCCGATCCAGATCCAGATGACAAAACACCATCACCGCGCCCGAGCTGATGCTCGCTGCCGCTGATCGTCTTTCCATCATCCGTAGGCATCAACTCCGCAATCCTTCCATCAATCCATATCGCTCGGCTTCAACAGCGCCGCGAGCTCATCCTGATCCAGCACATCCGATGCTTTGAGCGTCGAACCACTCCCATTGCTCCCCGCAATCCGAAGCGCCGGCCTACTCGCAGATTCCGTCTTCTCCGATACCCGCGCCTCGCGTCCCGAGTCCGGAGTCGCAACCTTATTCGTCTTATCTACGAACCCACGCAATGGTGGGTTCGCCCCTTCTTCATACACCCACACCCGCGCCAGAGGACAAAAACGCTCCATCGCACCCAAAACCCGCGATTGCTCGTCAAGCTCACGCCCACCACCATCAAGCACCACAATCACCCCGCCTCGCCCCTCATCGGCGCGCTGCTGCTCAGCACAACCAATCGCGAGCACCTCGTGCGCCGATCGGCTCGTCTCGACGCGCAGCCCCCTCGAAGACAACGCACGCACCAACGCAGCAGCCGACTGGGCGCCCGATTGATGCCAAACAACGCACCGACGATGTTCACCTTTACGAGCCGAAGTCTCCATACCCCAGTGTACCACACACCCACCAAAGAACGACCCAGAACCAACGGATTTCAGAGCGTTTCTGGGACAGGTCCGAGAACATCACCTTGATATCAAGAATGCATCAACGCATCCGCGATCACGCGCGCCCCGTCCGCATCGCCAAGTCCTTCCAGCGCGTGCTTCATCGCATCGAGCCGATCAAGTTCACGCAGCAGAGCACTCAACGATTCACCGTGCGCCGCGACATTCCTTTCGGCATCGATCAGATCATCGCACACCACCGCCGCGCCTGCCTCGACGAGCACCGCCGCGTTGTGCTTCTGATGCTCATCCTTGTGATACGGATAAGGCAGAAACACCCCAGGCACCCCCGCCGCCCAGCACTCGCCCACCGTCCCCGCGCCGCATCTCCCCACCATCAGATCCGCGGCTTCAAGCGCCGCGCCCATCTCCTCAATATATTCCACCACCACCGCGCTTACACCCACTTCACGATACCCAAGCGCCACAACTTCGCCGTCGCCACCACCCCCAACCTGATGGAGCACCTGCCAACATTCGAACGCATCGGAGTGCGTGCGTGCCATATCCACCATAAACCGATTCACAGACCGCGCCCCCTGCGATCCCCCAGTCACCAGCAGCGTATGTTTGTCCGAATCCAAACCAAACTCATCGAATGCACGCTTCCGATCCCGCCGACCCTCAAACCCCCGCACGATCGGACGCGTCGGCGCCCACTCACCGAACCCGCTCAATCCGTCCCGCACCTTCGCCGCCGTGAACGCCCGACCCGCGCGTTTCCCGATCCACCGATTCGCCTTGCCCGGAACCGCATCTAGATTCACCAGCACCAGCTCGCACTTCTCCGCGCGAGCCGCCATCGCCGACGGCGCCGACACAAACCCGCCCATCGAAACCACCACGACCTCGTCGCAGTCCTTCTTCATCGATTTGATCACGCTCCGCACACCCCGAACACTCGCGCCCCAGTTCTTGACAAACCGCAGCACGCCGCGAACCCCGCCGCTCGGAGAGCTCGCCGGGATCGTCGAGAACGCCTGATCCTCCGATTCCAGAATCGCCGAGTCGAGATGGCGCTGCGAGCACACGATGTGTGTCTTGACACCCGCGTCGATCGCGCGAAGCTGCTCGATGATCGCCACCGCCGGATAGAGATGACCACCCGTCCCGCCTCCCACAAAGACAAACCCGCGAGATGGAATGTCGCTACCCATCAGCTCCGATCCGCGAACCAGTCGTCCGCCTCAGGAACATCCTCGTGCCTCTGTTCTTTCCCTACCCGGACCAAACGCTTGCGTTTGGGAACCACCACCTCAAGCTCGTGCTCCGATTCCGTCTCCCCCATCAGCTCCGCCATCTCCTGCGCACCGATCTCGTGCGGCTCCCTTGAATTCCTAGAGCCGCCCCCCCCCATCACCAAGCCAGGCATCATCCCGCCGCGCTGCGCAAACGAGATGTCTTCCTCAAGCGATCCATCAAACGCCGACGCGTACTCCTGCGTCCGCTCGATCGCCACAATGAGCCCCAGACACACCGACGTCACCACCCACCCCGTCCCGCCATTACTCAGCAAAGGCAGCGCGATCCCCTTCGTCGGACCCAATCCCGTCACCACCATCAGATTGATCATCGCCTGAATCGAGAACGTCGCCACCACCCCGATCACAATCAGCCGAAGCGTCGCCGACGTCTCCCTGCGTGCAATATCCGTCCCCACCCAAAGAATCGCCGCGTACGCCGCGATCACCGCCAGCGCGCCCATGAACCCCATCTCCTCACAGATCACCGCGAACAAAAAGTCCGTCGTGTCCTCAGGGAGATACCCAAACTTCTGAAGCCCGTTCCCGAGTCCGCGCCCAAAGAACCCACCACCAGAGATCGTCGTCAGCGACTGGATCATCTGATACCCCTCACCCTGCGCATCCGCGTACGGATCCAAAAAAGCCGTGATCCGCTTCACGCGATAAGGCGAAGTGATAATCGCCGCCGCCACCCCCGCGAGCCCGATCGGAACAAACGCCGCGAAGTGCTTCAATCGTGCCCCGCCCGCAACCAGCACCACGCTGCACGCGAGCACCATCAGCACCCCCGTCCCCAGATCCTCCATCACCACCGCGAACGCCACCGCGCCGATGCACAAGATCACAGGCAGCAAACCCTTCCAAAACACCGTCAACCGATTCTCGCGATACGACGCCAAACGCGCCGCGTACCACGCGACCAACAGCACGATCCCCCACTTCGCCAGCTCGCTCGGCTGCATCGACTCAAGACCAGGCAGCCGCAGATCCACCCAACGATGCGCCCCGTTCCGTGGTCTTGCAATCCCAGGCACATACACCAACCACACCACCCCAATCAGCACCGCACACCCAATCAACAACACCCCAAGATCCCCGCCAGGCTTAAACCACACCACCCGATCCAAACGCGCCGCGATCTTCCGCATCGGAATCCGCGAAGCCAGCACCATCGCCCCCACCGCGAGCACCAAATACAACGCCGACCGCGAAGTCATCAACGACCTCGCGCTCACTCCATCAACGGCAGCAGCTTTCCCACCCCCGACCGGATCAGTCCCAACCACCCCCGTATCAACCAGACCAGCCTCACCCAGTCCAGGCACCTGCATCCCCGCGCTCTGCACCATCACCACCCCGATGGTCAGCAGCGCCAGCGCGCACAACATCAACACTTGTCCAGATCGAACCATCTAGGGACAATCGACCAACCAACCCAAAGCCGTCCAAAAACAGTCCGTTTTCACAGCAGATTCAGCGAGACCTTCTTCTCAAGCTCCTCGACCGGACGAGCGATCAGGTCGTACCCATCGCTCCCCACAATCGTGCACCGTACCAGCTCCCCCGGCGCGATCTTCTTCTTCGCCACCACCAGCGTCGTCGCATCAATCTGCGGCGCCTGGAAATACGTCCGCCCCTTGTACAGCGTCCCGCCCTCCGTCACGCCGGGAGTAGGCTCAACCTCCGACCCCGTCGAAGAATCAATCAGCACATCAAACCGCACCCCAGTCTCCGTCGGCTTCTCAAAATCGAACTGGTCCGCAACAAACGCCGCCTGCTCCCACGCGATCTCCTGCTGCAGCGCCATGATCTCATCATGCCGACGCTGCTTGACCTCCGCCGGAACCGCCAGCGCCGGATCCTCCTCCATAGTCCCCGCCACAGTCCCAGGCTCCTTCGAATACTGGAAACACCCCACCGCATCAAACTGCACCTCATCCATAAACGCGAGCAACTCCTGATGATCCTCCTCAGTCTCACCAGGGAATCCCGTAATGAATGTCGTCCGGATAGCCATCCCCGGAATGCGTTCTCTCAACTTATGGCACAGCTCCGTCTGATGCGCGCTCGTCACATTCCGTCGCATCAACTCAAGCACCCGATCCGATCCATGCTGCAACGGAATATCCAGATAAGGCAGCAGATGCCCCCGATCCGCGACCTCCGCCATCGCATCAATAATCTCATCCGTAAAGAACGTCGGATACGCGTACATCAAGCGCAGCCACCCGTTCCCCGACTCCTCTTTCACCGCATCCGACAACGACTTGAGCAGCTTCGGAAGCCCCGCTCGAAACTTGTCGTCCCCGCCAACCTGCGACAACCCAACCCCGATGTCATCGCCATAACTCGTCGTGTCCTGACCGATCATCAGCAGCTCAAACGCCCCGTCCCGCATGAGCTCCCGCGCCTCATCCACAATCCGATCCATCGGCTTCGAGCGCATCTTGCCTCTGATAGAAGGAATCGTGCAGAACGCACAGTTCTGGTTGCACCCCTCGCTGATCCGCAGGTACGCGTAGTGCCTTGGAGTCAGTCGCAATCGTGCATTGTCCGACTCGTAGTACCCGATCCCCTTGCCGTCTTTCCCCGCGACCGTCAGCCCAACAGTCTGCAGCCCCTGATCCTTCGCGCTCGTCATCGCGTTCGCGTGGATCCAGTACTTGGGTGCCTTCTCCGCGACATCCGTATCCGACTCGCGCTTCGCGCCCTCGCCGCGCACCGCGTTGATGATGTGCTCACGATCAAACACCCCCACCATCGAATCGATCCCAGGCTCCCACTCCAGCATCTTCGCGCGATGCCGCTGCACCAAACACCCCGCGACCACAACCCGCTTGACCTTCCCCTGCTCCTTGAGCGCGACCGCTTCCTTGATCACCCCGAGCGATTCATCCTTCGAAGCCTCGAGGAACCCGCAGGTATTGATCACCACCGCATCCGCCGCCGTCACGCGCCCCGACACCGCACTCGAATCCTGCTCCGATCCCGACAACGACAGATCATCATGCTCCGCGTCGTCCATCGCCTCCGCCGAGACAGGCAGCAACCCGTCCGCAGCAAGCAACCCCAGCATCTTCTCCGAATCCACCAGGTTCTTGGGACACCCAAGAGACACAAATGAAATAGTCTCAATACTTTGCGGCTCAGCTTGTTCAACAGCGGTAGTCATAGGACCAATCGTAGCCCGCCCATCGGCTCAACCCCAAAACATCCGATCTCAGAAGATGAGAAGCCCAAGCGCCATCCACGCCCCCGCCACCACCATCACCACCGCCGTGTACCCCACAATCTCCCGCGCCTTCACACGAGTAATCGCAAGCAAAGGCAGCGCCCAGAACGGTTGCAACATGTTCGTCAGCTGATCCCCATACGCGACCGCCATGATCATCTTCCCAGGACTCACCCCAACCTCCGCGCCAGTGCTCAGCGCGATCGGCCCCTGGATCCCCCACTGACCACCACCACTCGGCACAAACAAGTTCACCACCCCCGCGCTGATGAAGGTCACGAGCGGAGCCGTCGTCTCCGTCGCAAACGATCCGATCCAGCTCGAAAACTCCGCCACCAATCCGCTGCTCACCCCCATCCCCATGATCCCCGCGTACAGCGGGAACTGCAGGATAATCCCCGCGCACCCCGCCGCGCCGTCCTCCGCCGCGCTCACATACGAGCGCACCGAGCCGTGCAGAATGAGCCCCAGCGCGAGCATCACCATGTTGATCTCGTTGGGTCCCATCCGCAGCACCCCCGACTGATCCACAAAGCGCCAGTACCCCAACAGCAATCCAATCGCCAGCGCCCACACCACGATCGGAGAACGCTCGATCCAATCCGGAAATCCCTTGAGCCGACCATCATCAATATCCGCCATCTCCGGATCGTCACTCATCGGCATCTCAACAATCTCGCCCTCCGCCATCGTCCCTGTCTTGGGAGTCAGCAGCCACAACACCGCAGGCACAATCACCAAGAGCCCGCCGCACACAAACAGGTTCATCGGAGACAGCACCGTCTGCGAAAGTGAAACCCCATCGAACACGCCGTCGATCGTCATCGATTCGACCACACTGCTCGGAAGCACGCTCTCCGCTTCCGCTTTGGAAGTCATCTTGAGCGGCGCACTCCCAGAGAACCCGCCGTGCCAGCCGATCAGTCCCATGTACCCCGCCGCCGCGAGCAGCGCGCCGTGCGCGCGTATGCCTCTTGATCGCAGCGATCGCGCCACCTCACGCGCCAGCAGCGCCCCGACGATCAATCCGAGCCCCCAGTTGATCAATCCGAACACGATCGCGAAGAACCCCACCAGCGCCGCCGCGCTCCCGGCGTGCTTGGGAATCCGCGCCAACGCATCAATCATCTTCCGCACGGGCTTACTCGCGGCAAGCGCATGACCCGTCACCAGAATCAGACACATCTGCATCCCGAACGCAAGGAACTTCCACAATCCATCGGAGCCCCGCCATGAATCGAGCAGCAGCTTGGACTTATCAGCAACCGAAGCCTGCCCCTCAAAACCAACAGTGACCGCGAGGATCGCCGTGATGAGCGTCAATCCCACCGCGATCACGAACGGATCGGGCGCGGTTTTGCAGAACAGTTTGGAAAGTGTGCTCCCGAGCTTCGAGATCATGAATATTCCTTTCGAGCAACTGATTGTCTCCCAGTATGACACGAATCGCCCCTCCCTGCACATCACCTCCCGCTTCTGAGCCGAGCGATTTACCTAGCATCGCGTCCATGAGTTCCACTGACCCATCAACTTCCGAAAGCCAAGATCGGCGCAACGGCTTCCTTTTCGCATCCGCCGCGTTCGGATGGTGGGCTTTCATCGTCCCCTCCTACTTCCGATTGCTCTCTCAGCACAACGCACTCCCGCTCGAAGTGCTCGCACAGCGAGTGATCTTCGGCCTCCCGCTGCTCATCGGGATCCTGATGTTCAACAAGAAGATCCCCGATCTCATCCGCGCCGCGACGCAGTGGAGCACGCTCAAAGTCCTGATCCCCTCGACAGGGCTCATCGCGATCAACTGGTTTTTCTTCATCTACGCCGTGAGCACGGATCGCTTGAACCACGCTTCGCTCGGATACTACATCAACCCGCTCTTCTCGATCCTGCTCGGATTCCTGTTCCTTGGAGAGCAACCAACGAAACTGCAAAAGACAGCAATCGCAATCGCCGGCGCCGCTGTGATCATGATGACCATCGCCGAGCTCGACGCCGGAGGGGGTTGGCCGTGGATCTCGCTGCTGCTCCCCGCGAGCTTCGGTCTGTATGGACTGCTCCGCAAGCAAGTCCAAGTGAGCGGGACTGTGGGGATCACCTTCGAGATGATCGTGCTGCTCCCGTTCTGCATCGGACTGATGATCTGGTTGACCACCTCCGACAAAGGTATCTTCTTCGCGCCGACCACAGCGACCTGGATCTCATGGATCATGCTCCTCGGAGGCGTGATCACCATCATCCCTCTGATCTGCTTTACCAATGCAGTGCGATTGCTGCCGTTGTCGACTGTGGGGCTGTTGCAGTTCAGCGCGCCGACCGGTCAGCTCGCATTGTCTGTGTTGTTCTTTGGTGAGACGTTCACGCCGCTCAAGTTCGGCGCGTTCGTGCTGATCTGGATCGCGATCGGTGTGTTCATCCGCGATCTTGTTGTATCCCACCGCGAGCGTCAAGCGAACATGCAGACCGAGATGCTCGAGTAGAGCGGGACTTACCTCGGTCCCATGCCGTAGCGCGTGGTCGGCCAATCCAGCATGTCGTAGACACGCAGCGCCTTGAGCCTCGGCTTCCACTTGTTCACGAAATCCACATGCGACGAGTGCACGACATACATGTTGAGGTCGGCTTCGTTTTCGAATCCCAGATAGATCGCGAGGTCGTAGTCGCCGCGGACTGTTGAGCGGCCGGTATCGAGATGCTTCCCGGCGGCGAAGGTGCTGACGGTTGGGATCGTTCCCAGCATCCAGTCGGCGTCGTGGAGGATCTCGTGGAAATCTGAGGGATTGGAGAGCTCGACGAACACGATGTGTCCGATCATCGCCGGCGGTGGAGGCGGCGGCGGGACGGGCGCTCGGCTTGTACGCGACGATCCTGAACAGGCGGTGAGTGATACAAAAACTATGGCGATCAGTGTGATCTTGAGGGCAGAGAGCACGGTTTGGGTGATTTTCATAGATGGATGGTATCCGATTGTGTCAGCGGAGCGTATCGGGACTCGGTTATGGTATAGATATCAGATTGTTCCACGTGGAACATGACACGATTTGTGCGCCCAGATGGAGACATACTCATGAGCGGTTTGGATACGGCAGGAATGGATACAGGACGGCAAGAGGATGTGCAGGGATTGTGCGCGCGGATTGAACGGCTGGAGCGGCGCAATCGTCGGCTGGTTGTTGGGATGGTTGGGGCTGGGTTGCTCGGCGCGGGAGCGCTGCTGGGCGGGATGAACGCGGCGGATACGGACAAGGTGGTTGCGTACACGGCAACGGATGGGACGATGTATCGGATCTTCGAGTCTGGCGAGATTGAGTATCTTCGGCTGGATGACAATCCGCCTCGCACGGCGCATGGGGTGTTTGATTGGGGTGTGGTGAAGATTGATGAGAACTACACGCTGCGCGATCGGCCGTAGTGTTTGCGCGCGATCTTGCTTACACTGGTGTGGACATGTTCTGAAGGAGCTCTTTGATGAAAGCATGGATTGCTGGTGTGATGGTTGCGTGTGTGATGGTGATGCTGGCGGGATCGCTGGGTGGGTGTGCGACGATTCGCAATGAGAAGTTCAAAGAGGTGGAGTTCACGAGCGATCCGAGCGGGGCGACTGTGGTGGTTGAGGAAGAGGTTGTGGGGACGACGCCTGTGGTTGTGGAGGTGGCGCGGAAGGGGCGGGACAAGCGGGTGGAGATCGCGCTCGATGGGTACAAGACGGTTCAGCTGAATCTGGATCGTTCGGTCGAGGGCAAGACGATCTTCGGCGGGTTGATCGGGATGAGCGTTGACGCGATCTCGGGGAAAGCGGGGACCTACACGGACAGCGTGCACATTGTGCTTGAGGAGGGGGAGGGTGTGGTGGAGGTTGATTCGAAGGATCTCGACGCGCTGAAGGAAGAAGAGATCGAAGAAGTGTCGGAGTGATTATTCATCAATCACACGAACACCCAACGCTTGCGCGAGGGCGGGGGCTTGGGAGGGGGTGATGGTGATGTGTCTGAGCTGGGATGGGGAGACGGCGATTGACTCGATGAGCGAATCGCGGAGGTCGAGGTGGTCGATCTTGGCGTCGATGAGGCGGAGGTTGCGCGCGTCGGAGTTGGTGATCGCGAGGGAGTGGATTGTGGCGCCTGAGAGGTCGAGACTTGTGAGTTGGCAGTGATCGAAACGAACTCGGGTGAGCTTGGTTTCGGTCAGGAGCATGTCGGGGGCTTTGCAGTCTTTGAAGTGGACGTCGCGGAGGTCGGCGCCTCTTGCGTCGAATCCTGTGAGTTTGGTGCTGGAGATGTGGACTCGGATGAGTCGGGCGTCGATCCAGGTGGCGCTGGAGAGGTCGGCGGTTTGGATCTCACAGTCGGTCCAGCGTGAGGACGGAAGTGTTGAGGACATCAAAGAAGTGTTGGTGAGTTTGGATTGATCGAAGGCGATCGATCGCGCGTGGATTGGTTGAGCGAAGGGGGTGTTGATTTGGATGCGTTCGCAAGCAATGTTGTTATCGAGTGATGGTGGAGCATCGCTGAACTCGACGGCGTCGAGGTCTGGCGGTTCGGGGGTGATGTGTTTGATTGGTTGCGTGCTCATCTCGCTTAGTGGGCGAGTGGGAACTGCTTGCAGAGGTTGGTGACTTCTGCTCGGACTGAGGCGATTACAGATTCAGCGCCTTTGGATTCGATGATTTGGTTGATCCAGTCGGCGATCTGGGTCATCTCTTGTTCTTTGAATCCTCGCGTTGTCGTTGCGGGGGTTCCGAGTCTCAGTCCGGAGGTGATCATGGGTGGGCGTGGGTCGTCGGGGATGCCGTTTTTGTTGGTGATGAGACCGGCGTCTTCGAGCCATTTCTCGGCGTCTTTGCCGGTGAGTTCGGAATCTTTTTCGACGAGCGAGACGAGCATGAGGTGGTTGTCGGTTCCTCCGCTGGTGATGCGGAAGCCGTGGTTGGTGAGGGCTGCGGAGAGTGCTTGTGCGTTTTTGATGACTTGTTGTTGGTAGGCTTTGAACTCTGGTTTGAGTGCTTCTCCGAAGGCGACGGCTTTGGCGGTGATGATGTGCATCAGTGGGCCGCCTTGGACTCCGGGGAAGACATTGCGGTTGATGAGTTTGTTGAGTTCTTCGTCGTTGGTCATGATGAGACCACCGCGCGGACCACGCAGGGATTTGTGTGTGGTGGTGGTGACGATGTGGGCGTGGGGGAAGGGGCTTGGGTGCTCTCCGGCGGCGACCAAACCTGCAATGTGGGAGATGTCGGCCATGAGTGTGGCGCCGACTTCGTCGGCGATTTCGCGGAAGCGTTTGAAGTCGATGACTCTTGGGTATGCGGAGTATCCACAGAGGATCATTTTGGGTTTGTGTTCTTTGGCGGCGGCGAGGACGGAGTCGTAGTCGATCTGTTCGTGTTGGGGGTGGTTGGTGTCGTAGTGGAGTGCGTAGTGGACTGGGTTGTAGAAGATTCCGGAGAAGTTGAGGAACATGCCGTGGGAGAGGTGTCCGCCGTCTTTGAGGACGAGGGAGAGGAAGGTGTCTCCGGGTTCCATCATGGTCATGAATGCGGCGGTGTTTGCTTGGGCGCCGGAGTGTGGTTGGACGTTGGCGTATTTGCATCCGAAGAGTTCTTTGGCGCGGTCGCGTGCGAGTTGTTCGACGGCGTCGTGGTGGACGCATCCGCCGTAGTAGCGGCGTCCGGGGTAGCCCTCGGCGTATTTGTTGGTCATGCAGGTTCCCGCGGCGACGGTGACGGCGGGAGATGCGTGGTTTTCTGAGGCGATCAGCTCGATGGTGGTTTCCTGTCGCTCGCGCTCGAGGGTGACGAGTTGGGCGACCTGGGGGTCGGTCGCGGCGATGGAGTCGAGGATGGCTTGATCGATTGAGGTGGATGTGGTCGTCATGGGGGGATGGTAGGAGATTTTTGTCGCGTTGGCGGGCTGGAAACGGGGGTGGTTTTGATTGGTTTGGGGATTGGGGGTCGGTTTGGTACACTGGGGGTTGACCATCAAAAATGAGGAGAACTGATATGGATATGTTGAATCGTTGCGTGCTTGGGGTTGCTGCGGGGTTGGCGATTGGCTTTGGCGGGTTGACTGCGGACGCGGCACCGATTACATATCAGGGAATGCTGCATGATGGTGCGAATCCTGCGGAGGGATTGTTCGAGATGCAGTTTGCGCTTGCGGACTCGCCGGAGTTTGGGATTGCATTGCAGTTTGTCGTTGTGGCGGATGTCGATGTGAATAAGGGCTTGTTTGAGGTTGAGATTGAGTTTGATGATGTGCACTTTGATGGGTCGGATCGATGGTTGGCAGTTCGGGTTGAAGGGGAGATACTAACGCCTCGGACGAAGATCAACTATGCGCCGTATGCGATCCGTGCGAGTCATGCTGATCATGCGGATGTGGCGTCGGATCTTGAGGTGCCTTGGGTGGTGGTGAGTGATCTTGATATTGTTGATGCGACCTCGCTGCGTGGGGTTCCTGTGCGTGGGTATGTGTCGAATGAGTTTCTGACGAATCCGGCCGTGCTCGGCGAGACTGATTCGGTGGAAGATGGTGGCGCTGGTGTGCTTGGGCGTGCGAACTCTGAGTCGCACAGCGCTGATGCCGCGGGTGTGCGGGGAGAATCCAACGCGAGCGGATTCAGTGGTTATGGCGTGCATGGGATTCATCGCGGGCGGGGGTTTGCGGTGTATGGGGAGAGTCCGGGGCTTGGGTTTGGGGTGGTTGGGGATTCTTTCGGGGCGACCGGTGTCATGGGGAGGTCAACAGACGCAGCTGGGACATCTGGGTTATCTGCAAATGGGTATGGGTTGTTTGCCAGTTCAACAAACCATATCGGGACGACTACGAGGACAAACTCTGGGCCGATGGCAATTGAGGGTTTAAATATTGATGCGGGTACAGAGTTTCGCGGTGCGACTACTGAATATGGGTTCGAAGCGTACAACACGGATGTTGAGGGTGAGGGCACGGCGATCTACGGCGAGGGTGGGAGCGTCGGGGTACGCGGGGTGGCGCTGCCTGATGGGTTTGGGGCGGGGCTGCTGAGGGTTGGGGTGGATGGGTTTGCGGGTGGATTCCTTTCTGGAGCGAACATGTTCTACGGCGTGCGTGGGTTTGGGCAAGCGCCGGCTGAAGGGGGATCGCGGACTTCGTATGGGGTGTACGGGGGTGCGCAGGTCGGGAATGCTACGAACACGGCGTATGGTGTGTTTGGTGAGGTGTTTGGGCCTGGGAGTAATCGGTATGCTGGATTTTTCCAGGGGGATGTGCATGTCGCGGGGACGCTGTCGAAGTTGTCGGGGACGTTCAAGATCGATCATCCGCTGGATCCGGAGAACAAGTACCTGTCGCACTCGTTTGTGGAATCTCCGGAGATGATGAATGTGTACTCTGGGGTGATCACGCTTGATGAGCACGGGGGTGCTGTTGTTGAACTTCCTGAGTACTTTGATTCTCTCAATAAGGACTTCCGGTATCAGCTCACGGCGGTTGGCGGGGCGATGCCTGAGCTGCATGTCGCGAGCTTGATCAAGGGGAACTCGTTTGCGATTGGTGGCGGGGCTGCTGGGATGCAGGTGAGCTGGGAAGTCAGCGGCGTGCGGAAGGATGCTTCGGCGCTGTATCGTCCGATCGAGGTCGAGAGCGACAAGCGCGTGGAGGATCGTGGGTTGTATCTTGATCCCGAGGCGTTTGGGTTTGGGCGCGAGCGGGCGATCCATCGGTCTGGGCCGCGGGAGGATTGAGCTTGCTCAGTCTGATGTGATGTTGGGACTGAGTGGTTTTTGGTAGACGGAGTAGACTCCGAAGAGGTCGGTCTCGAGGTTCATGCGCTCGTCCCATCCCAGCGCGGCGCCCATGGTGCGCGCGTAGGCGGATTCGTCTTGGTCGTGGGCGAGGACTGTGAATCCGGCTTTGGTCCATGCGGATTCGGGCCAGGGATTGGAGATGTCGGACCAAGGTTTTTGGGGGTCTGGCTTGGGCCCGAGGGATTCGATGATGACGATGGCGCCGGGATTGAGGATGTCGTAGAGGTGTCCGAGCATTTCTGCGTCGGTCATTTCCCAGCCGACTGGTGGCGGGAAGTTTGGGTTGAGTTTTTCGGGTTTGACGTAGCCGTGCTTGAGGAGGTTGCGGGAGATGAAGAGGTCGTATCCGTCTCCGACTTGGTTGCGTGTGGTTTCTTGGTTTGGCCAGCTTCCTTCGATGAGTGTGACGGAGCCGGCGTTTGGTTGGTTGAGGTCCCCTACTGCTTCGCAGTTGTCGTAGATCGCGGTGAGGATGGGGTCGATTTCTACGCCGGTGACGTGGGCTCCCATCTGAGCCCAGAGTCGGAGTTGTCCGAGTTGGCCGTAGCCGAGGTCGAGGATGTTGGCGTTGTTGATGGTGAAGTCGGGTGCGTATTGGTGGAGGAGGTCGAGCGTGCGTGCGTAGACGAGGGGTGAGCCGTAGAACGTGGCGTAGTAGTTGCTGGGGTTGATGTTGAACTCGCGGAGTTTTTGTTGTTCTTCTTCGGTGAGTTGTTCGTATTGATCGGCGCTGACGGCGCGGTTTGGTCTGAAGGTTGCGTAGATGGTTCGGGGTTCGCAGACTGGGAGGTGCTGGACTTCGTCGAGCATCTGTTGGGCTTGGGGGGAGGTGTAGACGTCGCGGAGTTTTTCGGCGTCGTCGAGGTGGGATTGGAGGGGGTGGTCTTCGGCGAGCGTTTGGAATGAGGATGAGAGTGAAATGAGTGCGGTGGTGGCGAGGGTTTGGATGAGCATTGGGTTCTCCTTTGCAAGAGGAGATACCTATAAAGGGATGATTGGTTGCTAGATCCAACCCATGAACAATGAAAAGGATGTGACCAAGAACAACACTGTCAGTGCAACTGCAGCGATCAGAAAGAACATTGCGATGTCACTTGATGTGATGCCGGTCATGCGTGGGGCTTTGTCGGGGGTGACTCTTGGCCAGACGAAGGTGTGTCCGCAGTCGTCGCAGTGGATCTCGATTGGGGAGCCGTTGGCGATGTATCCGGGATGTTGGAGTTCGACCTGTGTGCGAAGGTCGTAGTCGCAGTTTGGGCAGATTGGGGTGGGTGTGGACATCATCTGAAACTCAATGGGTGCAGCACTGGATGGAGAAGACCCCCTCCGTCGCTGCGCGACACCTCCCCCGCAAGCGCGGGGGAGGCGATGTAAGAGCTTACTGGATGTGTACGAGGTTTGTTGCGGCTTGGGCGAGGGTGGGTTCGTGGTCGAGGTCGATGGGGAGGTAGACGCCTTTGTCGTGGTCGGTGTTGAGGACGATGGCGTTTGGTTCGACGAGGGAATAGCCGTTGGTGGCGTGCTCGTGTCCGAGGATGAAGAGGTTGACACCCCAGCGCTCTACGAGGTCTTCGAGTTGTTCGTGGTCGTATCCTCGTCCCCAGGTCATGAGGTGTGCGGATCCGACGCGGGGTTCGTAGTCTTGCTCGGTGAGGTCGCGGGAGAGGATGGTGGTGTCGAAGCGGTCCATCATCCCTGGTCCTGGGAGGGAGTGGGCGCAGAGGATGTCACCTTGCGGGCAGCAGGCGCGGAGGGCGATGGGCATGGAGAAGACGAAGTCTTTGACGGCGTCGCGGACTATTTCGGCGTCGTCACCGAACTCTTGATCGATGCCGTCGTTGAATGCTTTGACGCAGCGGACGCCGTTCTTGACGATGAGGGCGTCGATGGCTTGGGCGAGCTCGTGGTTGGCGAGGAGGAAGTGGACGAACTCGGGGTATTGGGCTTTGAGCCAGGCGACGCGGGTGAGTCCTCGGTAGGAGGTGTCTACTGGGGGTGGGTCGCCGGGCTTGGAGGGTTTGAGGTCGGGGTGGATGATCTCGTGGAGGGTGAGGTGTTTGGGTTCGGAACCAAACTCGCCGTCGAGTCCGGCGGCGGCGACGACGGCGCGGAAGTTGCGTGGGTGGTCGTGGGTGTCTCCGGTCGCGATGAGGTGTCCTGGTGCTTCGATGCGATCGATGGATCCTTCTCGGCATGAGGCGTCGCGGTTTGCCTGAGCGCCTTGGCGGAGGGTCTGGGTGACCTCTTGCGGGTTGGACATATCGATGGTGTACATGAGCAGGTGAGGATAGGCGAACGATCACTGCAGCGTCGAAATCGACGACATGGTGGTGGCGGTCTGTGTGATGTTGTTTTCTTAGACTTCGTCGACTGGGATGGAGGGGGCGCGGACGATGCCGAGGATGAGGTCGAGTTTGTTGGCGACGTCTTCCATGGAGTCTGGGCGTTTGTCGAGGTCCGACTCGCAGCACTGCATGATGAGATCGCTGAGTCGATCTGGGAGATCGTCGCGGAGCTCTGAGATTGGGGTTGGTTTCTCGATGAGTGCGTCGTCGAGTGATCCCATGAGTGAGTCGGACTTGGTTCCCATCGCGGTCGGGATGTTTTTGTCGGTCAGTGTCCAGTACATGGTGGCGCCGAAGTTGTAGATGTCGGTCTTGGGGGTGATCTCGCGGCGGTGGACTTGTTCTGGTGCGATGTAGTCTGGCGTGCCTTGGATGCGTTTTTTGATGGTTCCGATTTTGCAGGACTGTCCGAGGTCGATGACTTTGGCGGTGAGGTTTCCGTCGATGTCTGATCCGATGATGATGTTGTGGGGCTTCATGTCCGCGTGGACATAGCCGTGCTTGTGCATCTCGTGGAGACCAGAAGCGGTCTGGCGGAAGAGGTCGATGAGGACATCGAGTTCGGTTGGTTTTTCTTCGAAGAGGGAGATGCCGTCGACGAGTTCCATGACGAGGTAGAGGTCGCGGATTTTGAGGAGTGATCCGGACTTGATCATGCGCTCGATGCGGCGGATGGCTGGGTGGTTGATCTGGTTGGCGATCTTGTACTCGATCGCGGCTTGGTCGAGGAAGCGTTGCGCTTTGGGGTCGGTCTTCTCGACATGCTTAAGCGCCCAGATTTGTTTTGTCTTTGGATCCTGGACGAGGTAGATGATCGAAGCGGCGCCGCGACCGATTTCGGACATGATGCGGTATCCCTCTACGAGGTCGCCTTTTTTGAATACCGTGAGTTCTTCGGTCATTGAGCGTTGTCCGATTCGTTCGTCCGTCGTCGTTTACTACGTTCTCTCTCGGGCTCGCTCCGAAGAACTCGGGCGCCCCTGAGTACTTCGGTTCTATGACCCTTCTATTGCACCTTGAAGCGATATTCGTCGCTTATCGGGTGAGAGAATAGTAGACCTGAAGCGGCTGGTTGGGCAGTTCTTCAGCGGAGCAAGAGCGCGTTGGATGCGTCTTGATCGCGATGACGGATTGTCGTTCGGGAGAAGCCTTGGGAACAGTTACCCGGGCGAGAGCGGGTCACACAACAGGCTTTAGAGAACCCAATGCCTGCATGGAGTATTCGCGGAGAATTGGGATTCGGTTCTTTGGGTGGGTTGTGGAAATACAAAAACCTCCGTTTGATGCGGAGGCGTGTGGTTGATTTGGAATCTTGATCAGATGGTGCCGAGCAGCTCGTTGAAGTTTGCTCTCGGGAAATAGCGTCCCGGGCTGGTGGTTGGTGCGAGATCTTGATGGAGGAAGATCCGGCTTGAAGGGATCTCGAGACGATCCGCGAGCGCGCTGACGACCTGGGCGAGGTATTGGATCTGCTGATCGGTGAAGGGTTTGCGGTCGCCGTTTCCGATGAGGCAGATCTCGATGGTCTTTGCTTTCCCGTTCTGATCGATCCCGGCGAGCTGAGCGCCTTGGGTTTGGGTGAGCCAGCGGTTTCCAAGGTGGATTTCGCCGTTGCCCATTCCGGTGCCGTTTCCGATCAGGAAGTGGTATCCCAGGCCGTCGTATCCGATCTGCTTGTGCTGGGCGCCGATGGATTCGGCGGAACCGGCGGGCGATCCGGAGTGGACGATGACGATCGAGTCCCATTGGTTGGGGTCGATATCGGCTTTGGTGTTGAAGATCGCGTCGACTCCGCGCTCGGCAGTGATGCTCGCGAGTGGTGAGAGGGAGACGCCTTGGGCGCTGAGTGCTGGATTTCCGGAATCGAGGAGGGCGAGGAGTCCGATGAGGCCGGTCATGGACGCGAGTAGGGCGCTCCACACGATCTTCGTGCGGATGCTCGCGTTTGTGCGGACTGTGACCTTGGCGGGCATTGTTGTGATGTGCTCCGGGAGTACCTGTGTATCTGGAATCAGATTATCATATTCATTCGGGTTCTATGGTGTTCTTTCTTGCATATTCGCGCGGAAATTGATTGGAAGTGGGCGCACATTTCTGCGTGTGCAGTTTGTGATACTTACCGGTCCCGAACAAAGTTGTGATTCGATGTCGTGGGAAGCACATGTGGTGTCACTCTTCAGATTTGACGAGACGGTCGCGTAGGTTTGGTGTGCGCCGGCCGAACTCATCTTCGAGGAAAGGTGGCGCGTGCTGGGCGCGTGTTTGGTTGTAGCGATCGAAGGGTGAACGCGGATCGTCCTTCTTGAGCAGTGTCTTCTGACATGCTTGGAGTGGGAGCAGCGCACACGCAGCCGTGGCGAGGATGATCGCTTGATGCACGCGTTTGGATTTTGTATTTTGTTTGGGCATTCGTCGGATCGGTATCTTCATTGATCAGTAAACAAAAACAGTGTACCGCGGAAGACCGCGGCACACTGTTCTGGAGAGAGGAGAGAACTCGAAATTCCCGAGAATCGTGCACTCGGGGGTGCGTTCAGGACTCGCTGACCTGAACACAAGACTGCAACAAGTAATGTACGCAGCACGGTTTGTTGGGTTCGTGTCCTTCCTAAGAATCATTCAAAATTTATTATGTTTGTAGTTCGTTAGGTTTTGTCAGTAATCAGGCGCCCATTTGCATCGATTGCGATCTGGTTGGTCGCGAGAAGGGACTGGATGCAGGCGTATATGGTGATCGCGCAGGCGGTGGAGAGGTTGAGCGAGCGTTCATCTGGTGCGATGGGGATCGCGACGCATTGGTCGGGGTGGGCATCAAGGAGGGGTTTGGGGAGTCCGACAGATTCTTTGCCGAACACGAAGTGGTCGGCTTTGGTGATCGGGATGTCGAAGATGGTTTTGGTTGCGCGGGCGGTCATGTACCAGGTGTTGGTTGGTGGGTTGGTTGCTTTTGATGATTGGTAGTCATCAAGGGAGTCGTGGTTGGTGAGGTTGAGTCGCGGCCAATAGTCGAGTCCGGCGCGGCGGCATGCTTTCTCATCGATGTCGAAGGCGAGGGGGTGGACGAGGTGGAGCGCGGCGCCGGTGGCGACGCAGGTGCGTCCGATGGATCCGGTGTTGTTGGGGATCTCGGGGTTGACGAGAACGACATTGGCGATGGGGCTTGCGATTGGATCTGTTGTGGGTGCGGTCATGACTGGATTGTTATAGGGGGTCATATAGATAGAAAGACACCCCGCGTGTTGGTGCGGGGTGTCTTGGGGTTGAAATCATTGGTAGTCTTTAGTCGTTGGCGGCGAGGAGCGGGTCGGCGGCGATGGTTTGCGCGACGGCGGTTTTGAAGTCTGGGTTGTGTGGGTTGCCTTGCCAGCGGATGACGCCGTCGGTGGAGAGCACGAGGACGTGCGGGATGCCTTTGATTCCGAGTGCTTGGTTGAGTGTTCGGCTTTCGTCGAACATTTGTCCGTAGTTGCCTTTCTTCTTCATGACGTAGCGGACGAAGTCTGCTTTGTCTTCTGAGCCTCCGATGCCGACGATTTCGAGTCTTCCTGCGTAGTCGTCTTGGAGGTCATGGAGCATTGGCATAGCGCGGATGCATGGTCCGCACCAGGTTGCCCAGAAGTCGAGGACGAGGACTTTCCCGGAGAGGTCGCGCTCGCCGTAGATCCATTCTTCGTTGCCCATTGGTACTGGGAGTGGTTGTCCTTGGTAGTTGTTTGCGGACATCTTTCCGCCGTTGTGGTTCGGCCATGGCGCGTCGTCGTATGCCTTTGGATCGATGGCGCTCGCGACGGCTTGTGCGGCTTCGGGCTCGAGTCCTTGGGACTGGAGGTCGGCGTTGGTCATCGCGGTCTCAGGAGTTTCCGAGAGGAGTTGTTTGAGCGCGTGCTTGAGTGAGCGCTCTTCGAGATCGACAAAGCGGAGGTTTCCGGCGCGGTCGATGAGGTAGATGTCTGGATAGTCATCGGTCAGCATCGCGGCTGCGAAAGCACCTCCCTCGTCACGAGCGACTGGGATGTTGATGCGTCCGGCGTTGATCTTTTCTTGGAGTTGGTCCCATCCGGCGTCGGGGTGGATCGCGGCGACGACGATCTCGTCTTCGTGATCACGCTGAGCACGATTGAGTTTGGAGAGGGTCATGTATGACTTTGGTTCTCCGGCGGAGATCATCGCGAGGAGGACAACTTTGCCATCGGTGTTCGCGGCGGTGAGTGTGCCGGGGTGTGTCCAGTTGGTGAGCGAGTCGAGGACGCTGGTGTCGAATGGTTGTGTTTCCAGTTCGGTCATTGCGTCGCGATTGGCGCTGAGCTCGCGTTTGATTTCTGGGCCGACTGCGAGGGTCGGGATGAGTGTTGCGAGTGCGGCGGCGGTGATCAATGGTCGTGGATTCATGGAGTTCTCCGTATATTGAATCAGGGTTATCCGAGATCTGAGTGTACCCGATAACTGATGATTTCAAAGCGGGGTTTTGTGAATTTGGGGTGATGAATGCTGTTTGGGGCTGAAAAACAAGCACCCGCTTGGTTGAGCGGGTGCCTGGGGGAGCTTTGAACGCTAGCGCGTGGTTCATAGGTTGAACCGACGGCGAGCGATTGGGTTGCGGTGATGATTAGCCTTCGACCTTGGTGGTCATTGTTGAGTCTGCTTGCGCGGACTTTTGTGCTTGGACGGCTGGGTCTGCGGCGAGAGTTTTATTGACGGCAGGGACGAAGTCTTCTTCGTGTGGGTTTCCGATCCAGCGGATGATGCCGTCGGTTGAGATGACGACGACGAGGGGGATGCCTTTGGATTCGAATGGTGCGTAGACGGATTGGTCGGCGTCAAAGAGGTGCGAATACGCGACCTTGTGTTCTTCGACATAGGACTCAACTTTGGACTGCTCTTCGCGTTGTCCTGAGATCGCGAGGACGGCGAGGGAGTCTGGGTTGTCCTTCTGGAGTTCATCGAGGATTGGGGAAGCGGCGCGGCAGGGTGGGCACCAGGTGGCCCAGAAGTCGAGGACGACGACTTTGCCTTCGGTGGAGACGGTTTCGGTGAGCCAGGTCTCGGATCCGAGAGCGACTGGGAGTGATTCGCCTTGGAAGTCGTTGGCGTAGAGGTCGGTGTTGTGGGATGGCCATGCGGCGGTGTCGTAGGAATCGGCGGAGACGAGGGTCATGTTGACATCGTCCATCGCGGCTTTGGAGTCACAGGCTTGCTTGTCTTTGGAGTCGCATGCTTCCTTTGCGGTATCGCAATGTGCGGCTTTGGCGCCGGACATTGGGCACTCTTTGGAAGATGAGCAGTCAGGACCTGCGTTGAGGGCGAGTCCTGATGCGGCGATGAGCGGGGCGACGATGAGGGCGAGTGCTTGGGACATGGGTGTTCTCCTTGATGAGGGACTTGGTAACGACTGCTGGTTGACGATGGGTGGGTTGCACCCGATGGTGCCCCTCTGTTGTTGAGTCCACGGTTTGGGTATTAGCCCTTGGGTGGGATCAATCTGTGGAGAGCAACGGCTGCGGCGACGGCAATATTCAGAGAATCCGCGGATTTCACGAGGGGAATTTGGACTTTTTGATCGGCGGCGCCGAGGGCGGCTTGGGTGAGCCCTGGGCCTTCGGCGCCGAGCATGAGTGCGATTTTGGTGTCTGAAGGGGGATTCTGGGCAAGTTGGTTGATGTCGTGGGCGTCGGGGGATGGGGTGAGGGCGAGGAGGGAGAAGCCTGCGGTTTGGATGGATTGGAGGGCGGGGATCCAGTCGGACTGTTCTTGGATTTGGGTGAAGGGGATGGTGAGGGCGTGTCCCATCGAGACTCGGAGGGATTTGCGGTAGAGCGGATCGCAGCATCTTGGAGAGAGGATGATGGGGATGTCGGTCCCTGAGAGGGCGGCGGTGGAGCGGAAGACGGATCCGAGGTTGTCGTGGTTGGACAGGTCCTCGAGGATGACGAGGGCGCGGGCGGATTGGAGGAGGTCGATGAGTTGGGGGTGTTCGATTCGGTGTCCGGCGGCGAGGAGTCCACGGTGGATGGGGTAGCCTGTGATTTGGTCGAGGGTTGCTCTGGGAGCGGTGTAGATGGGGACATCGGGAGGGATCTGGCTCAGGAGCTGAGCGTGGGAGTCGGTTTTGGATTCGTCGATGAGGACGGAGTGGAGTGGGTACCTGGAGTGGATGTGGTGCTCGAGGACGAGGGAGCCTTCGGTGATGAAGAGGGAGGATTTCTTTGATTGGTCTGTTGCGGACTTTGGGGCGTCCGGATTGTGCGCGGCTTTGAGCCAGGCGTCTCTTTGATTGCGGTATGGCTCGATCCGTTGGTCAATAGGGTCATGGATTGGGGTGAATCGGTCGATCATGGATGGTGTACCCTAGACTGATTTTGTAGGGTGCGTGCACTGCGAACAGAATGGACTGGTGATCGGCTTGATGGCAAATACTGAGACAATGAGTGTTCTTCAAGCCGCGGTGCTTGGGGTTGTTGAGGGAATCACGGAGTATCTGCCGATTTCTTCGACGGGGCATCTGATTCTTGCGTCGGAGCTGATGGGGCTGGGGGAGACGGCGACGCAGCGCTCGGCGGTGGATACATTCAATATTGTCATTCAGGGGGGCGCGATCCTCGCGGTGCTTGGGTTGTACTTTCCGCGCGTGGTGCAGATGTGCAAGGGGCTTATTGGTAAGGACAGCGATGGGCTCAAGCTCGCGATCCGGATCATTGTGGCGTTTCTGCCTGCGGCGGTCTTGGGTGTGCTGCTCAATGACTGGATCGAGAGCAAGCTGTTTAATACGCCGATGGTTTTGACGGCGCTGGCGCTGGGTGGGGTGTTCATGATTGTGATCGACAAGTGGAAGTTCAGCAAGCACAAAGAGGGCGAGGTGTTTGAGGAGGGGATGGATCTGTATGAGATCAGTCTGATGCAGGCGCTGATGATTGGGTTGCTTCAGTGCGTGGCGATGTGGCCTGGCACTTCGCGGTCGATGATGACGATCGCGGGTGGTGTGCTGGTTGGGCTCAAACCAAAGCGTGCGGCGGAGTTTAGTTTTTTGCTTGGGCTTCCGACGCTTGGGGGGGCGACGGTGTATTCGTTGTACAAGTCGGTGAGTGGTGATGGGCCTGACATGTTTGAGGTGATCGGGTGGACGCCGATTGTTGTGGGGCTTGTGGTGGCGACGATCAGCGCGGCGCTGGCGGTCAAGTGGCTGGTGGCGTTTCTGACCAAGCATGGACTCGCGGTGTTTGGGTATTACCGGTTGATCCTGACGGCGGTATTGGGCGGGGCGATCGCGATGGGTGTGGTGAGTTTGCACGCGGGGGATTCGGGTGTGAATGATGAGATTCTTGAGGTGCAGCCATGAGTGATGGGATGAAGACTTCGTTTCCCAAGGACAAGATCGAGGTGGTGCTGCTGGAGGGGACGCATCCGTCGGGGACGCATCTGATCGAGCGCGAGGGGTTTCATGTCACGGCGTTGCACGGCGCGCTCGAGGGCAGTGCGCTGGTTGAGGCGATCGGGCGGGCGCATGTGGTGGGCGTTCGCTCCAAGACACAGCTGACTGCAGATGTGCTCAAGCATTGCGAGCGGCTGCTTGCGGTGGGGTGTTTCTGCGCGGGGACGAATCAGGTGGATCTGGATGTGGCGGCTTCGATGGGGGTTCCGGTGTTTAACTCGCCGTTCTCGAACACGCGGTCGGTTGCGGAGTTGACACTCAGCGAGATCATCGCGCTGCATCGGCGCGTGTCGCATCGGTCGGCGCTGCTGCACAAAGGTGAGTGGGACAAGAGTGCGGATCGTTCGCACGAGGTGCGTGGTCGGACGCTTGGGATTATTGGGTATGGGCATATCGGATCGCAGATTAGTGTGCTTGCTGAGGCCGTGGGCATGCGGGTGGTGTTCTTTGATGTCGAGAGCAAGCTCCCGATGGGGAACGCGGGATCGGTAGGGTCGATTGATGAGCTGTTGAAGGTTTCGGATGTGGTGAGTATCCATGTCCCTGAGACGAGCGACACGGTCGGGATGATCGACGCGAAGCGGATCGGGCTCATGAAGCACGGGGCGTATCTGATTAACAACGCTCGTGGTTCGGTGGTGGATCTCGATGCATTGCGCGTCGCGGTGGACGCGGGGCATATCGCGGGGGCGGCGGTGGATGTGTTCCCGGATGAACCTGCGAAACGGGGCGAGTCGTTTACGAATGTGATGCAGGGCGCGGAGAATGTGATTTTGACGCCTCATGTTGGGGGATCGACGATCGAGGCGCAGGAAGCGATTAGTGTCGATGCGGCGGAGAAGCTGGTGAAGTTTGTCAATCGCGGCACGACGACGGGCGCGGTCAATGTTCCGAATGTGGATCTTCCATCTCAGGAGGTCGAGGGGGTGCGGGCGCATCGGATTTTAAACTTCCATAGGAATGTGCCTGGCGTGCTTGGGAAGTTTCACGAGGCGGCGAGTTCGCTTGGCGTGAACATCTCGGGGCAGTACCTGCGGACGGTTGGCGAGCTTGGCTATGTGGTCCTGGATGCAGATCCGAGCGGTGCTGAGGCGCTCAAGGACGCGATGGATGGGATTGAGGAGTCGGTTCGGACTCGGATGTTGTGGTAATGCACGGATTGTGTGCGAACAATCGAAGATGCCACAGTTTGAGCGTGTTTCGGAATCTTTAGAGCATACTTCGGTGATCGCGAAGGACTTTGCGGCGGTGTTGCGGCGCGGGGATCTGGTGCGCTTGGTTGGGGAGATGGGCGCGGGGAAGACGACGTTTGTGCGCGAGGTCGCGGGGGCGATGGGGGCGGATGTTTCGATGGTGAGCTCCCCCACTTTCGTGCTGATGAATATCTATCCGTGCACAGTCAGCGGCGAGGAGGGGTCGATCGCGCATCTGGATTGCTATCGCTTTGGGGACAGCGACGAGCTTGAGGCGCTGGGGTGGGATCGGGTGTGCGCCGATGGTTCGGTTCGGCTTGTGGAATGGCCGGAGCGGATTGATGGGGTGCTTGGGGATGAGGATGCTGATCAATCAGTTTGCACGATCACGATCTCGCATGTGGATGAGGGGGTTCGGGGTTTTGTGATTGAGGTTCCTGACTCGTGGATGGAGCGGGCGAGTGCGATGGCGCTCAAGGCGCGGGACGCGGTGAAGTGTCCGGTGACTGGGGAGGCGGTGCATCCGGAGAGCGCGAGCTGGCCTTTCGTGAGCGAGCAGGCGCGGATGAGTGATCTGCACGGGTGGATGAGCGAGAAGTTTGCGATCACGCGTCCGATTGAGCAGGCGGATTTGGATCAAGAGTGAGTGCTCGTGATCGAGCGTGACGGCGCTTGCGGTGGTATTGTGTGGGTATGAATGAAGAACTGGCTGCCTCGGGTGAGGCGAGTGTGTGGTCGTTGTTTACTGAGAGCTTTGATGTGTTCTCAGTGGTGCTGCTGATCGGGTCGTTTATTGCGGTGTCGTTGATTGTCAAGCTGGTGCTTGATGCTCGGCGGGCGGTGATCGCGCCGGAGGATATTGTGGATTCGCTGGCGCGGAATCTGGATTCGGAGGATCTGGATTCGTTTCTCGCGACGGCGGGTGATGATGCGGGGATCGTTGGATCCGCGTGCGAAGCGGCGTTCAATGCTCGCGCTTCTGGAGCGTCGGCGATGCGCGAGGCGGCGGAGGTCGCGGCGAGTAATGCGTGCTCGCGATGGACGCGGACATTGGATCTACTGAGGGTGATCGGGGAGCTTGGGCCTTTGGTTGGACTGGCGGGGACGGTGTGGGGGATGATTCTGGCGTTTGTGCGTTTGGGTCAGGCGGGGGGGACGGCTGGTCCGACGGATTTGTCGCTGGGGATTTCCAAGGCGTTATTCCATACGCTGCTTGGGTTGATGCTCGCGGTGCCTTGCTTGCTTGTGTATGGGTGGTATCGGAGTGTGATCGAGAAGCATTGCAACACGGCGTTCGAGCAGGCGGGGCGGTTGGTGGATCGGTTGTCGGCGATGGGTGATGACGACGGGGACGCGGCATGAGAAGTCGGTCGATCGTTGGCTCTGGTTCGGGCGGGGGTCATTCTGGGGGGGTGAATGTGACGCCGATGATTGATGTGGTGATGTGTCTGATTGTGTTTTATTTGATGGTCGGGCAGCTGGCGATTGATCGGCGGTCGTCGATCGTGCTCGCGGAGACGGTTTCGGGGGTGGATCGGCAGGACCTTGCGGATGCGATCGAGATCGGGGTGCTGATGGATGGGGGGCTGACGCTCAATGGCGAGGCGATCGAGAGCGATCGGATCGCGGGTGAGGTGACGTGGATGGTCGCGCGGGAGGTTGGCGCGGTGGTGCGGATCCGTGCGGATGAGGACGTGGGGTTTGGGGCGGTGCGTCCTGTGCTTCGGGCGCTGCAGGAGGCGGGGGTGACTGGGGTGGAGTTTGTGACGATTCGTGCTGAGGGTGCGGGGGGGCAGTCATGAGCGCGGGACTCAGGCGACGGAGTGTGCTTGGTGATCCGGGGAAGCGGTCGGGTCCGATGATGACGCCGATGGTAGATGTGGTGCTGGTGATCTTGATTTTCTTTATGGCGAGCACGACGATCGCGGGGTATGAGTGGTTTTTGCAGGCGGGGGTTGAAGCGGAGTCGGAGGGTGAGTCCGCTCCGGAGGAAGCGCGGTTCGATCTTCCCGCGGCGATCATCGAAGTTGATCTGGTTTCGGGAGAGGACGGCGCGGTGCTTGTGTATGGCGTGTCGGGGGATCAGGGGATGACGATTGATCAGGCGGTGGGATTGATCGAGGGGATGGAGCTTGGGGAGAGCGCGGCGCTGCGTGTGGGGCTGGGCGCGGGGGATGGGGTGTCGATGGGTGATGTGATGCGCGTGCATGATGCGTGGCACGGGCGCGGGGTGAAGGTTGTGATGCGGACGGGGCGGTGAGATTGTCGGATTCGCTGGCTTTGTCTTTTTCTTTCAGGCTGTTTCTGGTACAGTGGATTGATGAGATCTCAACATCATCGGTTTTTGGTACGGTGCTTTCTTCCGATCGTCTGTGTCTGCGTGTTTGTGACTCAGCGTGTTGATGCGGAGTTGGTTCAGTTTGTGAATACGAATCCGTCGCTTGATTCGCTCCGGTATTACGAGGTTGGATCGATGCCGACTGTGTTTGGGCAGTCGCTTGATGTGACGCGTGGGGCGTTTGATCAGCCTGGGTTTGGGGAGATCCCTGTGGGTTCGCTTTCGATAGTGTGGTTCGAGGGGAACACGCATGCGGATGGGGACTGGATCTACATGGGGCCTGGGATGAACACGCATTTGGCGCGTGCTGATGATCTGATTGATGTCATTGATCCGAAGAACTTGCATCCGGTTGGACATATCGGACCGGGGGACTTTGATGATGGGCGGCTCATTGGGGCGGAGTCGAACTGGACACCTGGATGGGTGACGATGCACACGAGTGTTTCAACTGCTCCGGCGAAGGGAGTTCACTTTACGGATGAATCGTTCATGATTGGGCTGAGATTTATGATGGACGATGGGCTGCATTATGGGTATGCACAGTTTGAACGCAGCGCGTTTATTCCTGGGGACCCTTTGAGCATTCAGTATCGTCCGGTACGCTGGGGGTACGAGACTACAGCTGGCAATGCTGTGCCATCGGTTGGATCACTCAGTGTGTTCTTGATTGGTTTGAGCGGATGTCGGCGCCGACGTTGATTTATTCTTTGGTGACGAAGATTTGGAGTTTGTGTGCTTGGGCGGTGAGGCCGTGGGCGGCGCAGAGTTTGTCGCGGAGTTCGATGAGTTCTGGGAGTTCGGTGGTGATGATGTCTCCGGTGTCGACATCGATCAGGAGGGTGTTTCCGGTTTGTCCGATCGCGAGTTGGTAGTGGGATTGCTCGCGTCCGACGAGGACATGCTGGATGATGCCGGCGGATTCGAGAAGTTTGAGTGTGCGGTAGACGGTGGCTTTGGAGACTGAGTGGCCTTGGGCTTTGAGGGTGTCGAGGAGCTGGTCGGCTTCGAAGAGGGAGTCGAAATCGATGATGGTGTCGAGGATTTTGGCGCGTTCAGGGGTGTACTTGAGTCCCTCGGCTTTGAGGGTTCGGCGGAAGATCGCGCAGAGAGGCTCTATCAGTTCGGGCTGAGTTGATGGGGCGCTGTTGTTGGTTGGATCTTTGATCGGTTCGAGCGGCATAGGGGATTCTATGCGATTGGATCACGGTTGGGGATCGGCATGGGATAGGATGGGGGCATGGCGGACGAGCACGATCAGAACCAAGCACACACGGACAGCGAGGCGGCTGGGAAACAGCGGTCTTTGGCGCGGGTGTTGATCCAGGTGATCGGGTTCGCGGCGTCGATCGCGGCGCTGGGGTGGGCGGTCAAGATGGCGCTGACGGAAGAAAATAGGGCGCAGCTGGAGAATCTGCAGAACGCTTCGGCTGGTCAGGTCATGGCGTTGGTGGGGTTGTCGTTCTCGTCGGTCGCAATTAATGGGTTGATTTTTTGGGTGGTGATCCGTCCGGTGCACAGGATCCGCGCGACGGATGTGATCTCGACGAACGCGATCGCGACGTTGCTGGCGTATCTGCCGTTTAAGTTGTCGTTGGTGGCACGGATCGCGATCCATCGCAAGCGGGATGGGGTTCCGGTGCTGACGATCGGCGCGTGGTTCGCGGCAATCGGGGTGCTGATGCTCGCGGTGCTTGGGCCGATGGCGTTGGTGTCGTTTGTGCTTCAGGATGTGAACTTGTTGTGGTGGGTCGGGGTGGTTGGGTCTGTTGCGATCGGGGTGGGCGCGGTGATCGTGTTGGCGAGAGTGTTCTATGGCGAGCGCGGGGTCCGGCGGATCGCGTCGGTTGGGGTGCTTCGCGGATGGACGGAGAAGGAATCGTTTGTCAGACTGCACGCGGGGTTTGACATGATCGCGTGTCCCTGGTCGTCGAGTTGGGCTGGGGTTTTGCGGATGCTTGATGTGCTCGCGTTTGCGGGACGCTTTGTTGTTGCGGCGGCGGTGCTGGGGCTACCGATCTCTGGGAGTGATGCGCTGCTGCTGGGGAGTGTGTATTTCCTGATCGGGGTGTTCTCGCCGTTCGGGATGCTGGGGACGCGTGAGGCGGGGACGATCGGTGCGGCGGCGTTGTTTGGGGTGAGCTCTGCAGCGATCGGGGATGGGGGCGAGGGACCGATCGCGGCGGCGGTGGTGTTTATTACGGCGGTGGAAGCGGTGGTGAATCTGGGGTGCGCGGGGTTCGGGGTTGCGTGGCTGCGTGTGAGTCCTGGTAAGAGGGTCCTGGACGATCTGGTTGAGTGATTCGCGCTACGATCCGAGATGAAAGTTGCGCTCGCACAGTTGAATCTGACAGTTGGGGATGTGAAGGGGAACACGGACGCGATTGTGCGCGCGATTGATGAGGCGCGGGATCAGGGTGCGGAGCTTGTGGTGTTTTCAGAGCTTGCGGTGTGCGGGTATCCGCCGCGGGATTTGCTGCATGTGGAGGGGTTTGTGCGCGAATGTGCGCAGGCGTCGAAGATGATCGGGGAGACGCACACGAAGGGGATCGCGGTTGTGCTCGGGACTCCCCTTCCTATCGAGAATGATGCGCCTGGGATGAGTCCTGAGGATGATTCGGTTCGTGGTCATGTCGCGAACTCGCTTGTGGTGTATCAGGACAACGCGTTTGTGGGGTATTACGACAAGCGGCTGCTTCCGACTTACGATGTGTTTGACGAGGATCGGTACTTTATGGGTGGGGATCGGTCGCCGATCTTCGATATCAACGGGACGAAGGTAGGACTCGCGATCTGCGAGGATCTCTGGAAGGGGCACGACGCGGGATTCGCGGAGCGATACGCGGACGAGGATGATCCGGTGGATCTGCTTTCCAAAGCGGGCGCGGAGTTGATTGTGGTTCCGAGTGCTTCGCCTTATACATTGCATAAGGATGAACGGCATCGTGAGATCCTGATCAAGCACGCGACGACGCATCGTGTTCCGATCGTTTCGGTGAATCAGATCGGCGCGAATGATGATCTTGTTTTCTCGGGTCAATCGTGTGCAGTGGATCCGAGCGGTCGCGTATGTGCATTGGGTGAATCGTTCGCGGAGCAGTTGCTGCTGGTGGACACTGATGGCATGGAGCCGGTCGATATTGTTCCGGATGCGGACGAGCGGATGATTGTTGAGGCGCTCACGCTTGGGGTGAAGGACTATCTGCGCAAGTGCGGATTCAGACGCGCGTGCATCGGGCTGAGTGGTGGGATCGATTCGGCGCTGGTCGCGACGATCGCGGTTCGGGCGCTGGGCGCGGAGCATGTGGTTGGGGCATCGATGCCGGGGCGATTTAGCAGCGAGGGGAGCAAGACGGACGCGTTGGATCTCGCGAAGAACTTGGGGATTGAGTGCGTGAGCATCCCGATTGAGCCGGGGTTCGAGGGGCTGAGTGAGGTGCTTGATCCGGCGTTTGAATCGCTTGGACATCGGACGCTTGGCGCGCAGCTTCCTGATCTGACTCAGGAGAACCTGCAGTCGCGGATTCGCGGGACGCTGATGATGGCGCTGTCGAATCGGAGCGGGGCGCTTGTGCTCACAACAGGGAACAAGAGCGAGATCGCGGTTGGGTACTGCACTTTGTACGGCGATATGAATGGCGGGCTTGCGGTGATCGCGGATCTTCCCAAGACGATGGTGTTCAGAGTGTGCCGATATATCAACGAGTATTCCGCGGAGCTTGGGTACGAGCAAGCGCCGATTCCGGTGAGCACGATCGAGAAGCCTCCGAGCGCGGAGCTGGCGCCGGATCAGCTCGATTCGGATTCGCTTCCCGAGTATGAGGTGCTTGATGAGATCGTGATGCGGCACATCGAGATGCATCAGAGTGCTTCGCGGATTATTGATGAGACGCGCTTTGATGCGGATGTTGTTCGCCGGATCTGTGCTCTTATTGATCGCAATGAGTACAAGCGTCAGCAGATGGCGGTTGGGATCCGTGTTACGAGCAAGGCGTTTGGTCCGGGTCGTCGGATGCCGATTGCTCAGCGATGGACTCGCTAGGACTGCTCCCCCACTGGTCGGCGATCGGGATGGGTTTGCCGCATTCGGGGCAGGAGTCGGATTGGAGTTGATAGAGGAGATAGCCGCAGGCGCAGCGGGGTTCTTTGATCTCGATGCGGACATGGAGTTTGCATGTCGGGCATCGGGAGTCTTTGTTTGTGTGCGCGTTGATGGTGGTGTTGCAGCGCGGGCAGGTGATGTCGATGGGGATAGAGGATGCGAGGGTGCCTTGCTCGTCTTCTCCTGGCTTAGGCGCGAAGAACGCGAGGGCGCCGGTTGCGATGGTGGTTCCGGCGGTGATGATCGCGGAGATCGCGAGGATGCGGACCATGAGTTCGTCGAAGTTTCCGAATCCGTCGTTGATAAAACCGAACGCGATGATGGACGCGGACATGGCACCGGTGATCAGCGCGGTGCGTTTGCTGACTTTGAACGAGAAGAGCGGGCAGTTGAGCGGGTTGATGATGAGTCGGTGGACGAACGCGATCCCGATTGTGAGGAAGACGGCTCCGGTTCTCCAGAAGAGGTTCTCCCATTTCCAGTTGAGGAGCGGCTCGATCCAGACAATGGTGATGAAGGTGACCATCGATATGAAGATGGTGGTGGTCGCGATGCGGAGGGTGAGTTTTTGCTTTCGGCCGTCGATTCCTCGGTTTCCGCCGAGGATGACGACGATGAGTCCTCCGAGCGAGTAGGCGCCGACGATGAGGATGGTGATCATGACCTCGTCGTCAACCCAACCTCGTGGGAGGATGACGGCGGCGATGCCGGTGAGCATCGCGAGGGCGACGAAGGAGAGGAATGTCCAGAGGATGTACTTCTTCGGGATCAGCATTTCATCAGTGTACTGTGTATCACTTTACCATTCACCCGCGTATTGGGTTGTGGGGTCGTTGTTTGCGTCTCTGAGCGCCAGCTGATGCATCCGCTTAGCGAGCTGGCGGAGATGGAGTGCATCGTGCGCACACCACGCGGCGAGGAGACCGATCGCGGTCATCGGACCGAATTGCGGATGGATCTTGGCGCGTGACCAGCCTGGTTTTTCAAGATCGTGAAGCAGTCGAATGCTTTTGGCACGCTGCGAGATCCAGCGATTGAGCTGGGTTTCGAGGTCTTGGGATTGGTAATCTCGAGTCTCGGCCCATCCTTGGGGGTCGATTGGTGGCCAATCTGCTTCGGGATCTTTGAGTGTTGAGAGGACACGCGTGCGGAAGTCTTCTTCTTCCTCGTCAGCCATGTGGCAGACGATCTGGAGGACGGACCACGACTGCTCATCAGGCTTCCATATGGTGTCTGTTGGAGCGAAGGCGCGTACGACGGCGGGGAAGGTCGTCGAGAATCGCTCCATACGATCGATGAGTTTTTCAGGATTGGTTCGGTCCGGGTGCATCAGCTCGAGCCGGCGCGCATTCTTTCGAGTCCTGCGGGGAACGGGTAGCTTGGGAAGACTCCCACATCGGCGCGTTCCCACATTTGCGGCGCGGGGTAGATGTCACCACGGAATCCGGCGGCGTACATGGTCCGGAGGACGGTCTCGAAGCTTGGTTCGGTTTGCGAATCGTGATCGATGACGAGTCGGTTTGATTTGGCGCCGAGGAATGACACGGTGCACGCGGGTGAGCGGTCGGGTCGGCCTTGGAGCATTTTGTTGACTGTAGCGAATCCTCGGGAGAGGTCCGTGAGGGTGAAATAGTCTTGCTCTCTTGGACGCAGGAGGGCGAGGACAAGGACTGAGTCGAGGTCAAACTTGAGGATGTAGGGTTCACGGTCTTTGGCGGCGTGGATGCTCACGGCGTCGTGGAACATCTTCGCGTAGCTGGTGACGGAGTTGTTGGACCATTGGGAAGCGGTGACGAGGTTGACGAGTTGTGCGATGACTCCTCGTTCGTTGTCGTCCGAGTTGACGCCGCAGATAACGGTGCGGTAGCGACCCTGGAGGACATCGGAGAGCATGTCTTGTCCCCACATGGTGCGGATTCGACCTCGGGTGTTTACTTCGGCTTGTTCCGCAGGAAGCAGAGAGATTCGGTCAGGATAGGAAGATGGGGAGAGGAGCGCTCCGGCGTCGCCATCGTAGATTTTGATTTTGTTTGATGATGCCATTGATGAACTCCTTGCGTGTTACTGTTTATCCATCGGCGCTTTGATTGGTGTGAGTGGAGTCAAGATTCGGGGTATTTGAGATCAAACTCGTGATGTCCGGCGAAGATCGGGAGGATGATCGCGTGGTGGATGAAGTCGGAGACGAAGAGCATGAGCGCGATGATGATGACCAGCGAACTGATGATGGTGGGTTCTGGGATGAGCGGGACGGCGACGAGCATCGCGGCGCCGGGGTAGCCGTGGTGGATCCGGAATCCTTTGGTGAGTTTGGCGACGGGTCGTGTGTGCGTCGGTGAAGTGAGTTTAAAACCGAAGCGCAAGATGACTGTGAGGAGCTCAAAGATCAGAGCGGCGAGGAGTCCTGTGAGGATGGGATGGTGGAGGAACCAGTCCATGTATAAGTATTGGTCGGGAGATGGGAGATATTGCGGAGAAGTTGGTGTGATTTGTAGAAGTAAATGAGGTGTAAAAAAGGAGCAGCCCTCCGAGCTTTCGCTGGAGGGCTGCTAAAGTCGGCGATAACCTACTTTCCCGCTGAACAGTATCATCGGCGAGTTGGGCTTAACTGCTGTGTTCGGGATGGGAACAGGTGTGACACCAACTCTATGGTCACCGACAAACATCGGAGATCTGGTTTCCCGGATCAGGATGTTGACGAAGAACGACAACGAGCAGAAACGCGAGTGTAACTCGCGTTTGAGAATATGTTGAGTAGTTCATGTTATGAGTATGAACGATGTTGTTGACCATCGCGATTTTGATGAATGTATGTTCATCGGCGATTGGTCGGGAGATCAAATCTTCGACCGTTAGTACCGCTCAGCTGAGGACATCTCAATCCTTACACTTGCGGCCTATCAACCTGGTAGTCTTCCAGGGGTCTTTCGTCAGAGACTAGCAAACCTGATCTTGAGGGGGGCTTCCTGCTTAGATGCTTTCAGCTGTTATCCCTGCCCGACGTAGCTACCCTGCGGTGCACCTAGCGGCGCAACAGGATCACCAGGGGTCAGTCCAACCCAATCCTCTCGTACTAAGGTTGACTCCTCTCAAGTTTGCAACGCCCACAGCAGATAGGGACCGACCTGGCTCACGCCGGTCTGAACCCAGCTCGCGTACCACTTTAATAGGCGAACAGCCTAACCCTTGGGACCGCCTTCAGCCCCAGGATGTGATGAGCCGACATCGAGGTGCCAAACCGCTCCGCCGCTATGGACGCTCGGGAGCGATAAGCCTGTTATCCCCGGAGTACCTTTTATCCGATGAGCTACGACGCTTCCACACGCGATCGCAGGATCACTAGAGCCCTCTTTCGAGACTGCTCGTCCTGTCGGACTCGCAGTAAAGCTGGCTTGTGCTCTTACACTCTAACACACGGTTTCCATCCGTGCTGAGCCAACCTTTGCGCTCCTCCGTTACTCTTTAGGAGGAGACCGCCCCAGTCAAACTACCCAGCACGCACTGTCCCTCGCCCGGATTCACGGGAATCGAGGTTAGGCCACACACTCACGAAGGGTGGTATCTCACCAACGGCTCCACCAATGCCTAAGCACCGGCTTCAAAGCCTCCCACCTATCCTGCGCATCATGTGCACATGACCAATACGAGCCTGCAGTAAAGGTTCACGGGGTCTTTCCGTCTTGCTGCGGGTAGGCGGCATCTTCACCGCCACTACTATTTCACCGAGTTGGTCGTGGAGACAGTGCCCCAGTCATTACGCTATTCATGCGCGTCGGAACTTACCCGACAAGGAACTTCGCTACCTTAGGACCGTCATAGTTACGGCCGCCATTGACCCGTGCTTAGGTTACAAGCTTCGCATAAAGCTAACCTGCTTCCGTGACATTCGGGCATTGGGCAAGCGTCACACTGTATACATCCTCTTGCGAGTTAGCACAGTGCTGTGTTTTTGATAAACAGTTGCCAGGGCCTTTTCTCTGCGCCCCGAAGGGCCTCCTTATCGCGAACTTACGGAGTTAATTTGCCTAATTCCTTCACGACCATTCTCTCGAGCGCCTGAGGCTATTCGCCTCGTCTACCTGTGTCAGTTTTAGTACGGGACATACATCGCCCACATAGCTTTTCTAGGAACCCGATCCCCCTCTAACGGCCCGAAGGCCTGGACATCTAACAGTCCAAGAGAGCTCACAGATCCGCACTATGCTTTGATCTTTGTATGTGCGCAGGAATATTAACCTGCTATCCATCGACTACGCCTTTCGGCCTCGCCTTAGGACCCGGCTAACCCTGGGCGGATTTACCTTCCCCAGGAAACCTTAGACTTACGGCGTGAGGGATTCTCACCCTCATTATCGTTACTCAAGCCCGCATATTCACTTCCATACGCTCCAGCATTCGTTACCGAACACCTTCGCCGCCTATGGAACGCTCACCTACCACTTCTTACGAAGTCCACAGCTTCGGTATTATACTTATCCCCGATCATTATCGGCGCCAGATTCCTCGACCAGTGAGCTATTACGCACTCTTTAAATGGTGGCTGCTTCTAAGCCAACATCCTGGCTGTCATAGCAATCTGACTTCCTTAAAAACTAAGTATAATTTAGGGACCTTAGCTGGTGGTCTGGATTATTCTCCTTTTGACCGCGGATATTATCACTCGCGGTCTATCTCCCAAGACTTGGCTATTGGTATTCGGAGTTTGGTTGCATGGGGTACCCAGGGAGGGCCCACCACGCATCCAGTAGCTCTACCCCCAATAGTTGCTTCTTGAGGCTAACCCTAAAGTTATTTCGGTGAGAACAAGCTATCTCCCGGTTTGATTGGACTTTGACCCCTCCCCACAGCTCATCCCACATCTTTTCAACGATGACGGGTTCGGGCCTCCAGCAGGTTTTACCCCACCTTCACCCTGGCCATGGGTAGATCACACGGGTTTCGTGTCTAGTCCCAGCGACTACGCGCCCTATTCAGACTCGCTTTCGCTCCGCCTCCGGCCCGTTAGGCCTTAAGCTCGCCACTGAGACTAACTCGCGGGCTCATTATGCAAAAAGCACGCCGTCACCCCGTAGGGCTCCGACCGCTTGTAGGCACACGGTTTCAGGTACTCTTTCATCCCCCTAATAGGGGTGCTTTTCAACTTTCAATCACTTTACTGTTTCGCTATCGGTCGTCAAGTAGTACTTAGCCTTGGAAGGTGGACCTCCCATGTTCAACCCGGGTTCCACGAGCCCGAGCCTAATCGAGGGCTATGGTGCTACACCTTGCTACCGGACTTTCACCGTCTTTGGTCACGCATTCCTTCGTGTTCACAAGTTCACACCTATCCGCTTTCGCTCGCCGCTACTTACGGAGTCGCATGTTGCTTTCCTTTCCTCTGGGTACTTAGATGTTTCAGTTCCCCAGGTTCGCCTCGCATACCTATGCATTCAGTATGCGATACCCTTGCGGGTGGGTTTCCCCATTCAGAGATCTGTAGATCACAGCCTGGTTACCGGCTCCCTACAGCTTTTCGCAGGTTCCAACGTCTTTCATCGCCTCTTGACGCCAAGTCATCCACCGTATGCCCTTCGTGATTTGATCAACCCGACCAAGCGCCGATCCGTGATTGCTCGAAAGCAGGACACGCATCAGTTCATGTTCGGATCGACAATGGCCGCCCTCCTCTGCCGAGGGATCAGGACGACCAACTGTCTCGTAGGCACGAGACAGCATCGTTCAGACGCATAAATGAGATTACTCGTTCGTATTCTCAATACAGTCTACATCCGGGTACTGAACCCGAAGTATCTGTATCTGCTCGTCGTCATTCGGTTGTCAAAGATGCTGGGAAGTCGAAGACCAGCTTCGTTTCCCGTCGCTCCTCTTCAATGAGTCGCGGGGAGATACTAGGTCTCACATTTCGTGGATCAAATTTGGAGGGCGACAATTCTGCAATTGAGATCACAATTCTTTAGAATTGATCCCGCTGGTTGGTGCTGAATGTGCGCCTTGGGGATCTTTGGAGAGTTCGGCGAGGCGTGAGAAGATCCGGGTCCATAAAAAACCCCGCTGGGAGCGGGGGAAATGGGTCTGGCTGAGGAGGTGAGCAAGTCTGGGATCAAGGCTCGATCGGGAGGAAGAGATCCGCGGCTGGGGATCTGGCGGGCTGACCGGTCGGGCGGAGGCTCGATCGGGCGGCTTGGGACGAGGAGGATTGGGCTTGCTCGTAGAGGGTGGTGCTGCGATCCTCGATCGGGCTCCTCTGGATGAGGGTGCCGTCGGGGAGTCGGAAGATCAGTGTGCTGACTTGCTGGTCGGCACGCAGAGCAGCGACTGGGTCGCTTGCGATCTGAACGAGGAAGGTGTCGAGATTGATCGACAGACGATCGGGCGCGGTCGAGATTCCGGTTGGGGTATCTGTGTCTGCGTCGTCGTTGTTGAGTTTCTCGATGTACTCGGCGGCTTCATCGGCTTCCAGAGCGCCGGTGTCGAAGAGGACGAAATCACCTGAGACTCGGAGGTTGGCGGCGAGCGGTTGTCCAGGCTCGATGTTCATGGACGAGCGGCGGTAGTAGCCGTAGTACATGGAGTAGAGCTCGACCTTTGCTTGTGGGAGGTCTGCGCCGGAGATCGGCTGGGATGCTTCGGTGACGAAGAAGAACTCTTTGGCCCCCACTGCGACTTCATCGGACCAGTCGGACCAGTCTCCGCGTGAGAATGGCTCGACGGTGAGCGCTTGCTGCGCGTCGTCGGTTTCGTCGAGGTACGGTCCCTTGCGGAAGTATGGGTTGTTGAGCACGACGCGGGTGCGGTAGCGGTAGGTCGCGCCTGGTTTGACTCCGATGTCGTGCGCCCAGAGTTGGATCGCGTCTTGGTTGAGGATGTCGGTCGAGGTTGCAGCGTCGGTGTCCGCCTCGACGCCGAGCGCTTCGAGCTCTTCTTTGATCTTATCGATCTGATCTTCGACGAAGTCGATTCGCTCTTTGTTGCGATCGCGGTTGGAGCGTGTGGGTGCGCTGCCGGGATCGCGGGCGCCACCTGGGTTCTTTCCTGAGCGACCGCCGGTTGGTCGGCTTGTTTGGCGATTCCCGGCGTTGTTGAGTTGATCGAGTTCAGCGGTCAGACGGGTGAGTTGACGCTGGAGGCGCTGGGTCTCGGTGAGTCCCTGGTCATCGTCGAGCAGTTCGGATGGCGGGATCCACGCTGGTCCGGAGATGGTTGGTGGGTAACTCGGCTGCATGACTTGGTGCGATGCGTCTTGGGCGCTTGCGATGATCTCGTTGAGTCGGACGAGTCCGTCGTCTTTGGTGACCGCTCCGGTTGGGAGTGGCGTGCCGGGAGGCATGGTGATTGGTTGGGTTGAGCCCCACGATCCGTCGGCTTGGAGTTCTTGGCGCTCGACTTCGAGTCCCATGACGGCCATCCCGGTGGAGACCCAGAAGAGGCGTGGGACGCCGTGGTATCCGTCGTTGCCTTCGAGCACATCTCGGAGGGTGGATCCTGAGAAGTTTGCTTCGATGGAGACTGTTGGCATGTCGAACGGCTGAGCCGCGGGAACGAAGTTGGCGTACTCAGGGACTTCGATCACGGCGTATGGATCGAGTGTTCCCCACGCGGAAGCGGCGATCGGGGTTGAAGTCTCTGGGACTTGGAGCGGCTCGATATTGGCAATGACATCACTATGACTCGTTGGGTCGAATCCTGTGATATCCAGAGCTTGTGCGATATCAAACCCATCACCCAGCGCGGCTGGGAGTTTGGTTGCGTTGTCGGCGCTGGATGCGAAGGCGTTGTTGTAGCGGTCGAGCAATGCGACTGATTGCACTTCCGGGAGCGATGGCGAGGTGTCGGAGATCTGGCTTTGGAGAGCGCTTGCAGTGGAAGCGAGCTCGTTGTAGATCTGGTCTGGCGCGACTTCGCGTGATCCGGCTTTGACATTGTTCGGCGAGGTGACGAACTGCATGGAGATCACGGCGAGAAAGATCAGGACGGTGAGTCCGAGGACGACTTTCTCGATGTGCTGCGCGATTGGGTTGACGCCTTTGAGTTTCATGATTTGTTCTCGATTGCGTGTGGGTGTTTGTCTTTATGCTGTTCTTGGACTGATTGTTGGATTAGCCGTCGGAGAACTCTTCGTTCTGGTCGAGCGGGATTCCCAGCGTGGTTTTGACGGAGTCTGGCATGAGATCCTTGGTCCACGCGCGGAGCCAGACGGTTTCGATTTTGAGGTGAGCTCGGACGACATGGTCTTCGCCGTAGTAGTAGCCATCGAGGAGTGCTTCTTCGACATTGACTTGCTCGAGGTCGACATCGACGACGGTCATGTAGTTGGTCTTTCCGAGCGCGTCGAAAAGTGCTGGTAGTTTTTCGGATGACGCGATGACGGTCATCTCGGCGTAGCGTACATCGAACGCGTCGTTGGGTTGCTGGTTGCGTCCGGTGTATGACTTGAACTGATCCTCGTCGTTGAATGACGAAGGGCTTGGATCACGACGATCTCTAGGACGGGAGTCGATATCAATATCGATGACCGCATCGGCGACAAGGAACTGGTCAACACGAATTCGTTCGATGTGCTTGATTGGCGCATCGGGGACCGCGAGAGAGACTCCTGATTGGTCGGTGTTTGCGGCACCAACAGCGCGGAGGATGTCGGAGATGATCCAGTAATCCCAGACCCAGGTGTAGACGCTGGACTCGGTGATCGAGTCGTATCCCGGCTCGGTGATGGGGACATGGGAGAAGCCGTCTTCTGGTTGTGCAGTCTGGATCGAGCCGAGCGGGCAGTAGAACGCGATGGACTCAGCGCGCCCGGCGTATTCACCCAAGCGGCGCTTGATCAGATCTTGCTCGAGACGCTTGGCGTCTTCATCTGAGACGCGTCCATCCGCGCTGGTCGCGGCATAGGACTCTTCTTGCTGCTTTTTGTACTGACTCAGCGAAGAAGCGAGCGCGTTGGCATCGGGAGCGCTCCCGGCGTTGAGCTTGCGGAGCAGACGCTCGTAGATCGATGGGGCTTCAACGGTTCCCGCGACGAGCTGTCCGAGTTTGTATCCGTTGCGGCGCAGTTCGCTCGCGGACTCGGCTTTGGGGAGCAGGTTGCTGACAGGGACATCGTGGTTCGCTTGGTTGAACGCTGTCCCGCGTTCGATGACTTCATCGACCTGCGCTTCGCGTTGTTCCTTGCGGTCCTTGTAGAAACGGGTGACGATCGCGTTGGGGGCGCGTGACTCGGTGAGCGGCTGCTCGTCTTTGAGTACGCGTGGGAGTGTGTAATCCACGGTGCTTGCTTGCGTGAGCTTGCGCTTCTCGTCGCTGTAGGCTTTGGTCGCTTTTTCCTGGATGGACGAGTTCCATCCATTGGAGAAGAACCATCCAACAGGGAGCAGGATGACGATGAGCACGATCGAGATCACGATCAGCAGGTTCGCTTTGATCCATGCGAGGATATTGCCGGCCATTAGTCGTCTCCTTGCGCGGTGGTGAGATCAAGCACGGCGTACCAGGTCATGGTGACGCTTGTGGTGTGCTGGGGTGCGGGTTGTGGTTGGAAATCAAACGGCGCGAGACTCTTGAGGTCTGAGGAATCGCTCGTCCCAGGTCTCGTTGGTCTTGTTTGATTTTGTACAGGTCTGCGAGGGTCGTTTCTGCTGCCGCTCGCGACCTCGTCGGTCGACCAATACGCGTTGGGGTCGTACTTGATCGCGTAGAGGGATTGGAGTTCTGGGAGTTTGTCTCTCAGGATGGGTTCGACGATATCGTCGCGGAATCCGCCGAGGGTGGAGTTGGGGAGCGGGATATCGAAGACCGCGGTGACTTTGACTCGGCGGAGATTTCCGATGCTCTGCTCGAAAGCCCCTGCATCTGGGGTGTCTGGATCGCGTGGTCTTCTGCTCGGGCTATCTCCGGTTGGAGCATTGAGGAAATCGGTGTTGAGCGAGACAAGCTCGATTGGGTTGTTCTCTCCGAGCTGAGCGCCGATTGGCGATCCCGCTTGGACTTGCTCTGCGGCGCCTTGCTTGACCATGGACATCAGCGATGCGGTATCCGCGAGGACTGCGGAGTAGAGAGCGCGGTCATCGACAAGACTGACGATCTCGGCGGCTTGCATGGATACATTGGCGTCGGAGGTTACACCTGCATCGGTGGCTCGTTCTGCGAGGAGGTTGGCTTCGCTGATCACTGATCCGATGACTGGAGGACGCTGGGCTCCTTCGAACGCTGTCGAGTCGAGGAGCGGGCGGATGAACATCGCGCCTGCAGCGGCAGCGGCAAGTCCGGCGCCAACAGCGAAGTATGGGACCTTGCGTTTCCACATCGCTTCCTTGAGGACGCTGACGGGCATGAGGTTCGCGAGGAGTGGTGCTTTACCAAAGACCTGATTGGCGCAGCCGTATGCGGTTGCCATGTTCACGCTGGATGCTTGGAACTCTCCGGCGCGTGGACCTTCCATCGAGAGCTTTTTGAACTGCTCGAGTCGGTAGACGTCGAGCTGGAGTTGTTGTTTGAGGTACTTGCGGAGTCCGGGGAGACGAAAGGTGGATCCGAGTCCGATGAGTCGCTTGAGGTCGGCGTCTGCGTGGACGGATTGGTAGAAGCCGATGGAGCGCTGGATCTCTCCGACGATGTCGGAGAAGACTGGACGCATCGCTTGGAACACATGGCGTGCGTGCTTGGATTGGTCGGACTCTCTTTTGAGCTTCTCGGCTTTGGAGTACGAGAGCTTGAAGGCGCTGACGAGCGCTTCGGTGAACTGGTGACCACCGATCGGGAAGGTGCGGACCCACACGCGTCCGGCTTCGGCGATGATCATGTCGGTCGAGACGGTCCCGATGTCGAGGATGATGGTGCCTGGGGTGTCTTCGGTGAATCCGAGGTCCACGGCGAGCGCGTTGTACGCCGCGACTGGGGAGAGGGTCGCGAGCTCTGGGGTGATGCCCACATCGTTGAGCATCGCGAGTTGCTCGGCGATCTTCTGACGCGTGACGGCGAAGATCCCGACCTCGATGTCAGGAGAGTCTGGTGAGACGAAAGTTTGGTAGTCCCATTCGACCTCTTCGAGCGGGAATGGGATCTGCTGGACGGCTTCGAACTTGACGATGTCAGGAACCTTCTTGGGCTCGACTGGCGGGAGCGTCGCGAAGCGAGCGAAGGATTGGTGTCCTGGGATCGAGATCGAGACGCGTTCGTTGGTCAGGTCGTGCTTGGAAACGAGGGTTCCCAAAGCGACGCGCATCGCGTCGTTCTGATCGAGTTCTGGGGTCGAGAGCACGCGCGGGTGATTGATGACGGCGAAGTCGAGGACTTTGAGGTTGCCCCCATCATTCTCGACTTTGAGGGCTTTGATTGCCCCGTAGCCCATTTCGATTCCCCAGCAGATGTTTGATGAAGCCATGACTTCTCCGGTTCGGATCAGGTTCGGATGGCGCGGCACGGTAGTGCGGCGTGGGCAGGATGGTATTCAACCGGTTTGCCTGTGCCCACCATACGATGAAATCGAGCCCGAGATGCGGGCTTGTGTGGGGTTGTGACAGTCGTGTGACAAACTGGCGTGTTTGTACGGATTGTTGAAGAAAGTAGTGAACTTAGAACATCGCGAGTGCGGCGCTGGAGACGAAGGCGGTGCCGTTGGGGTCCATCGCGGCGGCGTAGTTCAGGAGTTCGACCTTCTCGGGGTTGGTGATCCGCATGGTTGCGGTCATGTTCCCGAGCGAGCACCAGCGGGTTGGGTTTTGCTGCCAGCTGATGGATCCGATGAGGTCGTCGATCTTCTTCTCTGTAAAGAGCTTGAGCATCTCGTGATCGTGGGTCGCGACTTTGGTGCGGAACGCGGCGGCAGCTTCGTCCTCTCCAGCAAGTGGCTGGTTGTCTCCGAACGCGGGTCCCACATGCGAGAGATCGGCGCTGGAGATGATGAGGGTCTTTCCTGGGAGATCGGAAACGGCTGCTTGGAGTGCATCGACGAATGGATCGAGATCGAGTCCTGTGCCGTCGTACGAGGCGCCGGAGTTGACAACTGGGTCGTGGACGAGCGCTGAGAAGACTTTGGGATAGTTCCCTGCATCGTCTTGTCCGAAGATGTGCTGGATCCACGGCATGTGGAGCTCGATAGAGTGCTCGTTTTCGTGGTCGTAGCGGTTTTCGAAGAGTTTGGAGGCGTTCTCTTCGCCGAGCTTTGATTTGAGCGCGTCGGCGAGGTCGGAATCGAACTGACATACTCCAAGCGGGGATTCGTATCCTTTATTACAGCCGCAGACTCCTGTGGATTGTCCGAAGTGGTTGGTTCCAAGGATGATGACGCGGTCTGGTCGATCGACGGTGCGTAGTCGGCCGTAGACATTGGCGTAGTTCATCCAGCCGCGTGCGTAGTCGATGTGGGGCGCGACGATGGCTTTGGGGAGGGTGTCAAAGGCGGGGCTTTCGACTTCTTTGAGCGCGTCGTCGATCCATTTATCCATCACTTCGCGGAGCTTTGCGGGACCTTCTGAGGATTTTTGTTCGTCTGTGGTGTCTTCGCCGTGCTCTTGCATGACGAGCATGTCGGCGAACTGTGCGGTCGCGCCTGGAGGAAGGAGGTCGGAGGCATCGAACTGAGCGTGCATTTGGGTCTGCATTTCGTCAAAGACTGGTCCGAAGAGGAATCCGGCGTCGTCGAGCTGCGCGACGAGGTTCTCGAGCATTGGGCGTTCAAGGCCGTTCCCGACTTGTTCGACGAGCTGATCGATGGTCTTTGAGCCGTCGAGGAGGGGGATGACCTGCTGGAACGCGGGATGGGTGACGACCATTTTCGGGGAGATTTGCTGTGCGTCGGTGAGTCCGAGCATGACGACCTGGTTGCCTTGCGGGTCCTTGGCGGGGAGGGGGACTCCGCGGACTTTGCGGATTTTCGGGCTTTGTTGGTGAACTGCGTTTGGGTCAAAGACAGGTTGCTCTGGTTGTTGTGGCTGGTCGGTCATATGGGGTCTCCGGATTGGAGTCGAATGAATCGGGTCGTGGACGCTCATACGGAACTGCGTCGGCTATGGGGTCGGTAAGACTCTAGGGGTGCATGAATTGGATTCCTTGGGATTCGGGGCTAAACTTCTCATCCTGCTCAGATTGGGCGGGGCAAGAAATGACTCAACCTCGGCGTGCGAGCTGATCGGCGCTGTGATAGGACTGTATTGAACAGGAACCAGCCATGATCGACACACTCTCCGCCGGCGACACGATTACCCTCACGATTGACAAGGTTCCCGCGAACAAAGCGGCGTGTGACACGATTGTCCGCATGATGCGTCGTGATCCGGACATCAAGCGTTCGCTCGCTCGTGCTCAGCGCATGCGTCGTCAGCGTATGCACTCGTATGTTCGTGGCGGACGCATGTGGTACTCGCGCGAGAAAGCCGCGAAGATCGCGGTTTGCGAGCAGGGCAAGACTTGGAACATGGTCTTCACCAACGACATCTCACCTGATCTTGGATCGGTCGAGCAGTACCTCTCGATTTCCAAGTCGTGATCGGCGCTCGCTTGAGCGAGCAGCACACAAGACAACTTGATTGGAGTTCTCGATGAACAGCTTGCGTGACACACTGCGGATTTCTCTTGCGGGTTTGGCGATCGGTGCGTTTGCATTGAGTGGCTGCGTTGAAACAAGCAGCAACAAAGAAGATGCTCACGATCACAGTGGACATGACCATGACGGGCATGACCATGATCATGGGGGTCACGACCACGGCTCAGAAACCGCTCAAGAGGTCAGGGTTGATCTCTATGAAGGGATCATCGGTGAGCTCAAGTTCATTCCTGAAGATGGGGATACCAAGACGCATCCTCAGATCCGGCATGTGCAGATTCCTGACTTCAAGAAGGATGATGGGACCATCGCGATGACTCCGGATGGGATTCCTGGGATGCGCTCGATGAAGATGGAGTTTCCGCTCGCTGAGGGTGTTACTCTCGATGGATTTGAAGTGGGCGACAAGGTCATGTTTGACTTTGTGGTCAACTGGGGCGGGAAGGTCCCATGGGAACTCACGAAGATTGAGAAGCTGGATCCATCAACTGAGATTGATTACTCAAACGCGAAGGCGGAAGATCTCGAGCCTTGAGTCTTGATCACATTCGAACAGTTGAACCACGCGAGAGCGTGGTTTTTTTGAATGGTTCTAGAGCAGATGAAATGCGGGTCAGAAAAAACCCGGCGTCCAGCACTAAGGCCAAACGCCGAGTCTCGTGGGGGTCGGGAGGGAACAGACCATACAGCGATATTCAATGGATCATCTTCGATCGTGCTGAACAGTCTTGATTGGTGCAGGGATTTGAGAACCAAATCCCAGTGCGAGATGCACAGCATGATGTTCGCATGCGGCTTTGGTGCGGTTGCTCTGAGTTTGTAAAAATAGTCAACTTCTTGCGACAGCGGATTTAGGCTTTGTTTGAGGGCAACTCTCAGGTCTTATTGAGACCCAAGCGTTCCATCACGGCGGTCAGATCTGACCAGACTTTGCGTCGGTTGTCCTCGGTGTATGAACGCAGCAGATACGCGGGGTGGTAGGTCGGCATCAGATCGATCTGAGGAAGATCAATCGGAGTATTTGTGGATGGGAAGGTGTGGAAGCTTCCTCTGAGTGATCGCATCGGCTGTGTGGTTCCGAGCAGGAGGTGCGTTGCTGGGAGACCGAGGGTGACGATCACTTTGGGATTGACGATTCGGATTTGTTCGAAGAGGTATGGCGCGCACGCCGCGGCTTCGTCTTGGGTCGGAGTCGCATTGTTTGGGGGGCGTGTTTTGAGGATATTGGCGATGTAGACCGATTCTCTGCTCAGTCCCATCGCGATAATCATCTTGTCGAGCAGTTGTCCGGCGCGTCCGACGAACGGGCGTCCGGTCTCGTCTTCTTGTTGACCTGGTGCTTCTCCCACGAACATGAGCTCGGCTTGGGGATCGCCTTCTCCGAACACGATGTTGTTGAAGGAGGTGATGAACTGCGCGTGCGGTGCATCGGTGATGTACTTCTCGCGGAGTGCGTCAAGTTTGGATTGCGGATCGGAATGCGACTCGTATGCTGCGCGGATCGATTCGCTACTTACGACTGGTGCTTGCGCCTTGGGTGCGAAGTCCAGTTGTGAGGGTTTGGCTTCGATTGTCGAGCTGGTCGCGAAGCGCGGTTCCGTTTCTGGATTATCCGGAGATTGCGGCTCTTGCTCGCTTAGCAAGATTTCGATCGGAGGAGTCCCGACAGGAAGAAAGTCCACCCCAAAGAGCTGGGTGGTCCTGGCGTGCTGGGCGAGGATGGCATTGAAGTCCGATGACATGCCGAGCTGATTACGGCGAGTCTGGGAGGTTCTCTTCCGCGTCGTCGATGAGGTCTTCGGCGGCTGCTTCTGCGTCATCGACCAAATCTTCGGCGGAATTTTCCATATTCTCGATCGCGCCATCAGCAGTTTCTGCTGCGTCGTCGATCATGTCGTCCATCTGATCCATGTCGCGATGGGAAGGTCCGCCTGCGTGTGCGGGATCGACCTTGATTTTGTTTGCGCTCATCATGTCTGGAACGAAGGCGCCTGCGACTGCACCGATGATGAGGCCGAGGATAAGTCCTGGGAGGAATGCGTGTGCGAAGGAGGTGTTGTTTTGTTCGCTCATGATATTGGCTCTGCTCTTGCGTGCGGTTTTCTTGGTGATGTTGTCGATGCTGATGGACCCCATCGACTTGGTTCATAAGTGTATACGGTACTGGGTCACGATGTATGGAATCGAGCGTATCGGGCTGTTTGGGCCACAATTTTAGCGCAAACGGCGGATTCGATGCGCCCAACGGGCGTATTCGAGTGCGAGATGACGCTTGCTCTGCTGCTGGGAAGCGGGATCATGCTCAGGGAACGCGGTGCTCATTCTCCACTTCCAGTACGGCGAGGAGAAGTTCAATCCAGAGCGGAGTGCGAGCGTGCACAGGACCCACAACGCGCCGATGGTGTCCATGATGTATGCGATCGCTTTTGTCATGACGCGTGATCTTTGGTGTGCTCGTGCTGGTCTTTGTACCAAAGGGTGGTTGAAGCAAGACCTTCCTCAAGCGTGGTGATAGGTTTGTATCCGAGTTGTGACTCGGCTTTGGAGGTGTCAGCGAATGAATCGCGGACCTCCCCCACTCGCTCTGGCTGATGAACGGGGTCGATGTTCTGGGCATTGACCAGTTCACTAAGCTTGGTCGCGAGTTGATTGACAGAGGTTTGTTGTCCGGCTCCGATGTTGAAGACTTCGCCATTGATGGGTTGATCGAACGCGGCGGCGAGGAGGTTTGCGTAGACGGCGTTGGAGACATGGGTGAAGTCTCGTGTTTGATCGCCGTCTCCGAAGATGGTCGGTGGTTGATTGTTGAGGTAGCACTTGAGGAACGCGGGGATGACGGCGGCGTATGCGGAGTCTGCGGCTTGTCTTGGGCCGAAGATATTGAAGTAGCGGAGGCATGCGGTGTCGATGCCGTAGCAGTTTGCCCATGATCGACAGAGCGATTCTCCGGCGAGCTTGGCGGCGGCGTAGGGGGATTCTGGTTCAGGCGCTTGGGTCTCAAGCTTTGGGAGCGCGGGGTTGTCGCCGTAGGCAGAGGAGGACGCGGAATAGATCACGCGGGAGGCGCCGGCTTTCTGCGCGGCGCTGAGGACGCGCATGGTTCCGGTCGCGTTGACGACCCAGGTTCGTGCGGGGTCTTCGACGGATTTGGGGACTGATCCAAGTGCGGCGAGGTGGAAGATGTACTGCGCACCTTCGACGGCGGCTCCGAGCGAGATTGGATCGAGGATGGAGCCTTGGATGAAGCGGATTTGTTCTGGATTGGATTCGACGAGTGAGGCGATGTGTCCGGCGTTTGAGTTTGAGAGGTCGTCGATGACGGTGACACGCGCGCCGAGATTGATGAGCGCGTCGGTGAGGTGTCCTCCGATGAATCCGGCGCCGCCTGTGACGCAGACGACGGTGTTGCGGAGTTTGGAGAGTGATGGTTGTTGGCTGATCCAGTTCATTGGTGAGACATTGTACGGCAAAAACAAGAGCGGGCCGAGGATTTGGCCCGCTCCTTTATGTACTTGATATTGCTAGTTGTGGGTTATGGACAACCAGCTGAGAATTGCGCCAGGAACTCGCTGACATCGAGGAAGTTGTAGTTCCCGTCTGGTACAAAGTCGGCGACTGGGTCTTGGTTCCCGAATGCGGTGAGGAACGCGGAGACATCGAGGAAGTTGAGGTCCCCCTCTCCGGTGAGGTCTGGCGGGCATGTATCGGATGCGCAATCAAGATCAAAGCCGTACGCGGCTCCGGCGAGATTGCCGTTCTCTCCTTCAAACACGGCACCGATGATCGCGTTGTCTCCCGAGACCGCGACTGCGGAACCGAAGTGGTCATTGACGTCGGCATCGGATGCGGTGAGTTTGTCCTCTTCGTTCCATGTTGATCCGTCGTAGCTGAAGAGGTATGCGGCTCCGGCGCCAGACAAGACATCACTGACGAACTCAGCGCCGATGAGCGCTGTATCTCCTGAGATTGATACAGATTCACCGAACTGATCTAGCAGAGCGGCATCTGAGGCGGAGATCTTTGCTTCGTCCCATCCTGACATGGTGCTGCGGAAGATGTATGCGGATCCTCCAAGGAATGCGCCTTCGTCGTCGTTGTTGGCGCCGGCGATGACGACGCCGTTGTCAACATCAACCGAGATCCCGAACTGATCGTTTGCGGCTCCATCTGATGGCTGGAGTTTGATGATCTCGTTCCATGAGGTGGTTATGAACTCGAAGATGTAGATCGCGCCGGCTTCTGCGGCGGCGCCGTTCTCGGCGTGGTAGGCCCCCACTACGAGGTCTGTGTCATCGATGGCAACGGATTGACCGAATCTGTCGAAGGTATCCGCGTCGGACGCTGAGATCTCTTCTTCGATCCATGTCATGAGGATGTCGTCGTATGAGTACAGGTAGACACTTCCTGATGCGATCCCTCCATCACCATCGCGTGGAGCGCCGACGGCGATGGTTTCGCCTGTGATGTCCACGGCGAATCCGAACTCTTGATTGACGGCTGCATCGGATGCGAAGAGCTGGGTATCGAAATCCCAAGTCGATCCGTTGAAACGGTAGACATAGATCGCGCCGCTACCGGTGACGGTTGTGTTGTCGAGTGGTGAACCGATGACGGCGATGTCGCCGTCGATCGCGACGGAGAATCCGAACTGACCTACTCCGGAGTCTTCGGAGAGTTGGAGTTTTTGTTCTTGCATCCACTGGCTTCCATCGAAGCGATAGATGTATGCGGAGCCGTAGCCTGGGAGTCCGAGCAGTCCTCCTTCGTCTGTCGGGGCGCCGACGATTGCGACATCACCTGACACGGCGACACTTGTTCCGAATCCATCTCCGGCGCTGCCGTCGTTGGCGAGGATTTTATTGAGTTCTGCTGGTGCGCAAGTCTGCGCGATGCCGTTGACGCTTGCGACTGAAAGGACGCTCGCGCATGCACTGATCAGTACAGTTGTGTTCATTTCTCTCTCCCTGCTTTGTATCCATGGATAACCATCCCCAAATATGGGGCATACACCCTATCAGGAAATGCGAGCAAAATCAGCTAATTCTGGGCATTATCACTCATTCATGACTGAATTATCCTGAATCAAGGGCATCCTGCGGCGAACCGCGCGAGGAATTCACTGACATCGAGGAAGTTGTAGTTGCCGTCAGCAATGAAGTCGGCGACAGGATCTTGGTTCCCGAATGCGGTGAGGAACGCTAAGACATCGAGGAAGTTGAGGTCGCCTTCTCCGGTGAGGTCTGGGGCGCAGGCTGCTGGGAGGAGCGCGACGACGCGGTTGGTTGCGACGCCGTCGAGTTCTCCGAATCCTCCACCGATGATGAGTGACTCACCTTCTCCGGTGTCGTAGACGATTCCGGTGAAGATGCTGCCGTCGACGGAGTCGCTCATGGCTTCCCATGATGAGCCGTTCCATTTCGCGACGCCTGCGATTGGGGTGGCGCCTGATTCGGTGAAGTTTCCGAGTGCGTAGAGGGTTTCTCCGGAGCCGTCGTCGAAGGTGACGAGTTCTTGGACATCGCCGTTGAATCCGTCGCCCATGGACGACCATGACATGCCGTCCCATTTTGCAATGTTGGTGGAGACTGTTGAGCCTCCGGCGAGGTTGAAGCGTCCGCCGACGTAGAGGGCTTCACCTGATCCGTCGTCCCAGTTGGTCATGTGGAGGACTTGTGCGAATCCTGATGTGCGTGAGACTCCCAGGTCCATCGCGGACCATGAGGTGCCGTCCCATTGTGCGATGTTGAGTGCGGCGCCGCCACCGATGGTGAGGAAGCGTCCTCCTGCGTAGAGGAGGTTGCCACCACCCAGGTCTGCTTGGTGGAGGTCGAGGACGATGAGGGGCACGGCTCCACCGATGGTTCCGCCGACTGCGGAGTAGTTGGTGCCGTCCCATTTGGCGATGTGATCGAGTGCGAGGTTCCCGTTGAGGTCGCCGTAGTTCCCGGCGATGTAGAGTTGTTCTCCTGTGATGCCGTCGTCGTAGACTTCGAGATCCCAGAAGGAGTTGAGGAAGATTTCGGACTGCGCGTCCATGGAGTTCCAGTTGGTGCCGTCCCAGCGTGCGAGTTTGGCGGAACCTGCAACGCCGCTCGCGGAGTCGAAGTATCCGGCGGCGATGAGGTCGTCTTGGAACTCTGTCACGGCGTTGGTGTATCCGCCGGTGAGTCCGGAGCCTACGGGTTGCCACATTGAGCCGTCCCAGCGTGCGATTTGTGAACCGCTGGAACCTCCGCCAAAGATGTTGAATGAACCAACAGCGAAGAGTGACTCGCCTGAGCCGTCGTCGTGTACGGAGAGTCCGGCGACATAGGAACCTGTGAATCCGGGATCTCCGAGGGTGTTGGAGTATTCTTGCGCGTGCGTCATAGCGGCGGCTGCGGCGAGTGTTGATGCGACGATCAAACGGTTCAATGTGATTTTCATGGTGTCCTCCTGTGACGGTGTGGGTATTTCAATCAGTTCTAGCATACAGGAAGATGGTGGAGGATCACATAGAAAATACTCATTCTCTCGGAACTGATGCGCTCAATGGATAGACAGGGAGTTCTTGTTTACGCGAGCGTTTTAAGGACAACCCGAAGCGAACTGTTCAAGGAACGCGCTGACATCAAGGAAGTTGAAGTTGTTGTCGGGTGCGAAGTCGGCGATGGGTTCTTGGTTCGCGAACGCGCTGAGGAAAGCGGAGACGTCGAGGAAGTTGAGGTCGCCTTCTCCGGTGAGGTCGGGTGCGCAGTCGATGTTGGTGGTGATGGTGAGGCATGCGTCGAGGACGATCCCGAAGTCGTAGCTGGATTCATCTGAGACTTTGACGATCCATTGACCTGCTGCGTGCTCTCCGGTAAAAGCGCTCATGGGCATGAGCGGGATGAGGTCGCCGGCGATGATGGGGAACTGGTTCGGGGTGCACGCGGTCTCGGCAGGGCTGCTGGCGCTGTCGGTGAAGGTGGCATCGACGCCTTGTCCTCCGCATCCGAATGGGCCGGGGAATCCGGAGGAGGGGATTCCGGGGCGGTCGAGGATGGTGATGGTGGTGCCGTTGGGAGACTCAAGAGTGACGACGAGGTCACCGACCCAGTCGTGAGCGATGTTGAGCGCGAGCTCGACGGAGGCGATGGATTCGTTTGGTGCGACATCGACGCTGATCGGGAGCGAGACGCCAATGGTTGAGTCGTCTGGAATGAACTCGTTGGTTAACGCGCAGAACTCTTGGGCATGCGCCGATGAGGTTGCCAAAGTTGCCAGAAAGATGATTGGTGTGGATCGGTTCATCGCTTGGCCTCCTGGTTCAGAATCGCGTTGCGCGATTGATCGGTGCACTGTCCCGGATCGCGCATGTCTGCGGTGTGGCACCATCCTTCGAGATGTCCCATGTTGTTAGCGCCTGGGAGTTGTCCGGCGGAGCGTTCGATGACGCCGTCGTCTGGATCGGAGAGGAGGATGTCGGTGATGATGTTGCAGTAGTCGAATCCGAAGCCGTCTTCGAAGGAGGTGGTGTAGTAGTAGACATCATCGCGCGCCCAGGTGGGAATGAGTGAGAGCCAGTTGGCGGCTCCGGAGTAGGTCATGTTGGGGTTCTCGCCGCAACCGAATCCGAAGATGTCTCCGAGGATCGCGGCGTTCCCGGCGAGCGCGGTCCCTTGGTAGGGCGCGCCGACGGATTGGATGAGTCTGTTCCCGCGCGCCCAATCGAGACCGCTCCAGTAGTAGGTGTAGAGGTGGAGCGCGGCCATTCCGCCTTGCGAGTGTCCGACGACGCCGAAGGATTTCATCGGCGCGGCTTGGTTGAGCATCTCGAGCGCGAAGGTGTTGTGCGATCGGCTCTGCTCGAAGTCTTCGAAGAGTGCGATGTCTCCGGAGAAGTGGCTGATGGTGAATGGGGTGGCGTCGGTGCAGTAGCCGTGGACGAGCATGAGTCGGTGTCCCGGCCCGTTGGTGACTCCGGCGGTTGGGAGGTGTTGTGAGTTGATGGTTGGGCCGGGGGATCCGGTAAGCATGGTTTCGTTGGTAGTCGTTGGGGATTCTGGGAGTTTGAGATTTGCGATCGGTGTCTGGATGCGGTCGATGATTTCCAGTGGCACGAAGGTGTCGATGTCATGGAGGCGGATGTTGCGGAGTTCGATGGTTGATGGATCGACTTGTGCTTGGGTGATCCAGCGTTTGTCGAGCGTGAGCGTGCGGGTGTTGTCGACGATGGAGGAGATCCATGCGACTGGGATTGGTTGATCGTCGTGCATCCCCCACTCCAATGCCCATACTTCGGCGGCGAGGATGGTGTGGCGATTCGCGTTGTCTGGAGTGAACTGGAATCGGATCGCGGAATCGTCTGCAACAAGTGTTGGTTGCTTGAGCGGCATCGCTTCTGGCGCGGCGTCGATGAGGTGCTGGGTGGTGCGGACGATTGGTAGTTGATTTTGGGTTCCTGTTGCGATGATGCGGATGTTGTATGGGCCGGCTTCTTCGGGGACGAAGGTGATGGTGTCGGTGCTCGATTGCTCGTTGAAGACGAATCCTGATGGGGAGCGGATCTCGGCTTGTAGGTTGGTCAGTGTGGTGTTGTTGTTGAATGAGGACTTGATGGAGATCGGGTGGTTCTGGAGTGTGGAGCGTGTTGTGGGTTGGGAGGTGAGCTCGACTTCTGGGCCGTGGTCGAGGAGGATGTATCCGGCTGCTTCGTGGTCGGAAGTGATGGAGAGTGTGTACTCAGCGGGCGCTTGAGTGGGCTGGATGGTCATGTGCTCGAACATCCGGTCTTGATTGATCCATGCGAGTGGGCTTGTGCCTTGCTCGATGCGGGATTGGTCGATGAGTCTTGTGTTTGGCGCGATGAGCTGATGGCTCCACGCGTTTGGGGATTCGGGGAACAGGACGATGCGCGCGGGTCGATCGGTGAGGGTGATCGGTATGGACCACGACCAAACGCCTTGGTTGAACTCGAGTTTGACCGGAAGAAGCGCGGAGGTCGAGCGCTCGGCGAGCTTTGACAACTCTGGTAGTTGGACGCGGCCATTCAAAATGTCTGAGGGGGGCGCGGCGACTTGTTTGATCGGGAGCTGGTGCTGCGCGATGGCGCTGGTCGTGCAAACGAGCAGCGCCGCGATGGTGGATTTGATTGGCATGATGAACCCCGCTTTGGTGACGGTTGTGTGGGGCTATTTTAATGGATGCGGCTGCGAATACAACCGCAAACTTGGATTGGCCGGATTATGGGCATCCAGCCGCGAATGCAGCGAGATACGCGGAGACGTCGAGGAAGTTGAAGTTCCCGTCGGGCTCGAAGTCGGCGATGGGGTCCTGCTTCCCGAAGGCGGCGAGGAAGGCGGAGACATCGAGGAAGTTGAGGTCGCCTTCTCCGGTGAGGTCGGGGGCGCATGTGACGGCTGTAGGGCACTGGTTGAGCAGGATGCTCACGTCATCGCTGGAGTTGTTTACTACAGCAAGATCGGGTGTTCCGTCGAGATCGAGATCCTCGATCACGACGAAGACTGGAGCTCCGGCGGCGTCATAACGCTGCTGGGTTTGGAAGGTCCCGTCGGCATTGCCAAGCAGGACGCTTATGTCGTCTCCGGGACCGCTGTTGGCAACAGCGAGGTCGAGTGCGCCGTCACGGTTGAGGTCGTGGATCGTAATGGAGGTTGGGATGCTGCCAACATCGAATCGCAGCTGCGTTTGGAAGGTGCCGTTCCCGTTTCCGAGGAGGACGCTCACATCGAAGCTGTTTTGATTGACGACGGCGAGGTCGGGAGTTCCGTCGTGGTTGAGGTCACCGATCGCGATGGAGATTGGGCCATCGCCCGCACTGGGGATTTGGTTGGTCTGGAAGGTCCCGGTCCCGAGGTTGAGCAGAACACGCACACTATCGGTGCTGTTACTCGCGATGGCTAGGTCGAGATCCCCATCACCATCGAGGTCACCGATCGCAATTGATCGCGGATCGACAGCGTTGAAAATTCTTTGTGGCTGGAAGAATCCTCCGCCGTTGCCGATCAGGACGCCCACTCTGTTATCAAATGCATTCGCAACGGCGATGTCGGGGATTCCATCGCCGTTCAGATCACCGATTGAGACCGATTGCGGCCCGGTGCCTGCGCCCAAACGTTGCTCGGGTTGGAATGTTCCATCGCTGTTTCCGAGCAGGATACTTACATCGTTAGTCAGAAGATTCGCGACCACGAGATCGAGCTTCCCGTCAAGGTCCAGGTCTCCGGTTGCGATGGAGCTTGGCGCGGTCCCCGCGCTGTATCGCTGCTCGGGCTGGAAGGTCCCGTCGCTGTTGCCCAGCAGGACGCTGACATCGTTGCTGATTTGATTTGCAGTCGCAATGTCAGGGGTGCCATCGCCGTTGAAGTCGTCGGTCACAGCTGACTGGGGTCCATCACCTGTTTCAAACTCGGGGTTGGTCTGCGAGAACTGCTCAGCAGAATCGCATTGGATGAATGGGGCACACTGGTTGAGCAGAATGCTTACATCGTCGCTGTTGACGTTTCCCACGGCGAGGTCGGGGGCGCCGTCGTTATCGAAATCACTGATCGCGACGGAGGCGGGTCCGTTGCCTGCAGTAAACTGCTGCTCTGGTTGAAAGGTTCCGTCGCCATTACCCAGCAGGACACTGAGCTTTCCTGTGGAGAAATCGAGACTCGCTGTGGCGATGTCGAGCGCTCCGTCGGCGTTGAGGTCACCGATCGCGACAGCTTGCGGGAATGTTCCTGCTAACTGGAACTGGTCTGGTTGGAAGGTGCCGTCGCCGTTGCCCAGCAAGAGACTCAGGCCCTTGGCACCACTATTGACCACGACGAGATCGGGTGACCCATCGTTGTTGAGATCACCGATCGCTACGAAAGAGGGGCTGTCTGCGGTGCCGTAGCGTTGCTCGGGTTGAAAGGTTCCATTCCCGTTTCCCAGCAGGACGCTCACTTCGCTGTCAATGCCGTTTAAGTTTGCGACCGCAAGATCAAGGATGCCATCGCGGTTCAAATCATCGATCGCGACTGAAACAGGAATGTCACCTGTGCTGAACCGCGTTTCAGTCTGGAAGGTGCCGTCGCCGATTCCGAGCAGGATGCTCACTTCATCGGTATCCGTGCTCGCTGCGGCTATATCGAAGATACCGTCGTTGTTGAGATCAGCAATCACACCAGATCGCGGACTCTCTCCGGCGCTGAACTGTTGCTGTGCTTGAAAGGAGCCGGTCCCGACACCCAGCAGGATGCTGATATTGTCGCTGAGCACATTTGTTACAGCGAGATCGGGGACCCCATCGTTGTTGAGGTCACCTACCGCGACGGAGTTGGGACCATCACCGGCAGCGAAACGTTGCTCGGTTTGGTAGCTGCCGTCGCCGTTGTTGATCAAGATGCTTACATCATCGCTGGAACTGTTGGCGATTGCGACATCCAAGTTTCCGTCGCCGTTGAAATCTCCTATCACGATGGATCGCGACTGATCACCGATGCCAAACGCTGGGTTGTTCGACGAGAACAGCATCGACGGGTCGCACTGAGCGAATGCGCCGGAAGCTGCTGTGAGCATGGCAATCTTGGTGGCAATGACTTGCACGGCTGAACAAATACTGGGCATGATGATTTCTCTTTGGGTGAACAGCGAGTCGAGCCACGAAGATACATGGATTCCGACACGGAAACAAGAAAAACCATCCAGACTGAGTGGCCAAAGACCAATACCTCACGCTCCGTGACTATCGGAAGTCGATTCGCGTCTGCTATGCAAATAAACAACCACGATTCGAAGCGTGGTCGTTGGGAGTTGATCGAATTCTGTGGTTGAGCATCCGGACTTCAACTGGTGTCATGGGCATCCAGCCGCGAATACGGCGAGATATGCGGAGACATCGAGGAAGTTGAAGTTGCCGTCGGGCTCAAAGTCCACTGTGGGATGTTGGTTCGCGTAGAGCATCAGGAACTCGGAGATGTCGAGGAAGTTGAGATCGCCTTCTTCTGTGAGGTCGGCGGGGCAGGACGCGGAGATGCAGTTGTTGAGCATAACTGAAATGTCATCGGACTGGGAGTTGACGACGGCTATGTCGATATCGGAATCGGCGTCGAAGTCTCCGGCGGCGAGGCGGATTGGCCAAGTCCCAACATCGTATTGTGTCCGGTTTTCAAAGCTGCCTTTGGTGTCGTTGAGGAGCAGGCTGATTGAGTCATTGGAGAAGTTGGGAGTGACGATGTCTGGATATCCATCGCTGTTGATGTCTTGGAGGATGAGCTGTCGAGGGCTGGGTCCGATGTAGTGGAATGTGTTTCCTGTGAATGTTCCGAATCCTGAGTTCCTCATGACGACTGTTGACCCCGCGGTGCCGGCAACGATGAGGTCGAGATCGTTGTCATGATCGATGTCGACGAACCCGAGGTCTGTTGGTCCGTTGGGGACTGTATATGAGAGCGCGGGGACGAAGCTCATTGGTCCGATGTTGAAGTACACATCAACATAATCCTGGCTCCACAGCGCGATCGCGAAATCGTTGTCGCCGTCGGAATCGATATCCGCGATCGCTACGCTGGAAGGCCTTGTGCCCACTTCGAACTGGAGCTCGTTGTGGAATGTTCCATCGCCTTGGTTAGTGAGGATGTTCACATCGTCGGAATCGATGTTGACCACGATGATATCAGGGAGCGCGTCGCCGTTGAGGTCATCGATTGCGAACTTGATTGGCGTGACGCCGACTGGGTGGGTATAGGAGAGCGTGAAGTTCCCAGAACCTGAGTTGAGGTGGATGCTGAGCGAGTTATCGATTGCGACGATGTCCAGATCAGCGTCGTTATCAATGTCTACCAGGCGGATTTCCATGACGCTCTCCGTTGCGTCGTATACGGTGGCGGGACCGAAGTTGCCTTGGCCGTCGTTGAGCTGGATTCGCATGATCGTGGTGTAGCTCGCGGAGATGATGTCCAGATCCGAGTCGCCATCGATGTCTCCCAGTGCAATGCCCTGTGGGTCAGACCCGGCATCGAGCAGCGTGCTGGTGAATGTGAGGTCGTCACAGCTTTGTGCTGACGCGTGCGTCGCGATCAGCAGCGAGAGCGTGCAGAGGGGCACAGATTTTTGAACACGCAAAAAACTCAGGATACACATGAGCACAGTGTACCATTGATGAGTTAGTACACAAAAGAAAAAAACGCCTTTCGGCGTTTGGGGTGATAACTTGTTGAGAGCTTCTATTAACCGTTCCAGCCGGCTTTGAAGTTCTTGAGGGCTTCGACGAGCTTTGGTTCGTTGTCGTCGTTGAGTGCCTTCGCTTCGTTGATCGAGTCCCAGACGGACTTGCCTGAGGTGCGGAAGTACTCGTGCATGTCCTTCTCGAACTTCGCGACATTCTCGATCGCGACATCGTCGAGGAAGCCTTTGGTTCCTGCGTAGATCGAGATGACCTGATCGATGACATTGAACGGCACATACTGAGGCTGCTTGAGCAGTTCCACCATGCGTGCACCGCGATCGAGCTGTGCTTGGGTTGCTTTGTCGAGATCGGTACCGAGCTGCGCGAACGCTTCGAGCTCGCGGTATGCCGCGAGGTCGAGACGGAGGGAGCCGGCGATCTTCTTCATTGCTTTCACTTGAGCGGCACCACCCACGCGGGAGACCGAGATACCCACATTAATCGCCGGACGCACGCCTGAGAAGAAGAGTTCTGGTTCGAGGTAGATCTGGCCGTCGGTGATCGAGATCACGTTGGTTGGGATGTACGCCGAGACGTCGCCTTCTTGGGTTTCGATGATCGGGAGCGCGGTGAGTGAACCTGCGCCGTTCTCGTCGGAGAGCTTGGTGGAGCGCTCGAGGAGGCGTGAGTGCAGGTAGAAGACGTCACCTGGGAATGCTTCGCGTCCTGGAGGACGGCGGAGGAGCAGTGAGAGCTGGCGGTAGGCGACCGCTTGCTTGGAGAGGTCGTCGTAGACACAGAGGACGTGCTTGGGGTATGGGTTGCCGTTGGAGAGGGTCTTGCCTTCTTCCTTGCCGGACCACATGAAGTGCTCACCCATCGCGGTGCCGGAGTATGGCGCGATGTACTGGAGCGGAGCGGGGTCGGACGATCCCGCGTTGACGACGATGGTGTAGTCCATGGCGCCTGATTCGCGGAGGGTGTCCACGACGCCGGCAACAGTGGATTCTTTCTGACCCACAGCAACATACACACAGACCACAGCGTCTTTGGTTCCCCAGAACTGCTTCTGGTTGATGATCGCGTCGATCGCAACGGCGGTCTTTCCTGTTTTACGGTCACCAATGATGAGCTCACGCTGACCACGACCAACAGGGATCATCGCGTCGACCGCTTTGATACCGGTCTGGAGTGGTTCGTGAACTGGTTGACGAGCCGCGATACCTGGCGCGATGATGTCGACCATGGAAGATTCGGTTGCGTTGATCTCAGCGCCGTCGTCGAGTGGACGACCGAGCGGGTCAACGACGCGTCCGAGCATGGCTTCACCGACTGGTACGGAGAGGAGGTTCCCGGTCGCTTTGACGGTGTCGCCTTCCTTAACAGAGAGATAGTCACCGAAGATCACCGCACCAACGGTGTCTTCTTCGAGGTTCATGACCTGACCCATGACAGCGCCGGTTGAGGTCTGGAACTCGATGAGTTCGGAAGCCTTGGCTTTGGAGAGCCCGTAGATACGGGCGATCCCGTCACCAACCTCGACGACTCGTCCGACCTCGGAGATCTCGAGTTGTGAGGAGAAGCTTTCGATTTCTTGCTTGATGACGCTGACGATTTCGTCGGTCTTGATCTTCACGGGTGGCTCCCTGATCGTTCACAATCGATGATTGTGGACTGTTCTATCTTGGAGGTTTTTCGGTCACCGATTGCCTGCTCCGGTGCGGACAATGGGGTCCAAAGGGTAGGACGACTCAAGTCGGAAGTCATTGAATTGTGGAGGATTCGAGCGCGGAGAATTGGCAATTCTTCGCTCATTTCTCACGCTCTGATCCGCTCAGGGGGTGGTCGTCGCAGGATCGGTGCTCGGAGCTTCAGCTGGTGTGATTGCGAATCCGACTTCTGGGAGTTCTGTGATAACCTCGACTCCGCTTGGGAGACCCAGAATTTCGACGGATTTGTAGGTGATCGCACGCTCCAGATCCTGAAATGACAGGGCGAGGACGGCTGATGGGGTGATCTCGGATTCGGTGATCTGGGTGATGAGATCCGCGGGACCTGAGAGCTGGATGCCGACGAGGTCCTCGGATCCTGGATCGAGCGTGACATTCCAGCGTCCGACTTCTCCTGGCGCCAGCAGGATCTGGATCGGGAGACGATCGATCGTGGTCGTTTGGGTCAGAGAGCGGACGGTTAAGCGGATGTCTGCTCTTGAAGGTGAGAGGACAGGGACCCAACCCAATGGGAGTGTAGAGTCGCTTTGGACAGGCATATTGATCGCGACATTGGGGATGGTCTCGAGACGACCTGGAGTCAGTGCGGCGATGAGCGAGGTATCGGGAGCGGCGATGAGTTCGCGTCCTTCCAGTGTGCCGATGATGGTGCTCGGTCCTGTGATGCGGACTGTCTGAGGGATCGCGCGTGGAGTGCCGTCGAGCGCCACGCTCGCTGGTATGTCTACGCGGACAGGGAGCTCGAGCGCGACGAGCTCGTCGACTTCGACGATGACGAAGTCGCTCGAGACGGATCCGATGGAGACCCCGCTGGTTTTCATCGCGGGTGTATCGCGGAGGATTGAGCGGATATCGAGATCATGGGTTCCGGTGCGCGCTGGGATTTGCTCACCCACATTCATCTGGATACGCCCTCGCATCTCACGCGTCGCGGCGTCAAGTGATGCGAGCGATCCCTCGAGTTCGATGTTGACTGAGGAGATCCAGTCATCCGAGGATGCTGGTCGCACGACGAACTGGTGCTCGGGGTCTTGGGTATTGCCTACAAGGACGATTTGGAGCTCAATGGTGCGCGTCTGGACCATTCGGGACTCTGCGAGGAGCCAAATCAGCAGGGTCAGGAAGGTGACGACGATGATTGATCGGATCTGCGACCAGAATCGAGATGGTGCTTTGGAGACTTTTGCCATTACGAAGCCTCCCTCTGATCATCGTCTTTGGTCGGCTGCGATGATTCGGAAATCGTTCCGGTCGGCGCGGGTTTGGTGACCTCTTCGACGAATCCCGCGTCGGGATCGTCGGCTTTGGATTCTGGGAATGCCGGCTTTTCAGTTTCGTCGGGATGTCCGAGCAGATCACGAAGGGTGTCTTCGAGTTGATCTCGATCGATTGGATCCGAGAGTTGTCCTCGCTGAGCGATGCGGATGTGTCCGGATTCTTCTGAGACCACGAGGACCAACGCATCTGAGTCCTTGGTGACTCCGATCGCGGCGCGGTGGCGCGATCCAAATGACTGATCGGTGATCTCTGTTGCGCTGGCCATCGGGAGCTGTACACCCGCGGCTTGGATTCGATCGGCGCGGATGACCACTGCGAGGTCGTGGAGCGCTGAGCCGGGATGAAAGATGGTTTGGATGAGCGATGAGCTGAGCTTTGCGTCTAAGTCGGTGCCGCCTTCGGTGACGGATTTGAGACCAACGCGTCGTTCGATGACGATGATGGCGCCGAACTGTGCTTTGGAGAGGAATACACACGCTGGAGCGAGTTGGGCCGCGATCGCCGCGGCGCCTTGCTCGGTGGTACTAAAGAGCCGGGTCTCTCCCAATCGGATCAGTGCTCGGCGGAGTTCGGGCTGGAAGATCACGACGAGCGCCAGCGCGAAACCCGCGAGGACGCGGTCGTAGAGATAGGTCAGACGCGCGAAAGTATCGTCTCCGACAACTCGCACGACGAGGGTTCCGACAATAAGGACGAAGATCAGTCCTTTGATCGCACGGGCTGCTCGAGTGCCTTGGAGAAAGCGGATGATCGCGTAGACAACGATCCAGATGATGAGCAGCTCGACGAGAACTTCCCACGGCGCGTAAGCGCTGAGTCGGCTAATCAGGTCCTGGATGCGATCGAACAATCCCACGGGCTACCCTTAGGGGTCTGGCGTTGGAACAGGGGCGCGGAAGCGGCTCCGCGCTTTGGGCGATTCTAACCGATTCATGATTGAAATGCTTGCGTAAAGCGGCTTGGAATGCACGAAAGAACCACTTTGGGAAGAGTTCATTGGGATACACGATCACACAAGTCGAGACGACCCCGAACCCACTGGCGCGGAAGCTGATTGTTGATCCGGCTCCGGGACGCATCGTCTCGTGCTTCGATGTCTCCAAAGGATCGGATGATCCGCTCGCGGCGGCGATCATCGGATGCGACGGGGTGACCAATGTGCTCGTCCACAGCGCCTTCATCTCGGTGTGTTTCTCAGAACAGACCAGATGGGGGACGCTCAAGAATCAGATCGCTCGCGCACTGGGAGATGTCGATGGCTGATCGTCGTCGAGCGAAGTCCATCAGCACGGCGCTAGAGGCGTGGTTTGTTCACGCGGCGAGGGATCTGCCTTGGAGGTTTGAGCCTCGCGATCCGTACATGTCGCTTGTGAGCGAGTTGATGCTTCAGCAGACGCAGGTTTCGAGGGTGCTTGAGAAGTTTGAGCCGTTCTTGGAGCGGTTTCCGAGCCTTGAGGATCTCGCAAAAGCGGATGAAGCGGATGTGCTCAGTGAGTGGTCAGGGTTGGGGTATTACCGGCGTGCGCGGATGCTCCATGCGTGTGCTCAAGCGATCGTCGAGCAGCATGACGGCGAGGTCCCTCGTGATGTGGAGTCCTTGTGTGCGCTGCCGGGGATCGGGAGATACACCGCGGGCGCGATCGCTTCGATGGTGTATGGAGATCGGGAGCCGTTGGTGGACGGAAATGTGGTTCGTGTGCTGCAACGACTGCACAACAATCCGGATCAACAGAATGATCCCAAGACAGTGAAGTGGGCGTGGGAAAATGCGACGGAGTTGGTAGAGGCGAGTGATGAGCCGGGCGTGCTCAACGAGGCGCTGATGGAACTGGGCGCGACGGTATGCACTCCCAAGCGGATCCGCTGTGATCAGTGTCCTGTGCAGAAGCACTGCAAAGCATTCGAAGCGGGGGCGACGGAATCGGTCCCTCCTCCCAAACCTCGCGCCAAGCGGAAAGAGCTGTTTTGTGCTTCAGTGGTGTGCCTTGACAGCAAGGATCGCGTGCTCATGGAACAGCGCGGCGAGGACGGGCTCTGGGCGCGGATGTGGCAGGTCCCAACGATCGAGCGGGAGGATCGCGCCCCCACTGCTGAGGAGATCGGGGATGCTGCGGAACTGATTGATTCGTTTGTGCATCAGACGACGCATCGGATAGTTCGATTCGATGTGTACCGATTTGATGGGATTTCTACACGGGATCGCAGCTTCAAGTCTCGATCGCAGATCGATCGGCTTGGAATCTCGAATGCACAGATGAAGGTGCTCTCGAGTGTGTTTGAATGAGATTTAACCCACGATGCGTGTGAAGCGTTCGAGCATCGCGTCGAGCTGGGATTCGCTCGGCGCGTTGAGCGTGATGTGACCGATTTTGCGTCCGGCTCGTGCTTCTTTGCCGTAGAGATGGATGTGGGCTTGGGGCATCGCGTCCAGCGCGCCGGGGCGCGGCTCGTTCCCGATCAGGTTGATCATCGCGCTGTGTCCGATCGGATCAGCGCTCGCGAGCGGCATTCCTAGAACGGCTAGCATGTGGTTCTCGAACTGACTGGTTTTCGCGCCCTCGATTGTCCAGTGTCCTGTGTTGTGCACACGCGGCGCGATCTCGTTGGCAAGGAGCTTGGCGCTCGGACCCGATCCGATCTGGAAGTACTCCACGGCGAGCGTTCCGACATACTCGAAGTGGTTCAGGATTGACTCGATCGCTGTGCGTGCTTGCTGAGCGACACTGTTGTCGATGTTGCGAGCGGGCGCTTTGGTGAGGCGCAGGATCCCGCCGCGATGAATGTTCTCGGAGAGCGGGTAGTACTCGATCGAACCATCGGTGGCGCGCGTTGCGATGATGGAGAGCTCACGCTCAAACTCGATGAATCCGTCGAGGATCGCGGGGACACCTCCGAGTGTGTTCCATGCTTCTTGTGCTTTGGAGGGGTCGCTGATGAGGACCTGGCCTTTGCCGTCGTATCCGAGGGTGCGTGCTTTAAGGATGGCTGGTGCGCCGAGGGATTTGAGTGCGGCACTCAGGTCATCGAGCGTATCGATCTGTTTATATGGAGGCACTTCGATCCCGAGATTGGTGAACATAGATCGTTCGCTGAGTCGGTCTTGCGAGATGCTGAGCGCTTCGGGGTTGGGATGGATCGTTGAGTTTTCTGCGATGAGCGCCGCACCTTGTCCCGGCACATTCTCAAACTCGTAGGTCACCACATCGTTGGTCTGCGCGAGCTTGAGGAGCGCTTCTTGATCATCGTACGAGGCGACGATCTGCGCGCATTGTCCTATTTCGTTGGTGGCGCAGCAGTGCTCGTTTGGATCCAGGACGGTGCACTTGATCCCGAGATGATGCACTGATTGTGCGAGCATCTGCGCGAGCTGTCCGCCTCCGATGATCCCGACTGATTTGGTGTCTGGGTTCGGATTCATGCTCGCGGATCTGTATTGTCGAGGACGGCTTGGGTCTGCTCGCTTCGGAACTGATCGAGCGCGGTTCTGATGTAGGGGTACTTGTTGCTCAGGATCGACGCGGCAAGGATCGCGGCGTTCTTGGCGCCGGCTTTCCCGATCGCGACGGTCGCGACTGGGACACCTGCAGGCATCTGCGCGATCGAGAGGAGCGAGTCCATGCCTTTGAGTGCTTTGGACATGACCGGCACGCCGATGACTGGGAGCGAGGTCATGGACGCGACCATCCCTGGGAGGTGAGCGGCGCCTCCAGCGCCGGCGATGATGACCTCGATCCCGCGCTCGCGTGCACCCTTTGCGTGCTCGACGAGCAGGTCTGGGGTGCGGTGCGCGGAGACGACCTTGACCTCGTGGAGGATAGAAAGTTGATCGAGCATCGCGCCGGCGTGCTCCATCACATCGGGCCAATCGGATTTGGAACCCATGATGACGCTGACAAGTGGATCGTTGGGGATCGCGGGTTCGGCCATTGCACACTCCGTGCTCGTACTCAAGGGGATTCCACAAGGTCTGGATTGACCTGCATGGTGCTTTCAATGAGATCGTATCCGGGTGTGAACATCGAGGCGTGATCTGTTGGGTACGCGGCTTGAAACTCGATGAATCGCCCGTCGGAAAGTTCGCTGATCAGGATTGTGGCATTCCACTCCAAACCTGAGACACCCGTATATTGACCGCGAGCACCGAAACCCTGGACACCGAAGTGTTGGTCAATGAGTTCTTCATTTTCCAGTCGCCCCGACTCGCTGAAGCCGCTGATGGAAACCCCGAGTTCGGCTCTTGGGGCGATGTCCGAGTTGTAGACATAGACACGAAATGAGCCGTAGCCGGGAGTTTGTGCATCGATTGTCAGTCCGCCGCGGATTACGCTGCCGTCCTCAGCTGTTGTGTCGTCGTCTCTGTTGATTGTGAGCCACCAGTTGGAAGGGATATCAAAACTGAGCTCTTCTTCCTGAATGGTATAGGTTCGACTTAGATTCGGTTCCATTTCATAGGGATCGGTGACCGAGAGGGTATTGAGGATGTGGTCATATCCTGGTTTGGTTGCGTCCCATGCGTTCTCGTGACACAAGATCAATGTTGAGAGTTCACAATGTTCACTGATTTCTGATATGAAGACTTTGAGCAGATACTTGCCTCCGTCAATATCAACGGTGTACTGCTGACCAAATCCCTGGAGAGTTGCGAGTTGGGATAACTTCTGGTCAGTGGAGAGTAGTGTGACGCCGTTATCTAACAGCGCGTTGAGTTCTTCGTCGATAAAATCTCGTTCGGCATCTTTGTACTGGATGGTCATACGCAAATACGCATCGGAGATGATCGGCTCAGCTTCGATCCAGTATTCGGGGCCGGGGATTGCGTTATCTTTCGAGACAAACCAGTTGGATGGATACTCGAATTCAAACGAGGCACTCTCGTGTGAACGGGGCTGATCGAGCGCGGCTTGTGGATTCAGTTGCTGGAAGAATGCGAGCCCAAGCACAATTCCGATCGCTGACAAGCGTACAAGAATCGGGAGTATGAGGTACCAGAGCACTGCCCAGAGTTTCTTCACTGGGAACACGGCACGCGTTCCGCAATACAGCGTGATAGAGGACCAGACCAGCATGATGACCATGATCGCCGGGAGGATCATGAAGTAGATGCCGTCGGCTTGAGTGAACTCGTCGTATGTAGGGTAGATGGCTGCGCCCAATGCATAGTAGAGAATCGTCGTAAGGTGACGAGCGATGCCTGAGATCATGTATACCCGACCGGTTTCAGACCACTCGGCATCCTTCACCCCGCACATACGGAGCCTCAATCTGTACCACAATCCACCTATCCCATAAACCACCATGCCGCGGATGAAACCGAGGATGACTGCGGCAATACCGAGCTCAAACCAGGTGGTTGGTGACCAGCCGGCTGACCTTCCGAACAGATTGTTCTGATCGAACTGATCCGCGACCATCGCGATTCCTGAGATCCAGATGATCATGACAAGCAAAGGTTGTGGCAACTTGATCCCGTTGCGCTTCATGTACGAGCCTGGCTTGAACAAGAACGCAAATGGGGCTTGCGTGAGTGAATATCGCTCTTCGTAAAGGGGTGACTCTGTTCCCGAGGTGATTTGCGCCTCGTGATTGTTCCTGCTCTGGTCAGCGTATGGATTATCCACAGTCAATCCCCTTTGTTTGGGTTACCACGCGAATGAGCAGCCGAGGACGATGGAGCCGAAGGTCTGGCGATCCGGCTGGAGTTCGAAGCGTTCGGATTGGATGCTCTGGGACCATCCGAAGTAGAAGCTCTCGTATTGCACAATGAGTCCGAAGGTGAAGGTCGCGACGAGGGGTTCGCGCTGCGCGGAGCGTGATCCGGCGAAGACGGTACCGTCGAGGAAGATGTCGTGGGCGATCGCGTCGACGCCGAGCTTGGTGTATGCGTAGATGGACCAGTTGGATTCGGATGCTTCGTTGGTGCGGACGGTGTGGTCGCGATGTCCCAGGAGTGACGCTGGTCCGAAGTCGTCTGGGAGGTGCTTCCCGAATCTGAGTGTCATCGAGGTGCGTGCATCGACGAGCACTGTTCCCACATCAAATCCCACAGCGGGGAGCATTTGGAGTTCCAATCCTGCGATGTCGGCGGGTTTGGATTTCCAGGTGCGTGTGAATGAGAAGTTGAGGGTGGGCTCTCCTGGAATTTGGGTGTTCCATCCGAGCGGATCGTCTTCATCGGGGAAGG